ACTGCAAAAAAAATTGTTTTATGTTGGTTGACTGTTGCGAAAAATCATAGCAGTACTTGGAAACAAATTTATCAGTATCATAAAAATGTACCAGTTGTAAATATTCTTCTATTCGCATTTCTCCAAAGCGCGATATCGTCAAAAGAGAAACGGTTCTTTAATAAATATAGCTCATAAAAGATCTCGATCCCACTGGCGGCCGTAGATCTTTTACTAAAACGCAATGCGGCCGTCTAAAAAGAAAAGATTGTGCACCCCTGATCTACAGTGTTCGATAAATTTTAGTTACAAATGCCCGACACATTTTTTGGGCTCCCCAATATAAAATATATTAATAAATAAAAGTATTCTAATCTAGACGTACGAGACCTCGCGAATAAGATATGAATAAAGTTAAAAGCTGCAGATTACGTACATGTGTAAACTACCGTTTTTATTAACAGGTTACGGCCGTACACCGTGAATACACTCCATAAAATTCGACTACTACCTAGTATATATTAGAAAGGAGTGTGCCAAGAGAGTATCAAAATGAATATATTGATAGAAAACTGGATAAAACATTGAATTTTAGGCGTTTTTTCATCATAGACTAATGTGTATAACATGATAATTTCATGAAACAGAGGATATATATACTAGAACTATTGATAAAATTAAACAAAATGAAAAGAACTTGGTGCCGACATCGACCATAATAGAAAACCTCGGCTAAAGGTATTCAGCCTTGCGCGAACATGTCAACATTTCCTTAAAAACGTAATTTTTCCATTTTACAGACAGCGGCGTAAAATTTTGGAAGGACAGACATTTAACCCCAGAAAAGTTCTCCATATACTTTACCACTAAGAATTTCTGATACTTTTTTTCCGGAATATTTTTGCGAATTGGCGCTTACAAACTGTTTTATATCTTTCAAACCTTCATTTTGATTCAAAATATTCAACCACCTGCCGACCTTTGACATCAGAAAAATTCGTCCTATACTTTACCATTGATATATACTGAGCGATTTTTTCACAACAAGAAAAAAAGGAAAAAGAAAATCAACAACATATTAACAAAACAATCCATAGGTCAACTCGTGACCAATAATAGCAGTGGCCATATTTCAATGAATGATACACGTGAAATACGGTTGCGTGCAAAGTTGTTAAGTGCATGCCTACTATTATCGTTCTAGAATGGCCTCCTGAATGCATTTCATAATTTACCCATGACACCCTGTTTCACTCTTCAAAAACTTTACCTTTCCTAACTTCTCTATTGAGTATCCATTGCTCTTTTATTGTATCGCATCATCTTGCTCAAAGTCAAATAATTAATTCAAACTAGTCTTAGTCATTGCTAAAATAGTCATTTCTTAAGTTCGCTTCGGCTCAGCATTTCAACTTCTATGCTGAAATAAGTTTTTACGATAATTTGTCTAAAGCAAGAAGCTATGTTACACGTCAAGTTTGCATATAGTTTAGTAAATCTTGTTTATTCTGCTTTAGGGGATAAAATTAGTATTTGCTGTTGTTGCTGTCTACACTGCTATATATACTGAAAACACGATTATCGACAGATTTAAATTTTCACTGTCTTGTTGAATACTGATAAAATTTAGCCAGTTCTGGGCGTTACCGTACAAAATATATATTTTTCGTTAGAAAAATGTTTAATAGTACTAATTTGATAACTAGTCGTGGCTGTCTAAATCCAGGTCAACAAGATTGGCCTATGGCAGATTTATATTTCCTTGGTGTTTGCAGCACGACCCTAAATCAATCTTAATTCTATTTCCCTCGCATATTACACTGAGGTCTAGTCTTGACGCAATTCCTCTTCTGTAATTCAGAGATGCATCACACTTTTTAATCTCATAATCAGATTGGATACCGTTCATACTTGTTGTACAACCTAATGTTGTGAACTCGTGAGTAGGATACAAAATAAAAGGATCTTTGAATCTTGTTGTTACTGTTTTTTGGCTGTTTTGCACGTCCATGAATTGAACGAATGCACTACGAAATTACAAAATTAATTTCTTGGGTTAAAGTTTGACATACTGCAACAAGAAAAATCATTCAAATTTACGTGAAAATGTGAACGGAACACTGGGCGGAGCTTGGTTTAGTTTCAACAAGCAGAATTGTAACTGTGTGTCGAGTGGATTATTTGAATTTATCTAGAAATATGTTATTATTGCCTTGTAGCCAATGGGTCCTTGGCTGGTTTCACTCACCAATATCAACCCCAATTTTTTTATACAAACCGCAGTGATTTCAGCACTTTTTCATGGCGGTTTATGCCCAAATATATGACGCCATGACAAGATTTAATTAGCATCGAACCCCCTTTAACTGAATCTAATTGGATCTGATTCATTCTATGCAGTTTAAATGGGGACATATTGTTAAAAACCTTCAGACGAAACACTAAAATGCTTTTCGCCGGTACATACGGTAATATACGCACAGTATGAAGTATATACAGTAGCCTATATTTATTGATATAGCATATAAACTGTTTATTACAACATGCGTGTATTGATCAATGTTTAGAAATCTTTTATACCGTGAAGACTCCATCAAGACAAATAGGATATGTTGCGCTCAGTGATTTCCCTACACCCCCCCTATAGGGGATGAACACCCCCCCTAAAATTTCAAACACCCCCCCTAATTTTGAGGTGCGATTACACACTGAGGGGTTCTAAACCGCAGTCTGCGGGCCAACTACGGCCCGCGTGACGATTTAAAATGGCCCGCCGAACGTGAGTGAAATAATTTTAACCCTTCATGTGGTACCTTTCCAGTTTTAGATACCGTCTATTGTTACATCATTATCACAGTTTAAGCACGTTTATTTCGTAACAATTGGATTATTCCGGTATCTTATGTATAGGTATGGGTATTATGATTACACACTGCAGTATTTTAGATATCAGCCATATATTAAGAAAGCTTAAAGATGTCACAAAACGAAAACTAGGCACTGAAAACAGACGTTTTTTAGATGAATGACAGCGTTTTTATTTCTTTATTGAAAAGAATCAAACTTCAGCGATTTGTCTTCTTACAAAATATTTCAGTTCTGAAGGAATACAACATTATGCGACATTATGATCAGTTGACGAGCGTATTTCAAAATTTAATTCATACAAAAGTCAAACAAACATGTTCAAAAAAATTAGAAATGTGTAACAAAACAAGCCATAAGTAGCCATTCATACAATGCCAGATGAGCAAGTAACTTCATTAGTCACTATCAGTTGCAAATTACTTGTTGAAACGTAGTAGTATATATTTACGGTTGAAAGTCGTGCTTGTTATCTTTTCCTCGGGAATTCTATCAGCTAAATTTTATAAATATTGATTTTATTGCATAACAAACTGCGATGCTAGGTGTATCTAAAATCAAGCTTAGAGCCTATTTTGGTGCCTATTTCTCAAAATTTTCTCAGAACCCCAGCCGTGTCGTCCCGCACTTTTCCTCGCTCACCTTTTCTGGCCCTACTATTTCATTCTGCTGTGGATTTTGGCTGGCCGTCAATCAACTTGGGGGGCCCTCATGTACATCGTTTCTTAAATACATACCATTTTTTTAAGAATACAAATAGCCTAGTTTTATCTCTAATAGCAAATTATTTCCCACCCCCTAAATTTTGAAACACCCCCCCTGAAGAGAAAAGCTGGGAAACATACTGGTTGCGCTGTATCGGAAAGAGCAATCAAGATAACAATTTGTAACAAAACAAGTCTGGAATTTCCATCAAAATGTTATGGGGTGGTGAAATCCTTTACAAGTAATCGTTAATTATCTAGGGAAAATAGAGTTTCAATTTTTACAATGAGTTTATACTTGTGTGTTCCTATGAGTGTTTTAAAGACGGAATTAGTCTACGGTGAGTAATGCACCCCGGACATTAAGCGCATCAGCTGGGTGAATTTGACCGTAAATACATACTAATTGGACCATTAAACCAGAGACAGTGCACAACAATGTAGGCTACAATGTTGTCTATGATTAACGTGCGTTCTTTTTATATTCTTGACCTTTGTTTACTTCAGTTATATTATGTATAAGTACAAATATTACTTTTGGTGTGCCAAATTATATGAACTTGGTCTTTAATCAGAAAAATGTCAGTAAATAAGCAATATAGTTTTTTATGGAAACAAGAGAGCTACGCACAAATACCGGTATATGGACACGTTAGACCGGAGCGAATCAGTCCTTACCGGTACCTTTGACGCTACCGGTACCCTCAAAAAAGTTCTGAATTTCCAGTGGCAAGAATTTTGCAGAATCAAAACGTACAGCCAGTCATGACACTGACTAAAATCCGTGTTCCCATGGATAAAAAATAATACAGCAAAATTTTAGACGAAATATCAAATTTCATAGAATTCACGCAAAATTTTGAAATAAATAAAAGTAATAGCCTTTTAGCGAAAAAATTAATCTTTAACCACTGAAAATTTCAAAGCAATTGGTCCAGTATTCGAAGAGAAAAGCGACTTTTTGAAAACGTGTCAAAGAACAAGAACAACAACAACAACATAATATTGAAACGATCGTTATGTCCACTAAACGTGTCCAAAAATAGTTGCAGGCACGGACTCAAAAAACGTAGTAAAGACATGCACATATCAATTATGGCACATGATATCGATAGGATCCCGAAATTCTTTTATATCTCTGTAAATTTTATGCTACACATCAACAGATTAGCTATAAGACTAAATGCGATGAGAATACGCTATCAATATCTATTTGAGGTTCTAATATTCCCTTTTCTAGTCTGAATTGTTCTTTCGAATCCATCCACTTCTCGATGAAGCAAAATGTAAACAAACGAGACTGATTGGAGATTATTTTTGCATAGCAACAATCTCGACGGCAACTATGGTCGTTAGGAATTTAACGCTGGATCGTTACTCGTTATTGTTTGAGCCAGTTTTGAGTTTTTTACTTTCCGGCGAATTAAATTCAGTTTATTTTATTTCTGTTTGCATAGTGAATTATTCTCTTTAATGTGGTATTTATACACAAATTCTTGATTTTGTTTCCGTGCTGTCTGTAAACAGAAACAGGCCGAAATGGATGATCCGCGAGTGGAATGGATTATGAACAAAATTTACTTGGGCCTAGGCATAAAAAATCCGGAGGTAAATTGGAATTAACTTTTATTTTAATGGCTTGTTTCAAACAGCGTTTTCGAATGACGACTATGATCATGATATCAGGGTTGTAAATCTAGCATTTTTTCAACTGTCGCACTCACTCACTTTCGATTCATTTGTACCAATGCAAGTACATTCATTGTATGTTAACAATGCAAAATCATTTTATTTTCGTATCTTGCAAATTTGACGAGCTCCGAAGTATAATGATGTAAATTTGGTTTCTCGCGGCTCCCCTCACCCGGAAATGCTTTTTAATTATTGTACATCAAGTGTGCTTTTTAGTATGGTGAGAAAATAAACTACTGATTTCTATTTGCAATTTAGGTCTTTGAAGATTTGCTCTCAAGAGAAGATGGCAACAATGAGTTAAAAATACTTCATTTTTTTAATGCATCATCAAATGAAGAAGGAACGTCAACTTTATTGTTTTACAAAAGAACAATTGAAGATGAAGAAGAAGTAGAAGTTGAATATGGTTTGTTAAACTGCATATGGAAACACAGACTCATTTTGAGAACTTTGCAAATTGTAGTACATTCTCGTGTTTCCGTTGTCCCTCCGTAATGTTATAAACATAATAAAGCGAAGCTATGCATAAAAACAAAAAATGCACAATTTTAAAAAAATAATTTGTTTACCTTAGGGAAAAAATTTTACTGTAGCATTCATGGGCAAAAAAACAATCTATGGTAACGAGTTTTGCTCACCTGTCAATCAATGTATGCCATAATACATTCATACTATTATCTTGTCGAACACTGTGCAATCTGTACCATCTGCCGTCATGTCAGACTCCCTTGTTCCAGAAACAAATGAGGTGTTTGTTTGATTTATTTGAATACCTGCGACATTTTGGGAATTGGAAAACTTTTCTATACTTGCTTTTCATAATCATTGAACAATTGCTCTAAGGATATTGGCTTTTTGCCTGTAATAATATAAAATACTATTGGGTCGCCTTCTTGTGAACGTTTTTTCCAATTATTCTAGAAATCACAGATCTATGGGGTATTAAACTTTATCAAGTTAATTTTGGCTTGCACTGCGATTTGTTCAGCGATGGAAGAATAATGTTATCAATAGTGTATCCCCATATATTTTGAATGTTTACTTTTATTTTACGTTGTTCATTATTTTATACAATATTTCACAGAACCTGAAATACCAGATATATCAAATGATGCAGAGGCAGAAAATGGAGTTGATGCTGATAATAAATCAAATGGTGAAAATGAACAGAGCCCAACAGCTGATGAAACAAATGCTACTCCAACAGGTCTGTTACGCTCATTTTACTTTCCACTATTTTTTCATGTGATCTTCATATAGGCCAATTTTCCAATATACACATTTTAATTTATTTTTGAAGTTTTTTGCTGTAGAGGGTGTAATGAAATGGTGAAAATTTTTGGATTTGTAATCACACGTAAAAGCAGTTAGTCGTAAGTCAGCCTCACATCATTGACCTATTACAGGTATTGAATTTTGTGAATGTTAAGCTGGTTAAAATATAAACATTTTATTAAGATCTTCACAAGTTTTCGGTTATTGATACTGTGTTCTAAATACCTGTTTAAATCTCAATTCAGGTGAAAATACAGAAACAGAAGAGAATGGAGAAGTGAATAATCAAACACAACCTGGAGAAGGAGAAGAAGATGAATCTGTACCTCCACAAAGATCCATACAAACAGTAAGATATTTGTTGTTATTGTCAGACTGATCTAGGTCTAGTGTAATACAAATTATATTTGAATGCCATAGATGGATATATTTGGGTTTTCAAAATAGGAGTGACTACTTGTTTATATCATTGTCTGAATATCTGGTAATACTTATTTTTGAAATTTACCAATACCAATGTGATGAATTTAATTTTTTCAGGATGTCTAAATTTTATATAGCCTATATAATACATTTTGACCAATTTGTATGAATGTGTTTTTTTTATCTAGTATTCTTTCATTCATTTTGCTTTCTAATCATTTGGGTATAAAGAGATTTTTTTTTAGCTATAAATAAATTTTCAATTCTATTCGAATTTGAAACAAAAAGAATAGAAACCTTATTTATTTGAAATTTACAAGTATTCAGGCCACTATTCAAATCTTATTCACTGCATATTTTTATGTTATTGCTTTAGATAGATATTTTGATCTTTCATAAACTATTGAATATAAATTTTTACAGAAAATAGTGTTGCAAACAGTCATCAGAGACGTCCTGATTCTGTGTGAAGACTATCTACCAGAAGAACAAATAGACCAGGTAGTTGTGTAGTCCTTGTATTTTATAACAGTAAACAAAACCCCATTCTGAGTAACTTATACCATATACTCAAATTAATGTTTGGAATTGGATTATATATTTCTATTTCTTCCTTAGTTCAACAAAATTCACTTTTCAGACATATATATGTAATATGTAAATTCAATCATAATTCTTGGAAATATTTGGACTAACATATATTTAAAATGTGAAAAATTGTTCCATTTATTCTGGTATACTGTTAGTGGTCGACTTTTTTGGTACTCTTTATATCTTTTCCCATTAATTATATTCTTCACAGGACTGCATGTATTTTATGAGAAATACAAACACTATCATTTCTGTACCAAATGATTTGGAAGAAGCAAATAAAATTTTATCTGATTATATTGAATTTGGAGTGATGAATGGGCATTCACTTACAATGCTTGAACATCTTATTGGACAGGTATTATATAATTTGTATTTAATCAAAGTAAAACATATTTAAAAACTAAAAGTTGAAAATCAGATTGGAATGAAACTCTTCAACAACGATCTATTACTTTGTTGTACCAGCAACCAATTCCAAAATATGTATGTGGTGGAATTTTTTTTATGAAATATTTTCATACCCTCACTTTAAACAAGGCTCCGTACAGGCAGCCAACAATATGTAAGAATCTACTATTTTTGGAAGAACCGGTATCTTCCAGGTTGCGCATTGACTTCCCAACATGACTGAAGATCTTCATCCTATGACCACACTGCTATGACTTCTGCGTTCTTGTGGGTTACAAATAAACATTTAATTGCTCTGTCGTGGTGAAGATTCTATCAATAGTGCCATGTTAATTTTATGCAAACGACAGGCGAACCTGTCGATTTTGTGAAAATTTAAGGTAATCAAGAGTATTATTCCATCATGTTTGTGTTCTAATCATTTTAAGAAAACAAATAGATGACTTCAGACACAAAATATAGTTTTTTACTCTCAGATATTTATTAAATCTTTTTAGGTATACATGCCTTTGTTATCATTTGGCCAACACAAATCAGGTGAGCTACCAAGCACAACTGCACCTACACCTGCTACACCTGTGGATACTGCTACACCAAGGTTATTTTTATTTTTGATTTGCTAAGGCAGACCGTAACAACTGGGGGGTTTCGACACCCCAACCCCTCCTATGGGTACGCCCATGGTATGTGGGATCCGTGGAACTGTTTAAACATGAATTGGGGTTTCATTTTGACAGATTTGTGTAGTATATAGACGTTATTTACGATTTCATTATAATAAAAATATAATCAAATTTTTTAGTGGTCAGGAAAGTGATGAAAACTTATCAGAGAGCCGTAGCAAAACTGTTCTAAGGGATGAATTTCTCATAAATCTTTCCAAATTTGTGAAAAGCATTCAGCGCACTATTCAACAGATTGAAGGTAAAGTACAAAATGGGATCAATATTAATTGAGAAATAAATAACACTTGCCATAACAAATGATCTCTTTTATGATGGTTTGTGTTCAGGTGAGATTCGATTGGATGTGCCAGATTTACCATTGGATGGTGAAGTCAGTGAACTTGCAAAAAACAAAGAATTAATCGATCAAATCAAACTTGCAAGTGGAAACTGGCAACAACAAATATCTACTGCCATTGAACAACAATTAAAAAAGAAACCACAGGTGAGAAAACATCAAGTTTGAGAAAATTGTTCAAAATAGATGTATTTATTCTAGGCTGTTTTTTCATTGTTAAATGTTTACTTTATTGTTTTGATATTTCTGTTGTAGAAACCTACTTTTTATAATGTCAGTTCATGTTGAGTTTCAAACATATATATGGGTGAGGTACTAGGCACGAGGCTCAAACTATGATCTTAAACTAAGATTTAGGATTTAGTTGAATGTGTAAATCGCGTTGTATAAAATATTATATATTATATATAAATATTATATATTATTATTGAGCGATTATTAATTCATGATATGAAAATTATAAATATTAGTACGAGAAAGTAAAGTATGGTGAAGCAAAGATTGGCATCATTCCTGCAGGATGAGAAATTTTACTAAAAAATTTATTTTTTTGCAATAATCCATATTTATAAACCACATTTCCTTGTGAAATAGGTTATTTAAATAATCAAAATATTTGTTCATTGTCAGGTCTGGAAAACAACTTATTGGAATTATTTGTTCAAAAATGTTCCATTCATCTAACTCATCTTATGTATATATTTTTAAATTATAAAATTTTATTTTAGGGCAATGGACCACTGGCTGAAATAGATTTTTGGAGAGAACGAAACGCAGCATTGAGTGCACTAAGTGAACAATTGAAATTACCACAAGTTGTAAAAATGCTTGATATTCTTGGTCAAAAAACGGATGCAACTGCTCTCGCAAATTTCAAAATGGCTCGAGATGAGTTGACCAAATATTATACAGAAGCAAAAGATAATGTTCGATTTTTAACCACTTTGGAAAGACACTTCAAGGTTCGTGAATTTGTTGTTGATAGGCTGAATTATGATAAACAATGCAAATACATATATATTTGATTGATAAGTTTTGTTAAACCTTGAAAACGAAAATGTACCTCAAGTGTTTTGGTTCATATTATCGAACCTTACTTACAATATACCTTTCTCAGCTAGAGTTTCCAGCAAGTTTAATAGAAATAAGTTCTTTTAACTTACCGTAGTTCCTTGAAATTATGATTTATTATTGCATAGTTTTTTTATTCTGCATAGGTGAATAATTTAAAATACTAAGAAGCAATTTGGTTTTGGAAGTATTTATGATGCCAAAATATTTAGATATACCAAAATATGCCTAAAAGCTATTACTCTCCAGTCCTCTAAATTATATCTGTTTCCATGTTTAATGTGTTCTATGTGAAGGTCGAATTGGGCTGAAGAATTCGGTATTACCTCACATTGTTGAGTACCATTACTCAAGGGAAATAAATTTGAGACATCTTGCATTTTGTTATCTTTTGTACTGTATACCAATATCTTAGATCTCATTTTTTGAAATATTGTTAAATGAGGTCTAGAATGATATTTAATGTACGAGAGGTTTGCTGGACTTCTTGCCGCCGCAGTGTGGCTTACATGAACGCTGGTCAGTTATGACTCCATCTACCACCAACTGGCTAACTAATCCCATGCCCGACATGGTATGGTAACTGGACAATAGGCCGTGGTTCGCCATATGATCGAGCAGTCTTAACATCTTTCTTTTCCCCTGGGATAAATATGTAAATTCTATCCTACCCTAATTTGAATCAATGAGACTATGATGTGCTATATGTACATATAGTCTAGGTTAGGTTGTTCAGTTCCTTACTCAAAGAATAGTGCAAACAGCAAAACAAGGTCTTATTCAGTAAAATAATTCTTTCATGGAATTCGAACAATAATTCACATTAATTGCTATCTGATATATTTTGTATTATTATTGTTCGATTTATATTTAGATTTATGTTATGTCATTGTTATCTCACAATTGTTCAATATAAATTTTCATTGTTTCAGAATCTTGCTCATGGATCGAATTTCAATGTTGTTGCTGAAACAATACCTTCTATGATGAATGCTCTAAGAATGGTTTGGATTATATCCAGGTGATTTTATGCTTTGTTTTTTTTTTCAAATCTTAAGTATTGTTCTAGAGCAGCGGTTTCCAAACTATGGGTCGCGACCCACTGGTGGTTCACAAAAGGAATCTTAGTGAGTCGTGAAAAGATGTAGAAAACTTTGATTAATTATACTGGTTATTAGGATCGGTGGCGACTTAAATACGCAAATCTTCAAAAAACAAAAGAAATTAAATTGACTTTAAATTCTAATCTGTGAAAGTTTCCTTTTTACGATCTTCTCAAAGGATCAAAAATTTGCTACACAAAGAATGACCATGTGGCTTTTTTTTACGCATATCAGTTTTGTACACTGTACAGAACTTCTTACCGTGTTTCCCCAAAATTTAGACAGGATTTAGATTTTTTTTTTTTTAAGAATAACACTATGTTTTTTTTTTGGAAGAGGTCTTTTATGTTCATTTATCAAAAATACAATTACATTGTAGGAAATCACGAGATTTTTTAATAAACTTTATATAAAAACCGACATCCATTGTTTTTATTTGTATTTCCTATACAAAAATCAAGTGACAAACATCATAATTGTGATTGTGACATCACACAATCTTGATTAGTGGTGGGATCTTCACCTTACCTCAGGTCATTGAACCTTTCTACTCCCACACATTTTAAATTTATTCTAAGGGTAGGGTTTAATTGAAATTATTTTTAAAATTCAAATTAGGTCTAATTGTCAGGTCAGGTCTTATTTTCGAGGAAACACGATAGTTTTGCGATGATTAGCCATTGCTGTGTTCTGTGTTATGTCATAAGAAGTTAAATGGGTCGCCATAAGCTGTAGTAATAAATAGTGAGTCCCAACTGTAAAAAGTTTGGGAACCACTGTTCTAGAGCATTTTGTGATAAATGCCCCAACAAAATGAAATCTAATTACATTTTGTAGTTTTTGCAATAGAATTGGTATTTCACTGGATTGTCTTTCTACTAACTTACTCATTATTATTTTCCCATCATTTCTACCTGCCATGTTCAATCGAATCAAACTTTTGAAAGTTTTTCATGTGATATAAAACATTACAATTTTATGGTGTAACATTGTCAGCCCATCTGTTATTGTTCACAGCCCATTTAAATCATTCTTCCATGTTTTTCTTGAAGCCTTTTGAATCTGTTTTAATGTCTGTATGGCTATCAAATCGGTACTCCTTTAGTATGTGTACCAGGTTAGGGTTAGGCTATAATTTTATTCCGATTTTCCTTATTTTAGTTCTGTCAGGAGTTCGGGGACTGTCTGTGTTAGCCAAGTGAATATCCCCCTGCCCATAGGTTTTAGTCCCTTTACACAACTTTATGTAAAATAGGCGAGCAAAATTAGCTAGCATAAATCCACATTGGTTCACATACTTTTTGGAGCGCCAATAAATCATTTCTTGAAACAAGTCGTTACCCTTGCCACCAGGGTAACCCCATTGAAAACAAGCCCTGCGAAATTAATAGTATTTATACACTCTATTTTAGGCATTATAACAAGGATGAAAGAATGGTTCCACTGATGGAAAGAATTGCCTGGGAATTGGCTGAGAGAGTGTCAAGAGTTATTAATGTCCGAACTATATTCCATGAAACACCTGATGAGGTTTAGAAATTTATCAATATTTTTTCATAATTTGATAAATCGTTTGGATTTTGGTCACCTTGTTTTAGTATAATTTTACTGGAGGGTGACTTTGTTCTGCCTCACCCAGCTGTCCAGTTCCTACCATTATTTGGCACATCTGAATGTGGTATCTCATCTGATTTGTTGAATTAGGAAACTCTCGTTTGTTGAAGACCTCTTGCATCTTAACTTCTAAATGAGACCTTTTACATTTATTTTCATATTGGTATTTCTCATAGTTGCCACACTTGTTAGACTTTTACGGGTACATTTACCATTTACAGGTTGTAGCTGTGGGAGGGAACTGTGTATCCACTACAATTTTTTGTTTCTAGTTAATTTGTAATCTAAATATTTCCTCATCTATATACTAAATAGTTTAGCTGAAGAGAAGATTTTAACAATTTTTATATATTTTAACTCAAATAATATTAGGTTGATTATTTTTGCCCATTTTTTTCTTGATTTTAATCCTGTCTGTGTAGAATTTAGGTTTGTTCTGATTTTGAATTTTTTGTTAATATTAGGTGAAAGCTTTGACACAAGAAGCTCGTCAGATGCTCATTTTATGGAAGAACACATATTTTGAAGTCAGAGCTAAAATAGAAGCATCAGGTAGAGATGCAAGATGGGAATTTGATAGAAAGAGATTGTTTGATCGAACTGATTACATGGCTCAAATTTGTCAAGATCTGACTGATGTTGCTCAGGTATGTTGATCAATTGTCTAAAAATATTAATATATGTAAATTAAGCAGTTACTTAGTATTGCACATTAGCCATGATTCTTAGTATGGTCATATTCTCAATTTCCTCAAAAAATGTATCGATAATTTATTTGATAAGGTGTTTGAAACTGAATAGTTCTTTTCAACTCTAACTGCTTTATTGTCATATCTGCTCTGCAAAATCTTGTCCAAAATGGAAGTGTTTGGAAGTTTTTATGAATAATTTGCACTTCTGGAAAAAAAATATATTTTTGTTTTTGGATGGGTAAATTGGCTAAATTGTTGCTATTGTTGTGTGTCCCATTGTTCTTGCTGATATTGAAAATCACTTACAAAAATCACAATAATAGGACAAATTGATTTCAAATTTCCAGTGTTTGAAGAGAGAGATAGTGAGAGAAGAAAGTTATTACACCCTAAAATATTTGCTATTTTCACTAATATTGCGTAAGCTTGCACGTAATCGACCAAAATCAATTTTGTAATTACGGAAAAATTGGTAACTCATCATTATGACACCTATTTACTATCTTTTTGACGAATCTGGTCCTCAAGATGGGCCTTACCAGTACCAATATGAATTGTTACAGTAGTGGGATTAAAACACATTTATTATCCATCCAGGTACTTCAAGAATTCTACAATATTTTTGGACCTGAATTAAAAGCAGTGACTGGAGATCCAAAACGTATTGAAGATGTTTTATTGAGAGTGGATGGTCTTGTAAAACCAATTGAAAGTATCACAGCTGATCCTTTTGATCTTAAATCTGCAGGAATGTGGAAATCAGTAATGACTTGGTTCGAACGTGAAGTACAAGCTATTGAAGGTTTGTGTTTTATTTTTTATTTGTTTTTTTGTTCTACCAAAAAATCTTCAGTCAATTCACTATATTATCAAATGCTTACGAAGACAGATGATTTATTTTCAACTCTGTCTTGGTACAATAAAATTACGATACACAAGACATACACGCGCAACTGAAATCTAGGAAAGTTGCCAAAACATGAGATATAAAATCACTAAAAGCATGTCAACCTCACTTTGTGACATAAAACAGTGCTCCGCAACCGGTGTGCCGCGGCGCACCGGTGTGCCGCGAGACGATGCCAGGTGTGCCGCACAGGAATTGCTTTTCTCTTCTTTTTACCATTTTTTTTTATCCGTTGTTAATTTTACGGTACTCCACTAACGTAAAGTTAACCTGCTTCACATTAGGTTGAGTGACACCAATTCAAATTCCTGACCCCCCTTACTGTGCATTTGTGACGTAACAAGGAATAGGCCTATATGTCAAGCAGATATATTGTAAAGCCTATTGTCGAGGCTAAAACATAGCATGTGTAGTCGTGTAGTAATCGAATATAAATAAAACTTGAGCTTAACGAAAGAATTACCCCTGCGTATTCCAGAAGATTTCTTTGAAGTAAGAAATTACAGAACGCTAAGACTGAAATTCAGCGAAATTCCACTTGATGTGTTTTGGATTTCAATAAAAGAAAAATATAAGCACATTTCCAATGCAGCTATTGAAATATTGCCCTAGTTTTGCACTACTTATGTGTGCGAACAAAGCTTTTCCTCTTTATTACTGATCAAAAACGATAAATGATCCTGTATAAAATATGTTGACGGCGAACTTCGAGTTGCTCTTTCACGTATTGTGCTCATTAAAACAACCACAAATCTCTCATTGAAATATGAACATAAAACAAAGTTACACTTTGTTTATTTCGTTTGTTGTGGTGTGCCATCGAATTTGGCAAGATTTATAAGTGTGCCGTAAGTTTAAAAAGGTTGCGGAGCACTGACATAGAATATAGGTGAATAAACATGACAGATGGAATACTCTCTAGTTGGGTTTTGTGCTTGTAATGCATGAATATGATTTAAACTGCACAATGAGATTTTCTCTCAACAGGCTCAAAACTTGTGAGTGTTGTGATAGAACACGTCAGAGTCATACACGCTATAGCAGTGGAAATAAAAACTATGAGGTCGATTATTTTTTAGTTTTCCACTTGCCACACCATGTCTTGCCCCCCTATTGCTAATCTATCAGTAAACTTCTCTTAAGCATATCTACAAAAAATATGATAGTTTTTGGAAAAAGAAATGCACCAGAAAAGATAAAAAGTAATTTACACACTTTTACTTACAGGTGAAGCGAAACGTTTCATTGATGAATCATTTAAAACACTTCGATCAGCAGAAGGTGCTTTTGATATGTTGTTGAAATTCAAACATATCAGATCAAGAGAAGCAATCAATGCTCAAATGATGCAGAAGTTCAATGATATTCTTGCTCAGTATATGAAAGAGGTATGTATTTTTTGCAATGGGAAAGGATATTTTAATCAACAGTTCTTGTAATGAAGTCTTTTTAAAGTAAGGTTAGGTTTTAGTCACAAAGAATGTAAGGTTCCAATTAGCTTTATCAGATGTGGATGATCGGATTACTGACTTTTTGATTTAGGAATATTAGGATTTCCATATTCATTCTGAGAAGAGGAAAAGGTAAAAATCACCTCAGCTTCAAATAAAATTGGAAAATATCTTTAAATAATTACATTGTTATTCATATTAGCTTTCAACATTAAATATTGGTAATTTTCTTCATTAAGTTCAGTGACTCAATTTAAATCATAATCAACATTTAAGCTTCAGAACATTTCTGCCATAGTACGGTTACTACCCCTCCTACTTGCAAGCAAGTATTATGTTACTAATTAAATAAAATGAAATAGTTTTCACCTCCAGTATTTTGTTTTTCTTTCGCAATAATAGACTTTGGATCACTTTATAATTGTCAGGTTGATATCATCAGTTCTTTATTCCAAAGTGGAATGAGTAATCCACCGTTGGCAAAAAATCAACCACCAACTGCTGGAGCAATCATCTGGGAAAGATCATTATTTCAAAGAATGAAGCACACCATAATCAGATTTCAATCTGCTGATGATATGTTGAATACAGATGCAGGAAAAGCAGTAAGTTGCTCAAAATACTGTTATATTCGTATCTAGGGTTCTATTTTTCCACCAAAAATGATAATCTATTTTACTGATCAAATCAATGTTTCTTACTTTGAAAAATTTTATTCAACGAAAATATAACTCTAATATATTTATGTGTATGGAGACATGAATATTCAAATAATTTATATTAAGCGATTCAATTTCTCTGTTCCGACTAAAAAATAGGAAACAAAGCTTTTTTTTATTTAGATTCATATTTAGTTCATTTTACACAAATTTTCAAACACAATTTTTAAATTTATTTAGGATGTCATATTACCCTTACAAAATTACAAGAAATTCATTATGACATCATAACTTATTTTACCACAATCATGTATAATACAAATTATGACATCACATATTTTCAATTTGTAAATGCTCACTCAACAAAATCCTTCTTGAGCGGATGCTTTTATTAGTTATATATATTTAGCCAACTCTGAATTTTATATTAGCAAGTGAGAAGTGCTGAAAATGTTAACTCAAAACTCCTAATAATTAATATCATAATTTATCAGGCAAAAATGAAATATTTGAATCTTGCAAAATTGATGAAAGAATATGAAGATAATAAATATCAAGCATGGGTTGAATCTGTTGAATCTTCTCTTCCTGGATTTTTAAAACGAAATTTGTTGACAAATCCAACTGTTACTCCAAGTATTCCTGGTATGTTCTGCTAGTATATAATTTAAAGGGCTTCAAAGGTTTCATCACACATATTCAAATTTTTATTCATTCATTATACTTATTAATTACTATTACTTACTATTTTACGCTTACTATTTAATTATTTTTCGTTTTGTGCTATACCAAATAAATGTCATTTATCTAATTTGGTTCTAGTTGCTGGTTCTGCAAATGCTTCTCAACATCCAGGATCAAATAATGTAGAATCTAGTGAAGATATGCCTGAATTTTATACCAGAAACAGCAACGGTTGGTATTCTAGTGTATTTTTCCCATTTTCAAACATATCATTTATTTTATCGAATGATATGAATGATATTTTAATTAAAATTTTCAGCTTTGTTCTAATCCAGGGGAGTGCAATAGGTGGTTCACGAGCCACAACATTCAGTGGATTTTTCCTCGTCAAGCATTAAATCCTAATCCACCAGTTTGATATAGTTTGCTGCGTTAAATCTTTATTACTGTAAAGATATTGTGAGAATTTTTTAATTCGTTGTGTACATTGAAAAACAAAATTATTTGCGTAACCCAGCTAGATGTTTAAGGTTGGTTATATTGAAATCCAAGAAGATGATGTAATTTTTCATATGACGCTTCTTCATGCACTTTGCTTCGAACAAGGCGTTATACAAGCAGCTACTGATATCTATCGATATGCAAGGAGCGGATATGTGTAACGTCAATGCCAACACAGTTAAGCTTATTTAACCCGTTGACCTTCACTTGCACTTTTTTGCCGACCTGAGAACGGCTGAGACACACTTAAAAAATTCTATATAATGTCAAGGTATTGTTCTATTCATCGTATGCAAGATATTAGTTTATAAATATATATATTCATAATAATATATAAATATATATTACCAAATCACAAGACCACAAGTTTTTGGCAATATTGTGTTCTATAAATAGTATTTTTTTCATTTCTAGAAAAGAAAGAAGAATATGTTGTTAATTTTGCTCCCGAACTTCAAGAAATAACAACAGAAACAAAATACATTGAACAACTTGGTTTTCCTGTTCCTGAACTTGCAAGAAATGTTGCTTTGCAGGTTAGTAGTGCATAAATGCAGTCTAATATTTATTTGCATCTAAATCATAAATTTGAAAATGCTGATAGTTTGAATGTTGTATATAACGATTTTTTCAATTTCACATTTCTCAACAGGAAGACAAATATTTCAGATATATCAATGGATTAAAACATATGTTGAACAGATATCATACTTTACTTGGAACATTGGAACCTGCAGAGGTATTCTTATCTTTTGTGATACATCAACTTCTTGTCAACCCTTCTATTAATTTGTAGCCCGAAATATTGACAAGAATTAATTTTCCAATAATTCTAAACAAATCTTAGAACTAAATTTTGTGATCATCGGGGTATATTCAAACAAAAGCCTACCATGTATAAGTATGCACTTGTCTGGAAACCTGTTCGCAATATAGATATGAAACAAGTCAAAGAAATATATGTTTCTGTCTGAATGGATGTTTACCATGTTTATTTCTGCAACATTGACTAATCAGCACAATGCCAAGTACCTAAGTATTTTAGTAGCCACTCGGAATTCTTTTTGCGTACACTGTGTGAAAGTATTCATTGTATGAACTCTCAATGATAATATCAAATTGGTGCAAAATGTTCACTTTAGCTTGGTAATCAAATTTATTTGTATTAGAAAATCTTCAGATTGTAAGAAAGATTTCATGAAAATTATATTTTTTTTTCTTAGAGTTTCAATTCATTTGCTCTGAAATTGAGTTTAGACTCAAAATGTTTTATGAAAGACATCTAGTATATTTTCTGTGTTCATCAAAAAAACTGAACATACCTAAATGCGCACCATAGCTTCTAACCTAGGAACAACTAGAATCCTTGTGACGATTTATCTATTTGTGCATGAATATAAATTCTATTTCAGGCACAATTACTCGAAGATCACATATTGGAACTGAAAAGGGTTTTGCGACCTGGATATAAAAGATTAAATTGGAACTCTCTTGGTATTCAAGTAAGTAATTATTTACCAGTTATTATCATGTTTTTTTTCAATTACGATCAATTACGGGACAATTGTCCAAAAAAGAAATTTTTCTGGGTTCCACCTTTTTTGTTTTCTATGTAACTTTGTCCAAAGCAAGATATTACTCAAATCAGCAAAAAATCACGAAAAATTGAGTTGCTTGTCATACCTTGCTTGTTTTCTGATTAACACCAAAACGGGATTAATACCAAATAACATTAAGCCAGCAAAAACTTTCAGTGATGTGGAACAATCTAAAAATTAGTTATTTGAACATTATTTATTCACAAATCAAATTGATGGACTGTAGTACATCAACATGTCACCTGGCGAATTAAAATTTGCAATAAATTAGAAAGTATCACACATTTTTGAGAATTATTGAAAGTATTAAACCAGTAACATTTTATTGGCATCTTGATTAGAATTGCAGGATTGCATTGATTTTTGCTTCTTTCTAGTTTTCCTTTCGTTTTCTGTAACTTTCAAACTGTTAACATAGAGCAAAAATTTAAAATTGAATTTTGACATAAATTTCAATTTATAAGGATTATGCGAGTCGATGTGAAGTTGCCATTGGAAAGTTTGAGTCATTGGTGAATCAGATTCAGAAAAATGCTCGAGATATCGACAGCAGGATTGTACTCATTGAAAATCTCGATCTTTTTAAACTTTATCCGCCTAAAATCGGAGGATACCTGCCAAGTGTGAAGGTAATGATTATTGTTATATATTCAATTTAAATTTTTTCATCAAGTCAAGTTTTTGTTCTGGAAAAACTTACTAATGTTTCTTTTCATATATAAATATTTTTTTTTCATTTTTTTTGAACTTTGAACATTGAGTGTACCATATAGTAAACTAGGGTGGTCCATGGTTGTGGGCTCCGCGGGCCACAAAATTATTTTGCCATTGGTCGCGGGCCACAATAGTACCAAACATAGGTAAACAGTTGTCAACCTATGTTAATGGAATCCGCATTCAATTTTTAGTTTTCTATCATGCCTATATTGTTAGCATATATTCGCAATATGTCAAACGATTTTTCTGATTTATTTCATGAGAAGCAATTTAAAATACAATATTTTTATTACTCTTCGAATGCGGCGCGGGCCACAGATAATGAAGGGGCGGGCCACATGCGGCTCGCGGGCCTGGGTTTGGACCACCCTGTAGTAAACCCAATTTGCTTCGCTGAATTGAAATGGAATGAAAATTCAGTAAATATTTTTTCAACTATGAATAACTATTATTGAACAAACAAGACTTCTATCAGACTATTTTATCATCTTCATTGCTTGCAAGTTTTAATTCAAATTTTATATTGTGTTTTCTAAGATTAATTAATAGATTCTTTTGTAATATAACGTAATAACTGTTCACAGATATTTTGAACTTTATTCTGGTGTTTTTTAACATATAAATATTAATTGCATACTTTGCATATATCAAAATTTCAGGAATATCTTGAATATATTGAACTGGAAAGAACAAAAGATCTAGATGTTCTTGCAAGAAAATATCGAGCCATCGGTCCACTGTTGACAAAAATGGAAGGTCTTGTAGCACACACCAACACTGGAAAATCGAAAAAACTTAATAAATATTATGAACATTGGGAGAAAAGAGTTTTTGATTGTTTGACGAACATGGTGATCAGAAACTTGACTGAATTTAATGCAGGTAAAATTCTTAATTTAGAACATATTTCAATGGTACAAATTATTTGAAGCAAAGCCTTCTAAAACAATTGAGCAATGCTCAAATATATAAACACGGAAGTCATGTATCAGTACTGAGATGAAGATGCCTGGAAGCACCAAGTATGCTAAAATATTGGCAGACAAACAGCACGGAAGGGGTTTATCAATACGAAACAAAATGTGTTGACCTTAACTAGAATAAAACAGAAAAAACGTTAATTGAATACTTGGTCTCACAGGACTGGCTCAGTGGTGTGGGGCATCGTGCTAAGTATTAGGAATAAGCTTGCCACAGCACCTCTGATTACCCTGTGTGGGTTCGCAGGTTTGAATCCTGTGGGGATGATTAAAAGTAATAGCCTACTAGCGACTTTTTCTATCTCTAAGTACTGAAAATTTGAACCTAATTGGTCCAATAGTTGCAAAAAAAAATCGGTTTTGAAAAGAAATTTAGCAAATCAATCCATATTTTCAATAATGAATATTTTGCATGTAATATATTATTTATTTTCTGTTTATCATTATCCTATTCATTATCTCTTTTTATAATTATCTTATTGTTTTTAGTCCTGACTTCAAACAAAATTATCTTCCAAATGGAATCGATTCTCTCGTCACCAGAAATTGTTCTTCATCCATCTGCATCTGAAGTTTATAAACTGTTGGAACAATCAGTTCGAGATTGTGTCATGTCAACTAAAAATTTTGTCAGATGGATGAATGGTAACACTTTGATTGTATATTTGTTAGTAATATTGTTCTTGATCATCGTAATTGATCCCTGTAACTAGTTTCAGCACTGAAATATATTGAGTTAGGCTTTTCGAAGATTAATGCTTTGAAATACTTTAAATTTAAAATATTGTCGGATCAGATTGATTCAAAATTTTAGACAAATTTTGGGATATAGATATGTGAAATCGTTCATCAAATCTTAAACGATCTGTGCGAAACGCAAGCCCACTGTCTTATTTTTCGGTTTCCATATGTGATTTATTAGGATTAAAAGCAATTAAATAAAGTGAAATATAAGTCATGTTGTATAATGCAGAACAGAGAAAAAGATGATTGAAACATTTTATTAATGAATTAACTCACATATGGATCAGAAATTGAGTCAAGCAATAGCACAATAAATGAAATTTCAATCTGGTGTTTTCCTCTGTAGTAATCATTTTGATTTTAAGATGGGACAAGATCATGAATTTTCTCCATATTTAATTTGAAAAAAAAAATAGGTTTAAAATTCGATAGATACTATCTTAAATGTTGGAAAACATCAAGAATCTCACCGAAATCCAAAAGAAACTTTGTTAAAATTTCTTATATATTTTTTATTAATATGTCAGGTACATGCATTGAAACTCCACCACAGCAAACAGAATCAGATGATGAACCTGTATCTTTATCATTTTTTGACGACATTCGTCATATTCCCAAGATTGCTGAAATTATAACTACAATTCGAACTAATGTTCAAAAGTTATTGACAAACTTGGCAAAGAGCTTGAGTAAGTTGAATATATATTACCCGGGTTTTTAACTTTAATTAATTTTCAATTTTGTATGTTAGAATAGGATGGGATTTACATTTTTATCTCGGGAAAGAGGAAAGCCCGTAGGACGGTTCAATAATATTTCAAACCACGGCCTCTTGTCCAGTTACCAGTTCATGTCGGATATGGGATTAGTCCTATCCTATTAGATTATTCCTATCCTAAGGTTTCAACTTGTTTTGAAACTCTCGTATTAATGTTAGATGGATTTTTCTTGCAGCTAAATGGAAGAGATATCGACCACTGTGGAAATTGGATAAAACATTAGTGATGGAAAAGTTTGCAAATAAGAATCCATCTTGTGTTGCTTATGATGATAAACTACAGTTTTATACAAGAATAATGGAAGAAGTCATTCAACAACCAATGATGAAAGTAAGACATGTTTATGTGTTTTGTAATGAAAATTGTAAAGATATTGTTGTGAAATACACTCAAAACTTGCATGCTAGCAGTGATGCTAAGGATCAGTATTTATTCTCATTATTTTGTTGTTGGCACAGAGTGGCCTATGGATTGTTTTCACTAAATTCTTGCTGTTCTTGTTGGGCGATTGTTGTTGTTAGAAAAAAATTGTTATTTTTCGAATAGTTGTCCTGACTCTTTTCAGAAAACTCAGTTCCCTCGGCCCTTATCGTACAGGTACCAATGAGCCAATCCATATATTTGAATATTGCTCTCTTTTTATTTGTCATTATATTATATAGGAGGAAGGAGGAACACCAGTTTCATTCAATCTTTGGCCATTTCAAAGTCCAACTTACCAAATTTAATAATAGAGTAGGTGGTCAAAGGTTGTGGGCTCCGCGGGCCACAAAATTATTTTGGCATTGATCGCAATAATGATAATTACCGCAAATCCAGTAGCTTCTAAGTTATAAGTGACTACTTGTGCAAAGTGTTTTTCAGAGTAAGAATGTAAGCAATCACATCAGTAACAATTTTTGCATTGAAATATCATTTTAGGATGAAATGTGCATTCGACTTAATCTTCAACCTCTTGCAACATCTGTGAAAGAACATGCTGGTAAATGGGTTCAAGAACTTGGAAAATTACTCAAAGATTCTGCAAAAGATTCCTTATTTGAATTAAGAGACAATTTGGTATGTAGACTTGTAGTAAAGATATTAATATCCTTGTCCTTGATTATCATTGACTAATTTGTTGTGCTTTTATTTGTCATTCAATACAGACATTCCCAGTGTCTAGGAAAAATAAAATATAGGATAATAAATTTCAGCAGCTTCATTTTTTTTGGTAAGATTGTTCAGTGAATTTTAGATTTAAAATTCAAAAAGAATCTCTGTATTCAATTTATGGATTTATATTTATCCCTATATTATATATTGATTTCACATCAAAATACCATTGCTTTGTATGAAAATAGGGTAACTTTGAAATATTTAACTCGACACAAATTATAATTTTGAATGGCTTTTTATTATGAATTTAGCACTCTCTCTGTTAACAGTTTGGAAAATCAACTAAATTATGATAAGTTTCAAGTTCTAAGATATGCTTTATTGTATATATTCCTCATTTACTATTGCTGAAGCATTTTTCTTATCAAATTAGTTTATATACTTGTTACTGAAAGCTATATATCACAGTTACAATTTGAAATCAACTAAATTATGGGTGAGGTTTTAAGTTCTAGGATATGCCATCTTTTTACAATTCATCTTTACCTATTCATCATTTACCGTTGTTGAAAAGTTTATTTTTTCAAAATAGTTTATATACTTGTTAATGAAAGCTCTATATCACATTTACAGGTTCAAATGGCAAAAGATTTGGAAAGACCTCCCAATACTCTTGAAGATTTGAAGTTTGTTTTGGGTGTAATTGCAAATATAAAAAGAATGTCCCTTGATGTTGAGATGAATATTGCTGATATACAAGAAAGGTATAGTTTACGAACAATTTTGTTTTAGTATTTTTCCAGTCTCAATGTACTCATATCAGATTGAGACCTATTTGCAAATTATTTTTTAGATATCGCACGATACAAATGTATAATATCGAAGTTACAAATGAGGAATTGGAAGTGGAAGAAAATATCAAACAAATGTGGGATGATTTGTTCCTAAATGCAAAGGTAAGTTTTGTCTTTACTTCATTGAGTTTATTTTAAAATGGCTTAGATAATAAATTTAGTAGAAAGAGATATGCAAATTTTACTGTGGTTTTTTACATTATCTGTCTATTTTAGCTATGTTTTACTTATTTTATGACGTATCTCATGTAATATGATTTGATAACAATATTTGGACACAGTTAAAAAGGAATTTTCTTTAACAAGAAAAAGTCTTACTTCTTAATATCACACCGTGGGGGAGGTAGTAGCATGGGATTTGAACCCGAGATGTCTACTTGCGACACAGTCTAACTAACGGTTTAGCAATTACACCTTCGAGCCCTCAATGCTTAATTAGTAGGGAGCATTTTATGACCTTTCCCTCAGCATATCGAACTCGATCAAACTTTCAACATGTATTTAAAATATTCTTTGTTCAGATCACTGATGTGAACTTGACCAGTGTCAAAGTAAAATTCACTGAAATCACTCAAGAACAAATCACTGAATTCAAAACGGAACTTGAGAAATTTTCTGAAAAATATATTACGGAAGGTCCGGCTTCCGTTGGATCTGATCTTGAGAGAGGATTTAAAATAATGAATGATTTCAAGAAGGAAATGTTGAAATATGAATCAGAGAGGTAAGTTTGAATTTAAATTTTATTAAATTTTCAAAACACTGTTTTTTGTTTCAAATTCATGACGTAAAGAGATGAAAAAATCTACATGCAAAAATTTGTTTATCCTCAAGCGGTGTTTCTGTTTATATCAAAATATGTCGATTGCTGAAAATCAACAAAAATATATAGCCTATGTTGTTTTTTGTGGTGTTGTTCACTTGCATTGAGTTTTTTACTTTCCTTTGGTAATTTTCCTTTGGTAATTTATGGTCAATAACGTTAATTCAATCAAACTTCCGTAAATTTATTTGGGTAGATTAAAATGAAACAATTAAAACTATTTCTGTAACACAAACTGTTAATCATAATTGTGTACTAATTTATTAATAGTAGTAGACAGGTATTTTAAGAAACCCTCTAAAATGGGAAAAAAAATTGAAGAGGTTGTTAGGGGTTGATTTTAACAACAGCATCATATTTATGTTATGTTTTTCTTTTTTTTGCGATTTTATCATTTGGAAAAATTGATTTACCGGTAACCATTTTGCAGACAAGAATTAACGAATGCAGAAAAGCTATTTGATCTACCTATCACTGCATATCCTAATCTTCTCAAACTACAAAATGATATGAAAGGATTAGAACTTGTTTATCAACTATTTGAAGAACAGGCAAATGCAAGAGAAGAATGGGCACAAACATTGTGGGCAAATCTCAATGTCAATCTGGTATGAATATAAATTGATTTCATCATTCTGCGTCTTCACGTCTTTAGTCTAAGCTTCAATGGGAATAATTTTCATATACACCCTGAATTTATAAAATTAGCATTTGTATTATTAACTAATATATATCATATGTTTTACGATTATTTATATAAAATTTAGTTGTATTTATATCTTTATAAATTTATATCATTTTGGTAGTTCGGACGTTTCAGTGATTATCCGTAACTTATGAAGTCTACTTATGTGACCTTTCTTCGAACAATTTTTCAAAAATTGAGTAAATCATTAAAATTCAGTAAATCAGTAAAATTCAGTAAATAAAACTTCAGCAATGTGACACAGTGATACTGATTACTGATTTATTTTTTAGTTTGTCTTTTTTAATTTTACCTTTGAAAATTTGGAGAATATTTGACTAACATATCTTGGTGATTTATAGCTTCTCGAAGGCATTGAAGGTTTCATGAAAAAACTCCGTAAAATGCCAAAACAAGTGAAACTACTTCCTCCTGCTCAATATCTGGATGCTAAAATGAAGGAATTTAAAGATTCAATTCCATTGTTCTTGGATCTGAAAAATGAAGCATTGAGAGAGAGGTATGTTATATTTCATCCATTTCGGCTTCCCATAAATTTTCCCATACTCATCTTATATAGGTAATGGAACAAAATTTGGGGTCTGTAAAGTGTGTTCCTAAACGGAATATTGCTTGGAGTGAATAATACGCAGAAAGACTATTTTTTGCAGAAGTTTTCCATTTCCAGTATATTCAGTAACAATCACTTATTACTTATCGATTTTAATCGGTAAGTATGTTGATAGGTATTTGTCTGTCTGTATGTCTGTTTGTCTGTTAGATGCACGCGATATCTCACGAAAGCGAGATTGAATCTGCTCCAGATTTTGCATGTGCATTCATCTTATCTCGGACCAGAAGCCTATTGATTTTGGACGAATTATGTCGTATAATTAGCGAGTTATCAATCAGTTATTGATATAGTGATCTAGATTTTTGTGAAGCGAGAGAATTTTGAGACCCGCCGAGTGTGTGTGTGCGATGCGCAGTGCGCAAGTTACAAGAGCGGATGAATCGAAACTGCAGTTTCTGTTTTGGGGGATCCCCTAACTATCGATCGATAAATCTTCGGTTTCCAACCAATATTCTCGTTTTACTTCCAAGGCATTGGAAAGAACTCATGACAAAAACTGGAAAAGATTTTGACATGAATCCAGATACATTTACATTGGAAAACTTGTTCACGATGCAGCTGCATAATTTTGCTGATACTATCAATGAAATTGTTACATCTGCTGCAAAGGAGTTGAGCATTGAAAAAGGTCTCAAAGAGGTAAAAACTGAAATTTAAAAGCGTTATTTTGGGACAATTTTGCATTTTATAAAATGTGTTCAGACAGTTAATTTTGAAATTTCTTTTTCAAAATAATATTACACAATAATACTTTCCATTTTTTTCATTATTACTATAGTTAAAATTGTTCATGTTGTTTTAAGAGTCATATATCTAAGTTTCAAAATCAAAATTTGCTGTGACATATTTCACTGCATTGTGGAACCAAACTTTTTTCATAACTCACTTACACTTAAGCAGAAAAAGTGTTTAGACTAATATCAATTTCTCACAATTTGACAAGCTTTATTTCAAAATGTAGCATTTTATCTTACTGTACGATAAAATTTGCTTTCGTTCGAAATATCACTCATGTAAGAACTAAATATTTTCAATTCCATATCTTTAGGTCGTGGATACTTGGGAATCAATGAAATTCTCTGTTTTAAAATATGTTAAAGGAACTTCTGACAGAGGATTTGTTTTAGGTGAGTTACAGTTCTATAAAGAAGTTTTGTAATATTTCTATTTTTATGACAGAAATCTGTAATCAGTATAGGTATGTTAGGACGAAAATAATAGTTTTTACAGTTCGAATATTAATATCCAAATAGTTGATTTTTGCAACTTTGTACTAAAATCATTTTTGATCAGGAGATTTTGTTTAACTTCGTCTGTTTCATATTTGTAAAGTTAGATTTTACGAAAATACTGAATTATTTAAAGATGGCTTACGATCAATCAAATTAATGAATTATGGAAGATTTGAATGATTAAACACAAACAAAACTTTTTTTTTAAATTTTATTATATCATTTGAAATGGGTATCCAACTTGATGCTAATAAAATTGTCTTATAGAATTTGAACAAATCAAGTCATAAATTTGATGTTAAATAATTTTGTTTCAATATATATTTGTTTCAGGTGCCATCGATGACGTATTGCAAATCCTAGATGATAATTCCATGAATTTACAATCCATGTCGGCATCAAGATTTGTTGGTCCGTTTCTCAACTCTGTACAACAATGGGAGAAAGGTCTTTCTCTAATTGCAGAGGTAGGAAGTCACTTCATCCTATTTTAACCTGTGAACTCTTACAATTAAGTGAAGTGTGCTTGCATTCTTTAATAGCACAATACACAAATTGTCATTGGTTGTGCGTGTAGTGTCTGTGCTTGGTAAGAGTAGTTCATATGGCTTTCACAATCTTGTTTGAATGAATATTTCAGGTTTGTGATGTTTGGATGGTTGTACAAAGGAAATGGATGTATCTGGAATCAATCTTTATTGGTGGTGACATCAGGTATTCATTACTATATTCAAATTTGTATTTAAATAGTGTTCTATCATTTATACTTTAATAGTTTTTCGGAAATTAATCTGGAAGTTACCGTAGTATTCTTAGTTATAGATTTTTCTTTTTTAAAAGTCAGCAAATTCTTTTTTAATTTTCTGTCAATGAATAGAAAGTTAAATTTAGCTCTTACGAACTATATTGTCATGCATAATTGTAGTTTATGACAATGAAGAAATATGATCAGAGTTCATAAAATAATATTCAGCAAAGCTAAAAAGACACAACCCAACAATATTGTTTGACTACTTTTTTTGTGTAAAATATTTGTAAAAAAAATAATTTTTCTATTTCTTTTTTAAAACTTTTCACTTCTTGTCAGATCTCAACTTCCAGAAGAAGCGAAAAAATTTGACAACATTGATAAATTGTTCAAGAAAATTATGCAAGAAACTGTAAAAAATCCGAAAATAAAAGATTGTTGTCATACACAGAACAGATTACAGGATTTACAAAGTTTAAGTGATGGTTTGGAACGATGTCAAAAGTCACTGAATGATTATTTGGACTCAAAAAGAAATGCTTTCCCAAGGTAAGACTGTATCATCCAAGTAGAAATTCATAATGTTGAACAATTTTGTAATGATTTTATAAATGAACCATGTTTTATATATATTCTTGTTGGATTCATATCCACACAAATTAAAAAAAAAAGCTAATTTCATGCTAAAATTGATGTTGATAAAATAATTTTTACTGTAATGTTAAAAAAGTTTTTCATGCTACAAAACTAATTAATAGCACTCCATGAGACCCATAAACAATTTCAAGTTGTAATCTTCATAGCTTTATATTATTCTATTACACCAGGGGTTTTCAACGGGGTAAATTTGACCCAAGTGGGTAAATTTGACCTGCTTCAGCAGTGGGTTTCACTTAACACTACGGTCTAACTCGTGCATAACCCAAGGTTTAACAATCATGCTACCCTCAATATTTTTAGCATTTTATGTAATTTATTGTTTTGTAGATTTTTCTTCATATCTGATGATGAGTTGCTCAGTATCTTGGGATCAAGTGATCCTAATTGTGTACAAGAACATATGATTAAAATGTACGACAATATCGCTAGTCTGAAATTCCAAGAAGGAATGAATAATGAAACTGTTGCTACGGCAATGGTATCTGCAGAAAAAGAGGTTCGTTTTACGAATTTAATATTTTTTTTTAAATGTAAAGAAATGTAGAATTGAGCTCAATTATTCGATTGAGCAGCCAACAATAAATCCCGAAAAATTTGATTTAAGCTCAATTAAAAAAATTTTTTTTTTTGAAAGAGCTATTTTTAAGATGAAAATCTTTGTAAAATATTCTATTTTCAAATAAATAACATTGTATTTTCAATTTTGAATAGCAAAAGTCAAATGGCAATGAGTTTAAAAACGAATTCTTCTAAACAGTTATTTTATTGACAACACATATTTTAGTAGTCATAAAAATGTTATTTTGGCATTCCAAATTTTCTCTACCCCTCCTTAGAAAAAAAAAATCGTGAAAAAAACATCTTTATTAGTTTATTGCCCTTCTTGTATTTTTTGAGTCTGCTACCTCACCGATTACTTCATCTCACTCTATTACTTCATCATGTACTGTTTTGTAAAAAAAAAACTTATACCGTATATGTTATTTTCGTCAGGTCATGGACTTCAAGAAACCAGTGCCTGCTGAAGGTAGAGTGGAAGACTGGATGACAGCTGTATTACAAGAGATGAGAAGCACAAATAGAAAAATAACAAAAGAATCATTGTTCAATTATTGTAACAATGTGTAAGATAAAACATGTTAAATGTGTAGTTCAATATAATGGAAAATAGGCGTTTATTTCTAAACTTTTGATGGGAAATGTACTCTGTAGCCTATATGCACAAATATAATATGATGCCGGTTTTATTCTATCATTGTGGAATTTCAGCAATCAATAATATGTCTTAATTCTGGATAGGATAGAATTTACATATATTTCCGGGGGGAAAGGAAAGCCGCTATGGCGGTTTAATCATATGGCAAACCACAACCTCTCGTCCGGTTACCAGTCCGTGTCGTGTACGGAATTAGATATCCAGTTAATCGCTCCAGATGCATGGACTTGATGGTGGAGAAAACCGTAGCCGACCAGCAGTTATGGGAACCACCCTACATCGGTCCTGCAATCCTACACATTATTATCTCTCACAGGATTCAAAACCTGTAATCCCACGCAGGGCAATCATACGTGCGGTGGTGAGCGTATTCTCAATGCCGTAGCACGATGCGCCACACCGCCAGACCTGTGTCATTATTATTTTTATATTTTTTTTTATTACATTGAGATATATGGTGGTATATTTGTGTTGGCATTATATCATCTGTACTTGCTTTTCTAGTAAAGTTCTTTCATTTTTATAAAATTTCAGTGAACGAGTGGAATGGATGTTACAATATCAAGGTATGGTTGTTCTTGCCTGTAATCAAGTATGGTGGACATGGGAAGTGGAAGATGTTTTTCAACGGGTTAGTTGGGTATTTTATACTCAATTTTTATGAACTTTTCTAAATTTTTATGGCTTCAAATAAAATATCTTTATATTCAACTGTAAAAATGCAATGGATTTATAAAAAAAACTTTCAAACTTAATTGAATTGATGTGGTGTTCTGTTCGTCTGAAATGTCTAAAAAATTTATTTTAAATAGTTGATAAAAATGAAAATCTGTGCTTTAAAAATACTGGTATTAAATAATGAAATTTTCAGCGGCAAAATTTGTGACATTTTTAAAAATATATATAAATATTATAGATTCGAGTCCTTTCTTATGTATCAGCAGATGTGAAAAATGTTTCATGAAAAAGTAAATAATATTCATTGTTTTGATCATTTCTACAGTATCTGTAATAATATTAAATCATATTTTAGGTGAAAAGAGGTGACAAGTTAGCAATGAAGAAATATGCCGGACAAATGCATTTACAAATTGATACTCTTGTAACAAAAATTCAACAACCCTTGAGTAAAAATGAAAGGAAGAAATTCAATTCAGGTAGCTCATTACCTTTGTGTTACTCTTACACAATATTGGTCTTTTTTTAATTGGCAATATCTTGTCTTGTCCCATGTTGAAAAGGTCATGTTTGCCAATATAAGCAAGGAACACAATCATTTGTATTTGTAGTATTTCGTTACTATTATTCAACTAGAACTAATTTATCTATATTATAATGTTTTTTCACAATTTAAGTCAGGGCATTTTTCTTTGTATCATTTGTGTGAAACTCGTTTTTTTTTGTATCTCACTTTGTATGCTCACTGATATACATACCACTGACTTGAAAGTTTATGATTATTCCAGCGCGTATTTCATCACTTAATCAGATTATCATTACTGTGGTTTGAAAACAACATTTGAAATAGCTGCTCTTCGATGTGCTCTATGTTGAGATTAGTTTAATGTGGTGCTTTTGGAGAAATCTTTGCTCTATATTATTTCAATTCATAAGTTACGATAATAATTTAAATGTGAATATCTTATGAATAAACTAAATATATTTTCTTCAGTCTTAATTATTGATGTCCATGCTCGAGACATCATTGATACCTTTGTACGAGATTCTATTCTTGATGCGAGAGAATTTGAATGGGAATCACAACTTCGATTCTGCTGGGACAAAGAACCTGATCAGTTGATGATAAGACAATGTACTGGAACATTTGGATATGGGTGAGTGATACCAAGCAGAACTGTTTCTCAATTAGTTGGTCGGAGTGATGGAAATATTCACAATCAGCAAGAAGATAGAAGCAAAATGGATTCAAACCTCGCTGAAGACATTGATTGTCTTCAGTGGGGTTCGAATCCATTTTGCTTCCATCTTCTTGTTACCTGATCGTTAACATTTTCATGACGCCGACCAGTTTATTAAGAAACAGTTCTGTTTGGTACATATAATCTATTGAATAAATAAATTAACAAGAAAGATGTATCATACCATTTACTCAAGGCTTTGCGGCAATTCTCGATAACCTTTCATGATCCCCATTCGTTTGCACGAACTGGCGACAGCGACAAATAATCCAACAATGGGTAAAAAAAAGTAATAATAGCCTACTGTCTACTGATAATATCCTTCATATGCGTGAAATGATTTCCATAATTTTAGTTATGAATACATGGGATTGAATGGACGTTTGGTTATCACACCACTGACTGATCGTATTTATCTGACGCTTACACAAGCATTATCTATGTATCTTGGTGGTGCTCCTGCTGGACCAGCTGGTACTGGAAAAACAGGTATGACATTTTAAATTGAATTAAATAATGAAAGAATGTTTCAGTCACTGTTTATTTATTTTTGTTATTTAGAAACAACCAAGGATTTGGCAAAAGCATTGGGATTGCTTTGTGTTGTTACCAACTGCGGAGAGGGTATGGACTTTAAGGTATAAGGGATTATTTATTCAGCATGGCTCATGTATTTTATTGAAAATACTTCCAATTACAAAATAAAATCGTAAAAGAGTATTTACGAGATCTTAATAAGTAACAAAGCAAGAAAATTATCTTGTTTTAATATTTTTCAGGCTGTTGGTAAAATCTTCTCTGGTCTTGCACAATGTGGAGCATGGGGTTGTTTCGATGAATTCAACAGAATTGATGCCTCTGTGTTGTCTGTTGTATCATCACAAGTAAGAAAATTATGTCTATCATTTTTTTTTGAATTAAAAAAATTTTGCAGAGCATACTGGAATATATGTAGAATTAATTAAAGAACTTGTACTATTTTTATTACTCATGCATTGTCCAATATCTATGAACATAACAGCATGTTATTGATCCTCAAGGCATGTTTTATGTTGATCATTTCAGACTCCAATGTAATACCTCTTCTACAGTCTTATTTTGAATTACAAAATCAGTGTTGTCTAAAATTCAAAGCGTAAATGGTGTAATTTATGTAATGCATCTGAATTTTATATTATTTAAAAATTTGAATCTTTCCATATTATTTAATTTTAGGTTCAAACAATTAGAAATGCACTCATGCATCATTTGAAGAGATTTCAGTTTGAAGGAACAGAGATTGCACTTGACGATAGGATGGGTATTTTCATCACTATGAATCCTGGTTATGCTGGTAGAACTGAACTACCTGAAAGTGTGAAAGCATTGTTCAGGTTGGTAATAAAACAGGATTTTATTTATTTTCCATATGTAACAATTGAATTGCCATCAAATTTTGGTATTGATATATAGGAATTATGTATGTTCCAGCTTTTGTTTGTTTTGTTTTGCTTTGTCTGTAATTCAGATTCAGATTTTTTTTTGTTTGTGCAAAACCAATATGCAATATGAAATAATAAATAAAATACATGTCACAAATTACAAAAACGGATATCGGCTTGTTGCAGTTAATTAGGAATCGCAAGGACTCAATAAGTCATCTAGTCAGTGACACTTTACAGCTGTATTGAAGCAGCAAATATAGCAATGGAACAACTTGATAATAAACATTTACTCAATTAAACGCAACCATTCATAGAAAGAACAACAGAAAATTGGAAATAAACCACGACTTGCCCAGCAAAGGTATTTGGCTGCGAGAGTTGATATTTGACGAATATTTTCTATTGAAAGTGATGCTTCCATGTATTTGCACAATTGTGTTAGCTTGGGCATATCGCATCTGCATCAAACTCTCTACAAAATTTATTAATTTTTTATCTGTATGTGCTCAATTTTTTATCTTATGAAACGCTTGGAGAGCTTTTTTCGGCTGCTCATCTTTATATAAATATTATTATATGTGTTCCTTTTCGTGAACAAGCACATGCATTACACATATACCTTATGTGATGTGAGTGGAAGCTATGATCTATAACTAAAAGTTTTCTCTTCTTTTAGGCCTGTTGTCGTAATTGTACCTGATTTGCAACAAATTTGTGAAATTATGTTGTTCTCTGAGGGTTTCCTGACAGCGAAAGTTCTTGCAAAGAAGATGACAGTATTGTATAAGTTGGCAAAAGAACAACTTTCCAAACAACATCATTATGATTTTGGTCTTCGAGCTCTGAAAGCTGTGTTGGTCATGGCGGGTGACTTGAAAAGAGGATCACCTGACTTGCATGAAGAAGTTGTACTTATGAGGTATGAAAATGGAATATATAGCAATTAATACTAGATTTCTTTTTACAAATAAACCCCAATTACAAGCAGATTTATTAAGTATGGTTTATGTTTAGACTGCGCGGTCATTATAATTGTATATCCTTGGTATCCAGAGTGTTTTTGCAGGCTAATAAAACTTTCAATGAGTTTCTGGATGTGATTAAAAAAAAATCAGAACACAGATATGCGAGTGATGAGTATTGTCGCAAATTAATGACAACTATTCATGACCATATTAAAACTACTGTGAACTATAACACCAACACAGTAAGCAATACCTCTGCTGCACATCAACATGCAATACAAACTAATGGCATTCAATTGCAGTAATTATTGTTGAACATAGTCGTCTTGTAATCAACGTTATAAACACAAAGAATGAAATACACATGACTGACATACTCAAAGTTCACACTTTTTTAAATATTTCTCTTGTGTGCTTATTTTGTCTAACTGGATATTAATTTTATTTTATTTAGAGCTCTTCGTGACATGAATCTTCCAAAATTCATCTTTGAAGATGTGCCATTGTTCTTGGGTTTGATTAGTGATTTGTTCCCGGGACTTGATTGTCCTCGTGTTCGATATCCAAACTTTCATGAAGCTGTCGAAAAAATACTTGTTGATAACCATTGTGTGTTGCTGGAAAACCAAGTTGACAAGGTAAAAATTGATTGACAAGTCATTTTTGGGGCTCAGGGTTTCTGTTCGTAAGTCTCCTAAAATTCCGCTATTTGGTGTACAAACTAATTGAAACTTAGTCCGTCGTATTGCTTCATGTGTTACAAGATAAAAATGTTAAATTGTGCTTTTTATCAGGTCGTTCAAATATATGAAACAATGATGACCCGCCATACAACAATGATTGTTGGACCAACAGGTGGTGGAAAATCAGTCGTCATCAACACATTGTGTCAAGCACAAACGAAGTATGTTCTGTTCTAAACTTAGGTCATTTTGCAAAGTTTCCAGTTAGATCATGCCATGTAAAGTATATTAATTGTAAATATTTTCCATATTAGATAAGTACATTTTTGAAAATATTTCAATTGTACATACAACGTGTCAAGTTTTAGTAAACATTTGAATTGATATTGAATATGCAGATTTTTAAAGGGGTTGAATTTTTGCTTATGTATGCAAATGAAGATCTATGTAGAAAAATTTGTTCAACATTATAAGGTCCACACTAGGATATCATTATTCATCTCATCAAGATTATAATTAAACAATTCAAAAAAAAATTATGTCCTAAAACAAGGTTTGGCCATTGTCCTGCTGGACTTTAGTAAACATTTGCAACATATATATGAAATAATATTTTTCTAGAAAGTTTACTTATTACATACATTATTCTTAATTATTTTTTACGGGTATTTCTATATTCCCAGTCAAGATATCCATGAATAAAGCAATACCATATAATTTTCCACAAACAAATTGCACAAATATACAACATGTAAATGGGGACTCTAATTGGTACATCGTTGATTAGGAGAAAAGAATATATCTTCAATCATAAGATATAGCTTGTTCTTAACAACACCTTTTTTATTCAATCAGACTGAATCTTCCAACAAAACTATACATCATCAATTCAAAAGCGATGACTGTGGTTGAGTTATATGGAATACTGGATCCAATAACTAGAGATTGGACTGATGGTGTTCTATCAAACATCTTCAGAGAAATTAACAAACCAACAGAAAAGAAGGAAAGGAGGTTAGATGGTTTTTTAAAGTTGAAGTATGACATCACAATTTTTTTTTAATATGTTTACCGTAGTTATTAACAATTGACTTATCTTTTTGACTACAAAACCCTAGACAAATTTTCCAATTATTTCATTATTATATTATTTGGTTTACTTCGGCGTCGTTTAATTCATCAAAATATTTTGGTAAAATTTAATAAGTTACTTATTTTGACTTGACTTTAAAAATGCAAGGGGGAGAATTTTTTGGCTATGTTCATATAAGCAGCTATTCTTGAATATGGGTAAAGTGAACAACATATTTTTATAAATTATTGAATACTTCGCTCTTTGACGCCAAGAAATTTTACAGTAATTAGTTCATAATGATAACTATATTATATGTTCATTTAATATTTTCAGCCTTCTCAAAATTTTATTTTATTTTTTTCCAGGTATATCCTCTTTGACAGTGATGTTGATGCATTATGGGTCGAGAACATGAACTCTGTCATGGATGACAATAAACTGTTGACACTTGCTAATGGTGAACGTATCAGACTGCAAGGCCATTGTGCTCTTTTATTTGAAGTCGGTGATCTACAATATGCTTCCCCCGCAACTGTATCTAGAGCAGGTGAGAAAGTTTGTTGTGTATCGGATTCTTGATAAGAATGAAAGTTACAAACTCCTCACTCTGTTACGGGCATTTCAAAACTTTGCCACAAACACAAACGCCAGACGAGCTTCTTTTTCACTGCTGCTCATTAAGTCTTTATCATAAATATCATTATGTGTGTTATTTTCGATGAACGAGCACCTCGATTACACGTTATATACTTTATTCTCAAGTTTTGCTCGTTTTCCAGGCATTTATGTTATATAATTTATTCGTTTCATTGATTGTTGTGTTTTGAGATTGCCAAAATAAATTGTATTGTATTTAATATTATCTTATCTGAACTGTTGTTCATAGCTAAATACACTACACATTAATGTTTTTAGGCGTATCATTTATCACAATACTTGAATTTTCTTATTTCCAAATTTCTACATTTTAGATCGGTTATTCTGATCACCGGAACTTTAATTTGCTTTTAATTTATATAAGTCTAGAAATAGGTTTATACAACTTTTTTTTTTAAATTAGTAGACTCGTTTTGCATTCATCTTTATTTTTTGTGTCGTCAAATCATTTCAAGTTTGTTAACTCTTCAAGGTATGGTCTATGTTGATCCAAAGAATCTCAATTATGAGCCATACTGGAAAAAATGGTTGAGTTACAGAACTTCCAAAACTGAAGAGGAAATGTTACAAAAACTTTATGAAAAATATGTTCCTATATCCATTGATTATGTGAGTTTTATACTTCTTGTAAACTTTTCTCTGTGAAACAGAATGACCTAATATGGCTTGATGGCTAAATACTATCTGTCTGTATCCGTTTCATTGTACTTTTCAAATTAAACTTGAACGCAACAATGAATGGCATATTTTTATTATTGACACTCTTCAATGCAATTTTCAATGATTACCTACCAATTTTCTGTCATAACTGATAGCTATTTAGTATTTACTGTGTTCTGTTCTATTTCCACTTTCAAATAAGGACTTGCAACCTTGATGAATAATTTTATAACACAAAATATAGTAAAAGGTTTTTGGAACCCGTCAGAAAAATTCCGATAAACTCAACTTATGTCTGAACTTTAATAGCCAAGTTTTTAAATTTCGATTCCTCCAAGTTTTTTTAAATTTATTTTAACATTCAGGTATATGAAGGAGTACTTGATGGCAGACAAGGAAAACCATTAAAAACAATTGTTCACCAGACTAATTTGAATATGACAACACAGTTATGTATGATGCTCAATTCTGTACTTGCTGATTTCAAGTTGGATAATTATGGCCCAACAGTAAGTTTGCATTTTTTATATAGCAAAACATAATTCTAAGACATTTTATACCAATTTTTATGCTATTTTGGCTAACATAAAATTAAATATTAAAAAATAACATTGTACTCATGATTATATACTTTTGAACATGTCTAGTGATTAGTTTTATTTTAATATTAATATATCACCAATTGCATTTCTAGAAATCAGTCCTAAATTTGTTAACATAGTTTCAACACTGTTACGCAATTGACTCAATTTGGACATAAAACTACAAATTATTTATCTACTCTTTTATCATCTCACCACTTTTTGACCTGAATATTATAGTACATTTTAATTAATTATTAAATTGTCTTATGAATAGGTCCTGGAATGCCTGTTTTTGGAATGTATGTATTGGTCAATCGGGGCAACACTGGTTGAAGATTCCAGGGTAAAATTTGATGAATGTGTTAAAAAGGCTTCAGCAATGACTTCAGTTCAGGTTGATACAAATTTCTTATTTTATCTCAAGAAAAAAATAAATACAATGTTTCTATCTCTAGAATGGGGATGAGAACTTTGGGATGGGAGAAAGGGTATTAGTGTTAAAACACTTTTAACAACTGAATGTCCAGCAATTCTCTAAAATTAAACCTCATGGTCACGTATTCAAATTAAGAATAGAGTTGTCCTGATCTGGTGTTGAATAATATTCACTTCTCCATCATTATGAAATTGTCGTCTTGATGAGATTAGCAAGCAAAATTGATTCTTGAATCTATTTTAATAAAATTATAATTCATTTTTAGGATGATGAAAAAAATCCTGCCAAAGCTGGCGATCTTCCTTCCAAATATCCATCATTGTATGATTATCATTTTGATCTGGAAACAACATCTTGGGTGCCGTGGAGTCAAATTGTTCCAAAGTATGGTGAAGTATTAGATTGAAATTAAGCGATATGAAGATGATGGGTTTATCAAGTTATTAACATATAAATGAAAACATTAAAACATAAATATATCATTGTTGGAAAGCTGTGTAGACATATCAAACACATTCATATAATAATAAACTGGATTAAAATACAATAGGATACTAGCTACAAATACAACAAGTATTTTTAGGAAGTTTCAATTGAAAATTGAAAAAGAACTCGAATTGTTAAATAATATCACCATGGGATGGCAAAAATAATCTTGAGTCATAAGAAAAAACAAAATTCACCAGAAGTCATGTTTATCCATTACTTAGAGCATCTTGACAATAAATAGTATCTTTGCCATTTCTTATGGTGCTTTCGTTATAAATTGGTCATCTCTTAATCTAGATTTTTATCTTCAGATATGTCCATGATCCAGCTTTGAATTACAATCAAATTCTTGTACCTACAATCGACACAACCAGAACAACATGGTTACTTAATCTCATGATCAGTATAAAACGACCTGTTGTACTTGTGGGTGAAACAGGAACATCTAAAACTGCAACCATTCAGGTAACATTGGAAGAATTGTGTTTCGTGTTTAGAAATCACAGGTTGGATATGGAAAGTATGTGATCAGACATATGATCAGGAAAGATATATAGTCACTCTTGTTCTTCTTTGTAAATGCCATCAAATATTTTAGATTTGTCATTGCATTCCAAAATTATGAATATTGCTGTTATTATACTCATGCTGTAATCATTCTAATCTGGTATTACAACCAAAATTCCAAACCGTATTGCAATTCGAACATCATACGCATGATAGTTGATAGAAAGTTGATATCAGAATATTCTTTATGACATATTCTACAGGTTTGCTTCTAATAAGGCTTCACACAAGCAACTAATCATTAGTTTGTGATTTTGTTGAACCAGAACTTCTATGAATTGGTATATTTTACCTAAATTTTTACAGCATGTGTGAAGTGGTGAGATTGGGAGTGGGTTTTGACCTTTCACCTGCAAAGTCAATACAGTTAGGTCTTATCCACTAACCTACCAGTAACTCTTGATTCAGAAAATAATACTGTAATATTCTCTTGCAGAGTTTCCTTCGAAACCTTGATACTGATGCTCACCTACAACTTCACATCAACTTTTCATCACGAACAACATCAATGGATTTGCAACGTAATTTTGAGGCAAATGTTGAGAAACGTACTAAAGACACGTACGGTCCTCCACCTGGAAAACGACTCATTGTTTTTATGGATGACATGAACATGCCTCAAGTGGATACTTACGGAACGCAACAACCAATCGCTTTACTCAAACTTCTTCTGGAAAAAGGAGGAATGTATGACAGAGGCAAGGAATTGAATTACAAATACCTGAAAGACATGGGATACATTGCGGCTATGGGAAAAGCTGGTGGTGGCCGTAATGAAGTGAGTTCTGAAGAAAAGTCATGTAAAATGTCATTACATATAGTACTGTTTCGTATAATAATTTATTTTAAATTATTTTCACTATATGTTGTCATTTAAGTGCCACCTTTTTAAAATTCAATTATTCAAAAAATAAAAGCTGTTTTGTGATGGATCAATAGAACATAATAACTTCTAGGAAAAAATAAAAAGTAAAATAATGTAACAATTGGTAATGTTTCACTTTTGTTTATCTACTTCAAGAACCTGATGTCCATAAACTTTACTCACTCATTGATTCAGTTTTTAGTGCTTCACATTGTTGCACTTTCAAGAACTCAAGCTGTAAAATAATAACTTTTAATTTAATCCAGTTGATTTTCTTGTTTAGGTGGATCCACGTTTTCTTTCACTATTCAGTGCTTTCAACATGACTTTCCCAGCTGAAGAATCTCTCAAAAATATTTATGAGTCTATATTACGAGGTCATAATCAACCTTTTGCAGATGAAATTCAACAATGTGTTGTACTTCTTACCAGGTGGGTTATTCTTTGTTGAGAGCATCTGTACGATCTGTATTAATAAGAAGCACTCAATTCAAGTATTCAAGTAGCAATTTTATCATATATATATATATATATCGACAAAATCATTATCCTTCTTTTTCTGCTTCATATTTTGAGAATCAGGTTCAGGGAATTTATGGAATTTTTAGTGATCCCCTCAGTATATCTATTAATATTATCACACACTCCACTCAGCCAAACTTTACTTTTGATGCTTGGGCTAAACATTCTTTTTGCAAGTGAAAAAATTGGAATTTTTGCATGCATGCTCGAATGATAAATTTTGGTGCTCCCGAAGTATGCGAACCAAGATGGCGGACATCGGAACGTAACATGGGTAACAGGTTAGGGTTGGGCGATAATTTCTTTCCAATTTCCCTTATTTTAGTCCTATTATCAGTTTGAAGACTAGCCAAGAGCCTCTCGTAGTATTTATACCTAAAATTATGGCTTAACCCTAACCTAGTACACATATTACATTTCGATGTCCGCCATCTTGGTTCGCATACTTCGGGAGCCCCTAAATTTTACTATATTACATCCATATAAATGGTTGTTTTTGAGTTTAGCTCAAACTGTTAACTTTTGTTTTCTCATATTCCAGATGTACTCTTGAGTTGTATAAAACGATTGTCAACGAACTCCCACCAACACCTTCTAAATTTCATTACATTTTCAACTTGAGAGATTTATCAAGAGTTTATCAGGTATATTTAATGTACCTGTAACCATCTGCATGCACCTTGTACTATTATGATTTTTTTTTCACAAAAACATTTTACTTGCCATCCACTCTGAACAAAGCTCTGCAAACATATCTTGGAAGGATTGCCCTGCTTTAGCGGTATCTACCTCATTTATTACACTTTGGGTTAGGTGTTGGGAATGGTATTTGAAACCGAAATTTTCAACCTGCAATGTGAACATGACGATTTCACCACTAAACCATTTAACAAATGCTAAATTAACAATCTTGATTGCAAATTATTTATTAGAATGTATACAATAATTGAGTCTTTTACACATCTCAAGTAAAAAAATATACAGTAATAAAAAATGTCTAAAATAAAAAAAACTTACAATATAGAATATTTGATTTTAGGGTCTATGTCTCACAACACCAGAAAGATTCACAACAATTCAACATTTGATTCGTGTTTGGAGAAATGAATGTTTGAGAGTTTTCCATGATAGATTGATTGATCAGAAAGACAAAGATGCTGTTCAGGTAAGTTTGTGTTTCTTCACTTAATAAGGTTGGTAAACAAATATGTGTTAATCAATGTGGTTGAAGGCTATTAAAGTGATTCTGAATCAATCAAACACTCAGTACAACGGTTGTGAAATGGGCTAAGCATTAAGAACATACTTGTCATTGTGTCACTAATTACACAGCATGTGTTCTGTGTCGAATAATTCTGTGAAAGAGGATTGGTGGATTCCAAATGGCATGGCACACTATATGATTATGTTATCTTGTTGACTTTCCTGTCCTTTGAGCATATGAAATTCCTCTTTTATCAATATCTGAAGTTTCAATGGTCATATGAATTTGAGAGAAAAATAAGATAATAATATCAAGTTTGCTTTGTCAGTTTTTAACATCAATTTTAAGCAACATAAAAATATGATTCTTCTTAAATGTATCAAATGCTCTTGATGCACATTTATTTTTAGTATTTCATGTAGTATTTTTTACTATTTTTCAATATTCATATTCACCTTTTTTTATTTACCAGAGTATGATTGAAAAGCTGGTTCAAGAAAATTTCTCAAAACATGAAGAGTTTATCATGAGAAATCCTGTTTTGTATGGCGATTATCGTACTGCATTGCAAGTAAGAAAAGCTTTCATTTGTTTATCAACCTAGCACTTAGGTATTTCTAAAACTATCTAACATCATGCAAATTCATCAAGCCTGCATTCAAAACTTAATATGAAGATCAAAATTTGAATATGCTCCTCAGGGAACTATTTTTTTATGATATTATTGCGGTTTAAGTAACTACCATAAGTTAGTCTATATAATTTTCTTACTTATACTAGGACAATGAGCCTCGGTTGTACGAAGATGTTCAAGATTTTGATGCAGCTAAAGCTTTGTTTCAAGAAATTCTTGAAGAATATAATGAATCACACACTCCAATGAACCTGGTGTTATTTGAAGATGCATTGGGTATGCATTGGCTTTTTTTCTGCTCGGTTATACTGTTTATATTCAGTAAAATCCAAATCTGTCTGATAAGCACAGCAACAGCACAGTATTGATGTTTCTGCAGTAAGAACACACTTGATATCACACCTCTGATTACACTGTTAAGGTCCACAGGTGTGAATCCTCTGGTAGATGATTATGCTGGACCCCTCATCATCGCAGGGTGGTTCACATATCTGCTGGTTGCATGAATCCTTGCATATCGAATAAACAACTGGTGAACTAACTATTCCTATACTCAACATGGACTTGTAACTGGATGAGAAGCTGTGGATTTCTTCTTCCCCGGAATAAATTTGAAAATCCTACTTTTTTTTAGTTTTTGTTGTTCTATTGCAATGAACAAACATAAAACACCATTTTCATACTAACATGTCATTGTCTGCCATATAGTTTACAACTGCATTATTTCATTACAGATCATCTTACTCGTGTACATCGTGTTATAAGAATGGAGCTCGGCAATGCATTGCTTGTTGGTGTAGGGGGCAGCGGTAAACAGAGTTTAACAAAACTTGCATCATTTGCAGCAGGTTGCGAAATATTTGAGATTCAACTGAGCAGAGGATATGATGAGTCAGCATTTAGAGAAGATTTGAAGGTTAGTAATTTGCTGAATGTCATCAGTTGGGAAATGTTAGTCTTTGATGTGAAGGGATAACAAAAGATAACAGATTCTGCAAAAGCAAGATTTTCATTCCTTTCCAAACTTTATTTGAATGTTTCATCTCATTCCACCGATCAAGGTAACAACATTTCTATACTTTCAGATTCTTTACAACATGCTTGGTATTGAGAATAAGAAAACTGTTTTCCTATTCACTGACTCTCATGTGGCTGAAGAAGGTTTTCTTGAATTGATCAACAACATGTTGACATCTGGAATGGTTCCTGCTCTGTATGCAGATGATGAGAAGGAAGGGATTATTGGACAAATGAGAGATGAAGCTGGGAAAAACGGGTAATTGTTCAGAGTAAACGTCATGAATAAGGCTTGTGCAAAAAAGTAGTGGAAAATTTGATGTATAAGACCATTTGATTTTTTCTAATCTCTATCAATTACTGTAAAAAATTCTAAAAAATATGCAAATGTAATAAATATATTTCTAGATATGGACCAGCAAAAGAAGCTATTTGGCAATACTTTGTTGGCAAGTGTCGAGATAATCTCCACATTGTACTTGCGATGTCACCAGTTGGAGATACGTTACGTATAAGATGTCGTAACTTCCCTGGAATGGTCAATAATACTGTTATTGACTGGTTCTTACCATGGCCTGAACAAGCATTGTATGCTGTTGCAACATCTTTTATATCGGAAAATCAAATGATTCCCGAAGAACATGTTGACCAGGTTTGTCTTATACTTGTAGTTCGATCACTAACATAAAATTCACAGAAAGAATTGAGTATTTGATTATGCATGTAATTCCGTATATTTCCATTCAAAATATATTTATAATATGATCAGATAAAACTGGCAATTTTGACAATTCAAATCAGTTCGGCTGATAAAACTTTGATTTAACTCGGAGTCAAGTATAATTAAAACACCCAAGAAAATTTTTTTTTATGTATTTAAACCTTGTTGGTTAATGCTATTTTATTTGCCATATTTTGTCTATTTATATGTGATTATTTCCTATCTATATGCAGAAAAGGTGTGGTTCTGATTTGTTAACATTAATGCTTGTAATTAATAGCAATTGAATAATTGTTTGATTGAAAAATAAAAATGATTATCACACTCTACTTGAATTCTTACTTTACTATGGCAGATCAAATTCAGATGGATGTAAATGATGTAAAAAGTTAAATATGATATTAAAATTCCTCACAACTTCCCAACCAAACAATTTTTGTTCAGGTTGTTGCACACATTGTCTTTGTTCATCTATCTGTTGGTGAGTACAGTACATTGTTTGCTCAGAAGTTGAGAAGAAATAACTATGTAACACCAAAGAATTATCTGGATTTCATTTCAAGGTAAAAACACATAATAGGATATTTATAATGTAACATTTGATCATAAAATTAGGACAACTTTCTTGAGTTACAGTACATTTTATAAGCTCTCCAGCATCGTCGTTGTGACAGGCTGTCAATTATATGTAGGTAGGACTTCAATTAATGTACCAACTATTTGACTTTTGAGATTAAATTTGATCATTGGAAAACTCTTTCGACTCGTTTGACAAGATGGAAGGCTATGGACGTTTCCCTGACCTTTGACCCTTGAAATGTTCTCCCTCTACTTAAAATTTCGAACGGTCATTTTGAGAGTGATTTGGAGGGTTAGCATGTACAAACTGACTCACTCAAGTTTAAAGAAGCGCCTGATCGGGTGCACAAATCGCAATTGTTCCCTCATTGTTTCCTTTTTGCTAATCGGTCATTGTTGTGGTAATAAACAAGGAAATTGATTCCTGGAGAAACGCCCATTCCATCTCATATCTAGAGTTTACAGTACCTGGTTACAATTATATGTAATATGGCTGGATTTAATTTTGCAATAAATTAATTTTAGTTATAATTCACTGCTGGACAAAAAAGATCAAGAAATTTTGAAAATGTGTGAACGTTTGGAAGGAGGATTGATGAAACTTTCTGAAGCTTCTGAGCAACTGGAAGAACTTAACAAAAAACTTGCAGTTCAAAAGGTTAGTGAAGTCTACTAAGTACTGAATATTTACCCCAAAAATTCACGTGCAATTGTATGAGGCCTGAAGTATTTTATTGAATTCCTTATTTCTATCAAAATGTCTAAAATATAATATGCGTACCCATTGTTTTTCGCTGCTTGGAATTTTTTTTTATCAAATGCTAACAAATATGTTATGGTAAGTTCTTTATAGAATATTTTATTGAATATTTAAAACATAACAAAATTTTAAACAATGTCTATCGATAAACTATAGATGTATCGATCACGAATTATCGAAATTCATATTAGGATAGGATAGGATTTACATGTTTATCCTGGGGGAGAAGAGAGTCGATAGGGCGGCTTAATTATAAGGCGCACCGAAGTCTCTCGTCCAGTTACCAGTCCAAGGACTAGTTAGCCAGTTATTCATTTTCGAAAGCATGGACTTGATGATGGAGGAAGCCGTAACTGACCAGCGGCCATGGGAATCACCCTACGGCAGCGAGGGGTCCGGCAATCCTCTCACACATAACTATCCCTGCATGGGATTCAAACCTCAAACCCACGCAGGGTAATCAGAAGTGCAGTAGCAAGTGTATTTCTAACGCTTAGCATGTTGCACCACACTGTCAAGCCTTGAACTTGAGCAGGTTACTTTTTTCTAGTCGACTTTTTGAACCTTGTTAAATGTGAGTTCATCTGTACTCTCCCATTTTAATACATAACGCTTCTCATGATAACCACAGGTTGCTGTCACTGAAAAAACGGAGGCCTGTGAAATGCTCCTGGAAGATATTACAAATAAACGTGAAGTTGCAACTGAGAAAAAAGAACTTGCTTCTGCAAAAGCTACTGAAATTGAAGAACAAAATAAGGTAATCTGTTATTCAAAGATATCCTCGATTTTTAGTTACTATGTATTTATTATTACGAATTAACTGTCAACGTGGCAAATTTAAGCATTTGAATACTAAAAGGGAATACTTTTCAGTTTTATCAAAATGGTCACAATTTGGTACATGGAATTCCACAATACTTAAGACACATTTAATACTTTCAATATTACAAACTGAAATATAGTTTGATTTAAAGTTAAATCAAATGATAATGATAATCTTTTGTTATCTCTTGTCCTGTTATTTTCATATTAAAATGATTGAAATATGCATAGTTTTGGAGTAACTAAAGCTGCGCATGAGACAGAGTTTTTACATATAATATATTTGTAATAGTTCTTCTATTCCATTCCAGATCATTGCAGTCGAAAAGCTAGATGCTGAAGAATCGTTGGCAGAAGCAATGCCTGCACTTGAAGCTGCAAGATTGGCTCTACAAGATCTTGATAAATCTGACGTCACAGAAATCAGGTATTTAAGAGAAGGATCATTTAAAGCAGTGGTTCCAAAACTGCGACATGCGGGCCAATCTAGACCCGCATAACGATTCAATATGGTCCACTGGTCCTTTTTCGCGTTCTAAATACCACCAATTATTACGTCATTATCACAGTTTAAGCGGTGTATATTCGTACTAATTCAAGTATAATAGTATCTTAACTATTCGTACCGGTACCGGGCATTAGCCCCTTGCGGGATCTCCCCTTTTCTGGACCGCGTATATCTTTTCTCTTCCAATTTTGGCCCCCCGGACAATCAACTTTGGAATCACTGTTTAACAAATACTCTACTGTCTGTCTTTTATGCCGTAAAGTTGAGATTTATAATGTCGATTTTTAGGGCAGTTTTATTGTTTGTAATGTAATATAATATCATATTATTACATGAAATCAATACTACAATAGTGTATAAATTTTTTTATTTTATCATAGATCCTTTGCTAAACCACCGAAAGCTGTACAAACAATCTGTGAATGCATCTTAGTAATGAAAGGTTATCGGGAAATATCATGGAAGCAAGCAAAAGCAATGATGTCTGAAGCCAATTTCTTGAAAAGTTTGATGGAAATGGATGTTGACGCAATTGGAAATAACCAGGTATATTCATCAAGTGCAGCAGTAGCAAAAGATAGGTGTATATGGAGCGAAAGTATAGGATCTATCTAGGTTATCTTTATACATTTATCATCCTATTCTTACAGACCCGTACTGTGAAAGGATTTTTGAAAAGTCTTGGTGTGTCAGTAAATGAAATGAAGTCAATCTCCAATGCTGGATATGGTATGATGAAATTTGTTGAAGCTGTCATGGGATATTGTGAAGTTGCAAGGGAAATTAAACCAAAGAGAGAGAAGGTAACCAAAGTTTTCGCTCTCTTTATTTGAACTTTTCAGAAACTAAACATTCTTAATCATGAACAATTTTGTGTTATTTCCAATATACTTCTGCCAGATAGACATAAAAATTCGTCCCTAATCAGTATTCCTATATTGAGTTGTTGTGATAAGGACGAGTGCAACAAAGGGGAATCACCATATTATGCAATGTCTTTCAACCTGTCATTTACCAGTGCTGGAAAATTGTACTGCACCGGTACTGTTATTGATCACCGGTACTGTTATTGATTAATAGTATTTAAAATAATTTGGACGTTATTTGGCTTGTTGTGGCTTCTATTTGATGAGTGAAGCAGGTCTAGCCCACCTCTTCATTCATCCAACTTGGCAATTCTGATTGGGCAATTTGGCTTAGGTGACTCCAATTATAATCAGCTTGACGATATCTTTTGAGGAATACTTTTCTATCCACAATACATTATTCTTGTTGACTAATTCGGTATCCAATTTGGCAATCCTCATAAAATTATTAATTTGGTGTGGCAAAAGAATTTATTCATTTTTTTTTTATTTGTTTGTATATTTTCCTTCCTTTTTACTTTTAAGTCTCGCTTTTTTCGCTTCCGACAGTATCATGTCTCGATGATTGTGTGTGTGTGTGTGCGTGCGTGCCATAATTAGTTTTTTTTTTACTTTTGGGTGAGCGAACACGTACTACTTCTTTTATCAATACCTTTCCATCTAAAATCTGTACGTTTTAAACCTAGGTTTTACTCTAGGTTTTGTTCGCTTTCCCGATTCTATAATCAGTTACTTTATCTTTTATTTTTATCTATTTTTTTATCGTCTATTGCTGATTATGGAATCGAAATAAACTTATACTTATACTTAAAAATCAAAATATTTTTTGTGTCGATATTGAATGTTTATATCATGAGATGAATTTCTTATTTATATTAACAGGTGGCCAGATTAGAAAGGAATTATCATCAATCAAAACGAGATTTGGACAAAATCAACAAAGAATTGACAAATTTAAATGATGAACTCGAAGTTTTAAGACTGAAATATGAACAGGTTAGACATTTCTATTTTACAAATGTGCAAAGATTTCAGTTATGACAAAAATTGAAGTGAATAATGAATCCTTTGCTCAGAACAAGCTTCTGCACAAACAGTCATATAAATATATACAGGAAAAACAGGTTTTTTGGCGGAATAAGTATAGGGAGTACTAGTCAAGGGGTGTGCAACAGGTGGCCCTGCAGGCCACAACCCGACCGTCCAAGCCATTTAGTGTAGCCCAGCAGAGCTATCATAAAACTATCTCAATTCGTGAATAATTTCGAGTGATACCATTGTGAAACCATTGTGACGTAACAAGCTAAAATTTCTATATTCTCAATCTATGGTGTCGTCATGAACAAACTTCTGCTTACTCTACATTGACATTTTGCTATCAAGTCAATTGCCTTGTCATTTATCATACATAGATAGGTCGTCAGAGTCATAATATAAACTTAAAAATGAAACTTTCCAGGCTATTGCTGAGCAACGTCAGTTGCAAGAAGAAGCAGAAATTATGGAACGTCGTTTGATTGCTGCTGATAAATTGATAGGAGGACTCGGCTCAGAGAATATAAGATGGACAAAAGATTTAGAAGAACTCAAAGTCAGGAGAATCAGGTACTGTATTTGTTACAGCATTAAATTATATACTTTCATAATTTAAGTATCGAAGAAAATTCATGTATCGGAGAATTCAGGTATTTCCGTAGTGTGCACCAGGTTAGGGTTAGGCCATAATTTCATTCCGATTTTTCGTATTTTAGTTCCATTACGAGTTTGGGGACTGTCTGTGTTAGTCAAGTGAATATACTCCCTGGCCATAGGTTGAAGTTCTTTTACACAACTTGATGTTAAGTTGCCAAACAAGATTAGTCACCTCCATATTGGTACACACACTTTCGAAGCATCCAATTTTGAATGAGCAGCTTAGAAAAGGAATTTTCTTCATTCTGTTTCCAGGTTGATCGGTGATTGTTTGGTGTCTTCTGCTTTCCTTTCTTATGAAGGAGCGTTCAGTTGGGAATTTCGTAATAACATGGTGTATAAAGATTGGGTTCATGATGTCACGAAGAGAAATATTCCATTGTCTGATCCATTCAGAATTGAAAAACTCCTGACAGATGATGTTGAAATCAGTAAATGGGGATCTGAAGGTAAATTTCTGTTAAATCAAGTTGTGCAAGTGTGATCATCCTCATAAAGAGGAAAGTTGATATCACCACTTAATTTCATACAAAACACTCCCTCTTGCCTAGGTACTCGTTCAATTCTGGTAGGGGAATAGTTAACCAATCATTTTTTTTAAATGAATGAACTTAGTTATATGGGTATGTTTTTTTTTGTTATTTCCATGTCAATTATATTTAACCAACAACATGTAAACATTCATGAATAATTTTTTGAATCACACGTTGGAATGTAGATTTCTGATAATAATTTTGAATACTGTTTTGTAAATTTTATGAGACTGCCCTTTTTTGCCTATTGCTGTTATTAAATAATTAATATAAGCCGTATTTTTCAAAAATGTGTCATAAAATGTGTCTGGCAGTTCATAAAAATCATGTTATGGTTGTTCTCTTCATGGACAGATTTCCATATGAATTGAAATATTTTCTAAAATTTAAGCACAAACTTAAACCTAAAATGTAAACCAATATTGTTAGAAATACACATTATTACTGTTATCCAGGTTTACCTCCTGATGAACTGTCAATTGAGAATGGTATCCTGACAACAAGAGCATCAAGATTTCCACTGTGTATTGATCCTCAGCAACAAGCTCTTAATTGGATCAGGAAGAAAGAAGAGAAAAATAATCTCAAGGTAAATAGATATTGTGGTAGCACTGACACTAAAATTTCAGTCAGTTGTTTCGGATTTGTTGAGACATTATTAGAGGTGGCCTTTAGTCAAAAAATATTCTATTTTTTTTATGCGAGCGCTGTGTAAAATTTTTGCTCTGAAATATTTCTTTGTCATTTTTAGAAGGATTGGAATCTTTCCTGTTCGTCCTAATTTACGTTATTTTTTGCGCCCTGGTAAGTGCCCCCAAACATAGTTAAATCTACCGCTGTGGCTAAATAATTTTTGCTGATTGCATTAGGTGAAATTTTGCCTGAATTGCATCAAGTCTTTCTTCCTACTAACTTAGTACACTTAGTTTTTAATGTAGCAGGCATGTGGATGACTGGTTATACTTAACCGCTACAGAATACAGAATATTTGTGATATATATACAATGAAATTCTACTTTATTTTACTTTTTGTTCAGGAATCATCTTTCAACCGACCAGATTTTCTCAAGCAGTTGGAATTGGCAATCAAATATGGATTCCCATTTTTATTCAAAGATGTTGATGAATATATTGATCCAGTTATTGATAATGTTTTAGAAAAAAATATTAAAGGAGGCCAAGGAAGAGAATTTGTCATGCTCGGTAACTTCTAAAATATATAATTAGGGATATACCATTACAGGACTTTTTGTAGTATAGTAATCCTCAGAAAATGAAATCTATGAGATGGCTTGAAAATATGACTGTTAGTAGCCACTCCAAAAGTCTGGGAATTAAGCATCATCCTCTCGCACTGTGTGAAAAAGAAAACTAGGAATTCGTTTTCTGTTCTAATGCCAGTTCCCTGCTGAAAGATCAGTAATGTTGTATGTGATTCAAACTGACGTTGCCCGTTTTTAAAACTTACATTTCTTAAATCATGCATTTGTGATGTGTCGTTGTGCATTTGTCAACTGAATTCATTAGCACATAGTTCTTAATTAATATTTTATATCCGAGGGACATTTTCATGGGTATTTATGTAGGATTTTTGCAACATTTGGTATTTTCAATTTCCAGGTGACAAAGAGGTTGATTATGATTCCAACTTTAAATTATACCTGACGAGCAAGTTGGCAAATCCAAGATATTCTCCTGCTGTGTTTGGTAAAGCTATGGTCATCAACTACACTGTAACATTGAAAGGATTAGAAGGTAAATTTCATATTCACGATTGTTTCGAGCTTGTTTTGCTTGATTAGAGCTTGTTTAAGAGTGAGCACGAGGAACTTAAATTTTCTTCAATTTTATTGACTGATATTTGTGAGAAGTTTATTCTATTACCTCAAACATGATAAAGTTGATATTTTATATATTATTTCCATAATTTTGGGTAATAATTTATAATAAAATTGTCAGACCTGAATTTTATTTCTTATTACATTTTGCAACTGTTTTCTCGCTGCTTAGCACTCATGATGCAATTCTTAGTGCCATTGACTGCCTCTCACAGAAAACACAGTTTTCAATTTTGCGGGGATGATCCTATATGAGAGAGATGCTGGTAATGCACCACTCACATGCGACTGCAGCTATGAATAATCCATTTTGCCATTTATCTCAGTGAGATTATATATTACCGTGTCTTATTAGGTTTTCTCCTTTTTTTTAGATCAACTTCTGTCTGTCATTGTCAAATTTGAAAGAAAGGAACTTGAAGAACAACGTGAAAGATTGATTCAAGAAACTTCCGAAAATAAGAAATTACTGAAAGATCTTGAGGATTCTCTTCTCAGAGAATTGGCAACATCGAAAGGTTTGATCATTTATATATCATATATATCAAGATTATACATCCGCTGCAAAAAACAGGGATCGCCTATGACCTCAATATCTTTTACATGGTACAATGGGTTCGCCATATCACATCAAATATTTGGAGTCTGACTTCCACACTGGTAATCGACGGCAAAACTCCAATAAAACACTGATTTCACGAAGTATTATCGGCATACAATTGAAAAACGCTTGTATATGCCAAATTTCTTGTGGTTGTTATTTGGTTTCATCGGAAATGAAGAGTCCGAATTTCTTTCATTTTGAATTAAGAGCAGAAGTGTAAATTTTCCCCGAATCCAAAGCCATGCATTAATGAAATGATCCTATACTTATTATAATTTAATTTTCACAGGAAACATGTTGGACAACACTGAACTGATTGAAACATTGGACGAAACAAAATCAAAAGCAACAGAAGTTACTGAGAAATTGAAGTTGGCAGCTGGTACAGCTAAAGATATTGATCAACTGAGAGATGGGTAACTTTTATTGTACTTTATCAACTTATATCAACATCTGGAAATTAAAAGCAATTCATATAACACAGGCCTTCTTAATTTCTTTTTTAGATATCGGCCAGCAGCACGTCGTGGTGCTATTCTGTTCTTTGTGCTTTCTGAGATGGCTATTATTAACAACATGTATCAGTTTTCACTCGCTTCATTCTTGGATGTTTTCGATTTCTCTCTTCGCAAGAGTTTGCCTGATTCTATACTCAACAAACGATTGAAGAATATCATCAGCACATTAACTCATAACATATACAACTATGCTTGCACAGGTAATCATCAGCTTTTTTAGTGAAATCTAATATATTTTTCTAGGGCTTGCTTATTTATAAGCTCAAGACTAGAAAATACTTAAAAATGAAGCAATAATGTGCGGCCTCCATTAGCGTTTTCACACTTTGAATCTGGAATATATATACGCTGTGAATATTATGTTTAATGTTGCGCCGCTTTCGTGTGTGCATCATGTGTGGAAGCAATTACTGATACCACCATGTCTAGTAAATCATTGAAACAGGGTTTTTGATGTTGTCAAATTTGTGTGTGCATATCGAGCAAAAGCAATTGTCTTAGCAATTGTCCTATAAGCTTCCATTATCTTCAAAACTGCATATCTCTGTATATATGAATGCCTTTGCTTTTGTGTAGACCACCATTACTTTAAATTCTTTAATATATTTATATACATGTATATTACTTATTCAGACTAATTTTTCTCATTATACTTACCAGGCCTATTTGAAAAACACAAATTGTTGTTTTCATTCCAAATGACGATAAAATTAGTTCAAGACGAAGGAAACATAAGACAAGAAGAACTCGATTTCTTCTACAAGGGGAACATTGCTTTGGAAAAGAGCAGGTATGTGCGGGGGGTGTCCCAAAAATGCCTATCCCACGCATGTCCCACACTTGTTCGAATCATACAAATCTCATTTTATATGAAGAATACTCTAACCTCCTATCAAAGTATTATATCTATCCTAACATAGAACACAACAGGTATTCCGTTTCATATGCTGACATTCACCATTCATTCCGCGATATATTAACTGCTCCAAATCAGAACAGTGGGACCAGTGTGCTAAAAATGGGACAAGTGGGACACAACATTTTAGAGAATGGCAGTCTAATGATAAAAATAATGATTTTTTTTTGTGTGTGACTGCAACGTCTGCGGATACATAAGTATATGGCTTGATTTTAGAAGACACAAATTAACTCAGATATTGTATAAATTTTCAGTCGGCGCAAACCTTTCGACTGGATTCCAGAACAAGGCTGGCAGGATATCATGGAATTGACCAATCTGAATCAAGAAATGTTCCAATCTCTTCCTGAAGACATTGCTAAGAATGAAAAAGTCTGGAAAGAATGGTTTGATCACGATACACCTGAAGCTGTTGCTTTCCCTGGAAAATATGAAGAAAAATTGAGAGGTTTTGACAGACTCAATTTATTGAGGTATGTAGGTTATGAATTTCGCAAAATTGTGCGTCTTTAACCTCACATAATACATAGAAATAATTTATGAATATCAAATCAGCAATATGTATCTTTCAGACAGATATGTTTTCCTCTAAATTATTTATGTTAAAATTTCTTTGCATTTTACTAAGAACAATTAATATATGTTTTGTATGGTTATTGCATTTAACATTTTATATGATGTATTTATACGTCTTTCTCTCTGAACATGGCTATGTACAGGCAGCCACTGCTGAATAAGGTTAATATGAAGGACCAAAATGTTCCCGCTTCTCCATTGCCTATCCAATTTATCACATCCCGGGTGAAGTGGTGGGCATGGGATTTGAACCCAAGATTGTAACCTGCGAAAACTGAAATGAATGTGTATATGTATTCAGTATTCAGAAAGATGTCAGATGTGTAGCACTCGGTCACTTGTTTGAATGATAATTTGCCATATCAGCATTCTTTCCTCGGAACCTTGCTTTAAATTCACTGTTTTAGAAAAAATTATCAAATTTAAGAATTTGATAATACTCATTCAGATGTTTCCGTGTCGATCGAGTGATTCGTGCGATTACAAATTATGTGATTAAAAGTGTCGGAGAAATCTACGTTCAACCTCCGATCATCAGTTTTGAATCAATATTCGAACAAAGTCAACCACTATCACCAATTGTCTTCATTCTTAGTCCTGGGTCCGATCCTGCATCTGATCTTCTCAAACTTGCTGAAAGGTATGAATGGATTGCTTGTTATTAATTTTATATTAGATTATAAATTAAACATTTTCATGTTATAATTCTTGGATTTAGAATTTCCTATTTGTTGCGATTTTTACAATCAATATTGAGAAATTACAAAACTTGAATTTAACATTGACTTATCATTTTTGTTTTTAATTGGCTGAAATGCGGTCAGGTTGTCAGTGCCAGCATATTATTTTGAAATGCCAGCAGTCAAGTCAAATTGGGTAAAGTGTTGAAAATAAATATTGAATTCCATACACTCATGTGTTGTTTAAAAGGGAAACCTTTCAGAGTATTAATATTGTATTGAAACAACCTTGTGTAGGTTGAATTTTTTATCTCACGTTCTGTGGCTTGCTCAATTTTTCTACTTATTCCTGTTCCAGCAGAAAATTATTGGTATTTTGTAGTATTGATTTGCTTTCATAAAATTCACTGTTCTATTCATTACCATAGCAATAAGAAGGAAAAACTGATTTAATTTTTTCAAGCTGTATTGTCCTTTTATATAGCGCTTTCAAGTTATCTAAATTTTGCATGCAAAAATGAGCAAATGAAGTGTATTGAATATTATTCTGAAGTTAATCATTAGTAACTTACCGGTACATCTATCTTCATTTAAATAGATCTGGTTTTGGAGGAAATCGCTTGAAATTTCTTGCCATGGGACAAGGACAAGAGAAAGTTGCATTACAATTGTTAGAAACTGCAATTGCTAGAGGACAATGGCTTATGTTACAAAATTGCCATCTTCTAGTCAAATGGCTGAAAGACCTGGAAAAGGCTCTTGAACATATTCAGAAACCACATCCTGATTTCAGGTAATGCACAAATGTTTTATCTATCATTCAATTGGTTAATATATACTCAAAATGTGTTCATTAACTATCCACATGCATCGCTTATTCTCGTTGTTCATTGACACACAACTGTAAGGAAAAAGTCTAGATAAATCAACTTGGTATTTTCTGATATAATGAGTTAATTTGGTTGTTAATATCATAAACCAAAATGTTACGATTTTTAATGAAATAATATTCCCCATACGGTTATTATAAGAGAAGTTGCTCAAAGCAAAGTCAATTGCACTCACTCAGAAGTAAAGAAGACTCATGTATGAAAAGAGAGTGTCTACTTGTATGCCAAGATATGCTATGACTTAGTCTTCTGTGTTTTTTTTTTTATTTCCTCTCAAATTAAACTTGGTTTCATGTTTAAAATATAGACTGTTGGTCATGCATTACAAGCAAATGCAGTTTGATGCGAAAGTAGTTCATGGTGTGACACAATGGTTTTTTAAAACATGTTTAATTTAACACACTACAACAGTATAAATAAATATATTTTAACACTATTTATAATTTGATTTTCAGATTATGGTTGACAACAGAATCCATTCCAGAATTTCCCATAGGAATATTACAACGTTCCCTCAAGGTTGTCACAGAACCTCCCAATGGTTTGAAACTCAATTTAAGAAGCACATATCACAAAATCACAGCAATTATGCTGGGTGATTGTCCTCATCCTGCTTTCAGGTATGTAACTTACCGTAACTTCAATGTGTGAACTCTGAATTGATCTCAAAAACTACGTGCAGGTTGCCTTCGAATAATTTTGTTTTATCGTAGCAATAGATTGAAAATATATACATTTACATATGATATTTTGTAGTATATATAACAAAGTATTTTGTTCACAAATCCTCTTTTACTGCTCAAATATCTCAATCCATATCTTTTTGGGGCATACAACATCATCAATCCAAGGTTGTGTAATTTACCTTATATCTTTCAGTAGCCCAGGTTTTTAGCTGACATGGCAATCATCTTTTTTTTGTATATATTGGGAGAATAATAAAAGTTGGAATTTGATATGAAAGTGATTTTTGTGTATGGGTGGTTGATTAAATAATATATTATTTATTAGATCTCTTGTATTCGTGCTGGGATTCTTCCATGCTGTTGTACAAGAACGTAGAAAGTATGGAAAGATCGGTTGGAATGTTCCGTATGACTTCAATGAATCTGATCATACTGTAAGTTTCGTGATTTCAAGTTTCTAAAAAGTAGCGTATGTAGGATTTCTTCAAGGGTTCCATTTGAATATTAAAAATTTGTGCCATAATTAATATGATTTCATAATTTGTATCTCACGCGATGGAGAATACAATGTGATATTATACTAGTGGATTTTTATGAAATGCATTATGAAGTCGTAATCAATTTCACTCTCATAAAATGCAATATGATGGCGAAAATTTTTAAGCCATCAAATTGCATTCAAAAGTAAATATATTTGGTAATAACTGTAAATTTAAAAAAGTCAAAAAGCTCTTAGTTGTAATAAAGCCTAATGGTACCAACAAATGTGGCTATGGCCCAATTCCCCCCACCCCTCATTACACAGTGAGTGTTCCACTTCTTATGTTCCAAAATGAGAGAAATTTAATATCTGAACTCAAGTTTTTTTTTTTAATATCAAGTTTTTTAGAATACAGAGAGTATTAAATGTAACTAGAGCTGCGTGCAGCTTTAACAGGCTTCTCGCGTAAAAAAAATGAAGACGCGTTTTGCTCACTGGAGCGTGAAAGCGTGGTCAGTCATGCATAAAATTTGCAATTTATGATGGGGGACTTATTATCTGCATGTGATGTAAATTTCAAGTCTCTAAGTAGTGTCGTTCTCGAGGAGAAGATGAAAATGTAAAATCCTATATTGCTCACTGGAGCGTATCGCCGAGATCACTCATGCGTATCCTTGACATATCGTATCCGGAACATGTCCATTAATCATTGTTATGAATTTCAACCCAATAGCATGTATCAATTTCGAGAAATCGCAAAAAAACTGAAGACGCGTTTTGCTCACTGGAGCGTGAAAGCGGGGTCAGTCATGCATAAAATTTGCATTTTTTTGCTAGCTGAGAACTTCTGCACATTTGAGGTGAATTTCAAGTTTGTAGGACCAATTTGAAAAAATAATAATAATAAATAATAATAATAACTAGAGCTGCGTGCAGCTTTAACAGGCTTCCCGCGTAAAAAAAACTGAAGACGCGTTTTGCTCACTGAAGCGTGAAGGCGTGGTCAGTCATGCATAAAATTTGCAATTTATGATGGGGGACTTATTATCTGCATGTGATGTAAATTTTGAGTCTCTAAGTAGTGTCGTTCTTGAGAAGAAGATGAAAATGTAAGATCCTATATTGCTCACTGGAGCGTATCGCCGAGGTCACTCATGCGTATCCTTGACATATCGTATCCGGAACATGTCCATTAATCAATGTTATGAATTTCAACCCAATAGCATGTATCAATTTTGAGAAATCGCAAGAAAACTGAAGACGCGTTTTGCTCACTGGAGCGTGAAAGCGTGTTCGGTCATGCATAAAATTTGCAATTTATGATGGGGGACTTATTATCTGCATGTGATGTAAATTTCAAGTCTGTAAGTAGTGTCGTTCTCGAGAAGAAGATGAAAATGTAAACTCCTATATTGCTCACTGGAGCGTATCGCCGAGGTCACTCATGCGTATCCTTGACATATCGTATCCGGAACATGTCCAATAATCATTGTTATGAATTTCAACCCAATAGCATGTATCAATTTTGAGAAATCGCAAAAAAACTGAAGACGCGTTTTGCTCACTGGAGCGTGAAAGCGTGGTCAGTCATGCATAAAATTTGCAATTTATGATGGGAGACTTATTATTTGCATGTAGTGTCGTTCTCGAGAAGAAGATGAAAATGTAAAATCCTATATTGCTCACTGGAGCGTATCGCCGAGGTCACTCATGCGTGTTCTTGACATATCGTATCCGGAACATGTCCATTAATCATTGTTATGAATTTCAACCCAATAGCATGTATCAATTTTGAGAAATCGCAAAAAAACTGAAAACGCGTTTTGCTCACTGGAGCGTGAAAGCGTGGTCAGTCATGCATAAAATTTGCATTTTATTGCTAGCTGAGAACTTCTGCACATTTGAGGTGAATTTCAAGTTTGTAGGACCAATTTGAAAAAAAAATAATAAAAATAAATAAATAATAATAATAATAAATAATAATAATAAAACACAGGAATACAATAGGTTCCCTGCTGACAAGCAGCGGGAAGCCTAACTAGAGCTGCGTGCAGCTTTAACAGGCTTCCCGCATAAAAAAAAATTTGCGCGTAAAAACAAATTTGCATTTTATTGCTAGCTGAGAACTTCTGCACATTTGAGGTGAATTTCAAGTTTGTAGGACCAATTTGAAAAAATAATAATAATAAATAATAATAATAATAAAACACAGGAATACAATAGGTTCCCTGCTGACAAGCAGCGGGAAGCCTAAATATGTAATCTTAGTATTACTCACATAATTTAAATATTTTTATGTCTTAGGTTTGCATGGATATATTGAACACATACTTGACCAAAGCATTTGAGCAATCTGATGACAAAATACCATGGGGATCATTGAAGTATCTGATTGGAGAGGTATATTTCATTGATGAATATTTTTATCAATTCATAGTGTACAACATCACATGCAAAAAACAAATGACAAAATTTCATAATTTCTAATGTAACGTGTAATCTCCAATGCAGTCAAATTAATGCTTTAATAAGAAAATATGAGTCATATTTATTTTCATTTTCCATACTAGGTAATGTACGGAGGTCGTGCGATTGACAATTTTGACAGACGAGTTTTGACAACATATATGGATGAATATTTTGGAGATTTCATTTTCGATACTTTCCAACCATTCCATTTCTATCACAACACTGAGGTTGATTACTATATTCCTGAAGATAAAGGAAACAAGGATAGTTACGTAGAAGGAATCGAATCATTACCACTGGCAAACACTCCTGAAGTTTTTGGTCTTCATCCAAATGCTGAAATTGGATATTATACTCAAGTAAGATTTTTTATATCATGGCCTTCTATATTACTGTTTATTCACTGCTCGAAATATAACAAATGGTCAGATTCTTAAGTTGCAATCTTTGGAAGTCTCTGTGTTGGTGCTCACACATTGTCCTTTTTGTGTGGTCTTAAAAATTTACAGTGGTTGTCTCGAATTTGTTGTTATATTACAATGTTGCTCTGAGTGTTAGGCGTGATGGCTGGCACATTGCGATAGATGCGGAACATGCTTGCCATTGCACATCTGTTTACCTTGTATGGGTTCAAAGGAAGATGGCTGGACTTCTTGCCGCCATAATGAGGTTCGAATAATTGCTGGTCAGTTCAGACTTCCTCAACCAGTCCGGACCTTTCGAGTATTCGATTCGGATTGCGCCTAATTCTTTATTTTGGATCATTAGCCCCACTTTTGAAGTTTCCTATTATAAAGTGACTTTTATAGTTTTGAATATATATGAAAAGAACTATAACACCATAGTAAACAATCTTGATTAGCTAATAATCATTAACCGGCCGAGGAAGTGCGCGTTTAAGGATGCTGAAATATAATTTCTGGAAAGACCGGACCCAAATAATTTTGGAGTTTTGTATGCGGATCTTTGGTAAAAATAGTTAGTAGCCCTGGCCTAGATCAGGATATGGATGAGCTTTCTTTTCCCCCAGATAATATGAAAATTTGTAGGTACTGTGTTTTGTCACAATTTATACCAATTAATTAGGCTGGTATTATAGATATATTACCTAAATGTACATGCAATATTTAAAGTTTGAGCTGGTAAAACTAAATTAGAGTCATCAGCTGAACATATTGCTATTTTAAATATGTTAATTGCACCAGTCTAACGCTGTTGCGATTCTTCAACTTTGATGTTATTTTTCATCCAGGCTGCAAGAGACATGTGGCATCATCTTGTTGAACTTCAACCTCAAACAGGTGAATCAGGGGGAGGAATAAGTCGAGATGAATTTATCAGCAATGTTGCCAAGGATATCCAGGTAATAATTTTTTTTTTTAATTTTACTTATTTCGTGTGTTATAGCAATACTGGTGATAATGAGACTTGACTCGAGACGAACTTGAGTGACCTTTTTCAAGGACTCCGATCATTCAATTTATAAGACTTGACTCAAACTCAACTAGTCAGCAGATAGACTAGATTTGAGACCAGGGGTGAGCCAAACTTTTCTGCTGCCTGGGGCAAGTTTCTGATAATGATGTTCCCAACTTCAAAAATAGTTCGGAGGGTAAACAAATTAAAGATGTTGTTATACATGATAATGAATAAATTTAAATGTCAAATAAGAGTAAAATATTTAAATTATTGATAACTGCCCCCTACAACGTGCTGCTGCCCCTCCGCCCCCCAGCACGCACCTGCTGGAGTTTTTTGCTTGAACGATGCGAGTCACATCAAGTCTTTGAAAAAGGGGGCCTCAAGTCCGACTCAGTTGGGGTCATTAGCTTGGGTCTCCTGAATTCTAAAAATAACTACAAAAGTTGGCAACATGAGGCTTACTTGATGAAGCTTCAATATGTCGTTTAACTTATAATTAACTTTCTAGTAATAGCCTCCCATTAACAAGCAGTAAAACATAAACATAGCTCGAATCCAGATTTTTATTAAATGTCAATGTTTACCCTTATTTATGTTTTCCTCAGAATAAGATTCCTGCACCATATGAACTCGATAAAATCAAGAAAAATTACGGAACTGAAGTCAGTCCCACAACTGTGGTGCTTCTGCAGGAATTGGAAAGATGGAACAAACTTGTAGAACGAATGGCAAAATCTCTTGTTGAATTACAAAGGGTAAGGAGAGTTTCTCAATGTTAATATTTCCTTATAAAAAGGCCTTTTGACATCAAATAAGTTTGATTTTATTACCATACCCTTTTTATGATACAACAGTACATAGTTCTATTGTAACAAGATGAACCACGATACTACATAGTCCATTGGCAGCATCTGCTTGAACCAGCAAGCAATGTGATTCTGTATTGGAAATATATGATTAAGTGCACTTTTTTGCTATTATCGTTATGCTTTTTTTAATTTAAGATGAGATGAAATTAGCTGAAAACTGCTTTTTGTTAAGGATACCTCAAATTTCTTGCTCTTGCTTAAATTATCGCATTTGGGACTGTTTGATTCAAACTATTCAAACTACAATAACTTTTTTTACTAGAAGTGGCTGCTTGTAAAGAGCTTTGTTAAGAGCAGAAGGTTATAAAATTGCTTGTGGCTTGGCATTAAAAAAGTTGAATTGCAGATTTGTTCCACAATCTGATCCTATATTCTAGATAATTGTCATGAGTAATTATCATCTGTTTCTCCCAGGCGTTGGCTGGTGAAGTGGGAATGAGCAATGAGCTTGATGACGTAGCCAGAGCTTTGTTCAATGGTCAGATTCCTGGAATCTGGAGGAAATTAGCTCCTGATACTTTGAAATCATTGGGAAACTGGATGGAACATTTCAGAAACAGACTCGAACAATATACTAAGTGGGTTGATGAGGCAGAACCTGCTGTAATGTGGTTATCAGGTAATAAATATGGAGTTTGATGACTATGATTACCAATTTGATCACAGGGATAGAAAGTTCATGAAATGAATTAATTGTATGCAGGCAAACTTTGAATATTGTTCTTTGAGTATTGCTCTGTGCGACACAGATAGCATGAAGCTCAATCTGCATAGATATGTGAATATTAACGAAAAATTACGATATTATAATAGTATCCTAAGTGATTCAAGAGTCTTGCTGCACACTAACACAAATGAATTTCTGTAAAGTTGGTCAGACAAAACCCAATCAATTGATAGCACAAATTATAACAGTGTACTTACTTTTTAACTAAATACAAAATCATGATTAAATTACCTTGCTTTCCAAGCATTGCATGTCTAGAAGTGCTGACTGTACGATTATAATTTATATGAGTCAATTTTACTAATTTCAACGTAGAATTAGCATGGTCGCTTCGACGGGGCTCACTGCAGTCGCATAGGTGATGAAGATTGGATGTTAGAGATGCTTGATGAATAGCCAACCAAATGATTATCTCACTTAACAATTTCAGTGTCTTAATTAAGCAATGAAACATAGGCAATTTTTTCCCAAGACAAAAAACTTTTTATCAGTGTTGATTTATTTTACTTTGAGATGTCTCTTTACATTACATTGCAAATTATTCACAGGCCTCCACATTCCTGAGTCGTATCTAACAGCATTGGTACAAGCAACATGTCGTAAGAATGGTTGGCCCCTGGATCGTTCAACTTTATATACCAATGTAACTCATTGGCAAAACCCAGATGAAGTAACTGAGCATGCACATCAAGGTAAACCTATTAAGACATACTAAATTCTAAATAAATGATATTGGGAAAATATTCTCAATACTGAAAAAAATATTTTATTTTTACATTGAGTGAAATTAGCCTCGTTTTCAATAAAATCAAGATGCTTTTGCTCTCACAACTAAATGGTCTCTTGTGTATTGTATTCAATGTCTTGACATCTCAAATATAAAATAAAAGTTCAATCCTCATCTAAGTTGTAGATGAATTCTGAAGGGCTATGTTAAGAGGAAAATAATTTTTGTCATGTGCTTGAAGTCCTTACAAAGGCAGATGAAATTTCTTATATATATTTCGACTTATCTTGAAATCTAAAACATTGAAGCTTACTAGATGCAAAATAATTCGTAAATATTAAAATTTGTTATTTTTAGGATGTTTTGTGACCGGATTGTATCTTGAAGGCGCATCATGGGATATTGAGAATGGTTGTCTGGAAAGACCGAGGCCAAAACAATTAATTCAAGAATTACCAATTTTAAAAGGTAAGTCGTATATAGATGGCCTACAAAATATGAATAAAAACGTAATCATATATTGGTAAAATGATCGCTTGCTACTTTTACAATTTCTTGTGGCCTGGATGGTTAATAATGGCGACATCGCAGGTTAAAATCTTGGGTTCAAATCCCATACTCGCCACCTCACCCCTGGTGAACCATAAATGTGTTAGGCAATGCAGAAACCTGGAAGATTCCGGTCCTCCCAAACTATAGTATCCCTTTATCTGGCCGTGCATGCTCATGCAGAGCCTTATTTGGAACAAAAGGTGTATAAAAACTTTCCTTTTATAATTGTCTTTACCATAATATTTTTAAAATCTCATTTCTCCTCTAGTATTGGCAATGTTATCAACTGCATAGATATCAGTTAACCTTTGAACTATGTCACAATGACAGCACATTTTGAACAAACTGTGTATAAAATTGTTGTTATGCCATCATATTTTTAAAATCTTGGCAAGCTACGTCATGAACAGCACAGATATCATCAGTTAACCTTGAATAATGTCATAATGACAACATATTTTAAAATAGCAAAAATATTGATTTTTCAGTGATTCCAATTGAAGCTCATCGTCTCAAACTTCAAAACACTTTCCGTACGCCTGTGTACACAACATCCATGCGTAGAAATGCTATGGGTCAGGGCCTTGTATTTGAAGCTGATCTACACACAACTGAACATATTTCCCATTGGATTTTACAAGGAGTTTGCCTTACACTGAATTCAGATTAAGTTTTCATATCTGTGTGTTTGTATTCATGTATTTATAAGTTATTGATTTGAACAATAAATTTTCGTATTAGAAAATTGCTTGTAATATACATCATTTTCCAGCTAAAGAAAACTTAAAAAAAAAGTATCAATGCTGATGTATGCTCTGTGGACCTCCTGCAGATAACATTTTCTAGCTTCCCTCTTTCTTCAAGCAAGTCACTGTTTTAAATTAGTTGCACATTATTGTTTTTTAATAGAAATGCAACAACGGATTTCTGTTTTCTTCAGCGTTCATTATTTATATATTTCAGAGCTTTATATTGTATATAAGATTTATATTTTTACTTGTGAAAAAATAAAAGTGTTTCATAATGTCTAGTTTAACATAATTGCAGAAACATAGCAAGCTTATATCGAGATCCCATTTCTAAAATTATGAAAGCGATGGGTCACATGTTGAGGTATGAAATTAAATCACAGTTAGATCAGAATTACACAAAATAATGTTCACAGCAGCTTTGTATGATGTATCTTAAGTAATTCTTGCAGTGTTAGCAAATTCTGTAAGCAAGCTGTTCCCAACCAGACCGCAGGCAGCAGTAAGTATCTTCCATTGTGATCTACCTTATAAACGAGAACAACTCAATAATCCAAGCTACACGACAACACAAAATCTTTTTCATATAAATGATCAGGTTTATTTCCCTGAAGGATCAACATTTATCGTTTAATTGAGCCCAATGGGAGTTTTGATATTGTTCACTTCTGATTAGATTATCCACAGAAAAAGTTTCTAATAAAGCACAGCTTATACCATCTTCAATCAAGGCAATTTCTGCTGCAGTTTTGATTAGAAGCATTGTTTCCAGTAGACGTCTAAACATTAACTAGTTTTATTTAAAGCAGGGGTTCACGAGAAGATTTCCAGGGGTACTTGGACGGCAGTCAAGTTTTTGTGTGTTGCTGTTTTTTAATATCCTTCATTACTACCAGAGGAAAAAGCGTGTCAATTGAAAATAGATGCCAATTGAAACATAGATTTTCCCTGATGTTGTGATTGTGACGCAACAATGTGAAATTCGCGGCTTTGCAGGCAAACTGTGAAATCTCAAAAGACAGCGAGCTTTGGAGAAAGTGATTATGCTTATCAAAACTTGGGAGAAATTTTAAGAATTCATTAGTTAGGCGGAGGACAAGGGCAATAATATCAACACATTGATTTAATTTGGTTACATATGATCAATAAATTGTTGTTTCAACAAATCGTTAGTCAATATATCACAACTTTGTTTGGTGTCTGATTATTGGGGGTTCGCGTTGATTGTTTCGTGACTCGGGGGGTACTTGACAGAAAAAAGGTTGAGAACCCCTGATTTAAAGGGTCCACCAGTTTATACCAACCATCAAGAAACCATTTTGCAAAGCTTCACCTGACTGATGCATCTCAGATCTGTGTTTGCGTATTTCGTGACTGGGTTACCAGATCGTGCAAGTATGATCATAGTCGATTGCAGGAAGGACGAATATAACTTGAAAAATCTCAGTAAAACCTGAAACATTATAGTAAACAAAATACATTGCCACAGCTATATTTTTTATTTCGCACTTTATTTACAACACTGAAAATGGCAAGACGGTGTAGAAGTACTATCTACTTACTACATAAATACAGCAAAGAATAATGAAAGAGCAATAATGATGTCAACTAAAAATATACAACAAAACAGTGACATTTAACATGTATATATATATATAAATTACATTGTTCTAAAAGTTGATTGCATTCATTGGCAATTTGTCTACTCTGTAATTTAGCATTGTGTGATATTCTGGAAACGGTATTTTGGTATTAATATTTTTCGGACAAGACAACAGCATACGGCAGTCAACGTAAGAAAACGGCACATATCTTTAACAGTTAAAAATGGACATACATGTATATGCAGCTGAATAACGAAAGACTTTAATCTTTTATGGGATATTTGTGAGCCAAATAACAGGCTTAGAAAGTTACGAAAACTACTGGGCAGGCTCCAACTAATAAAATCCTTGACCAGACTCATTAAATAACTATAAGATGAAATGAAATAATTTCAAAATATCAGTGATGAAAAGGAACTGATGATAATTTGACTTGAAAATTAGTATATGGCCGTTCGATGGGAACACATTTTTTTATACATAACAATAAAAATATTGATAAACAAATTCAAACAAAGGGGACACAATATGAATTGTGTAATGAATATGAAAGTCGAATAAGTTCGAAATTAAACTTTATAAAAAATTTGAAACAAAGGTCAAAATCTTTTATCAATAACTAATTCAAACATACTCCATTAATATTTTATTGTTAATACATCAGTGAATTGTGAAAGACACACAGGCAATATAAATTTACGAGTCAAAGCACCTAAACTTCAGGAAAACAAAGGAACAAACTTTTCAAAAAACCAGTCAAAAATACCTTATTTAGTCATTTGTAACACACTCAAAGCAAAAGGGGTAATAAGTAATAGAATACAAATATGATGAAAATTATCTGAGGGGCATGTATCATTCAAATTCAATTTTTGTTACTTTTTATGATTTTTGTGTTGTGAAAAGACTATATTTTGAAAAAAGAGGATTGTTAATTTTTAGAATGATATATTGTGTGACAGTGAATGAAGAAACCAGAATCTTCAATGAAATATCATAATGTTAATAAGTTTTTTTTTCAGCCTAATTTGAAATTCCTTTAGTGGCTAAATTCAATTACTCCACAGAAATTAATCAAGTGATAATTTTTTAAAAAAAAAATTGGGATTTTTCGTAAAAATATTACGATTTAAGTACAGCAATCCAGAAAAAAAATATAGCTAACCGACAAATTAAACTTCAGATGAAACATTCAGAATAAATATTATTATGATGAACATTTACGAAAATAAAGAAATTATGAATGAAAAAGTTAAACAGCAAATATATATGTTTGCACATAAAGTTTTTTTACAAGAGTAAAGCACGTTACTCAGATTTAACATGGCATGCGACGACATTGTCAGAGGTATCACAATTCACAGTAGATTGATTATCAGTGTGGTTTTCAAGATGTTCAGGTTTGAGGTCACCCTGAAAAAGATAAGAGAGACATGAGATTTTATTTGTCAAGATGGCATGAAAATAATCAGAAATAAATAAAAACCCAACTTGCATTAGATGCAATATAAACTGGGGGTTGTAAAAGGGCTTAATGGGGGTTGCAGTAAAATCTTTTTTTACACTGACTTATGGTTAAACAAAATATTGGTCAAATTTGGAACCAGTATTGAGATCCACCATAACCGAAATAAAGCCAAGATTCAACTTTTGTGCGATAATACCGGTCTCATTATTAAAGGTATTGTCAATTTTATTACTATTTTTCAAATCTTTGCTGTAATATTAAATTTTGATTCATTTTTATTTTAGTTTCTGGGGGTCATGAAATAATTTGGTCATGTCAAATGAGTTGCGATGAAAAAGTTTGAGGACACTGCAATATAGTATAGTTAACTTTGTTTCAGTTTTTAGAATGCAAAATAGTTTTGTAAGTGTATAATATAAATTCACTGAACGATCAATCAAAAGGTTTTTTTTTCATAGGACGTTTCACCGATAACAAGCTTTATACAAGCCGACGCTAATACTTCATACAAGCATAGCTTGCCTTCTGAAGGTCACAAGTACTTCCGTATAAGAGTTACATAACTATATATAGATTTATCCTTGCGATTGCGACAACGAGAGATAACAGTTGACAAAATATTCAGAGCACTGTTAAGAAAACAGATTCCACAAACCGTAATTCCTTCAGAAGAGTTCTTTGATTTTAAAAAAAACTATAGAGCAATCTGAGATAATCAATATACAGCGTCAATCCTACTATATACTAACCAATTATAAAACCTAATTCTCATTCAACTAATCCATTTCCCCCAAACCCTTACGTCATGTCAGAAGTAATTATATAAATCTACTATGAAACCGAGTCAGAATGACATTACTCAAATGGCAGTTAACCTTTAATGAGATGTTTTAAAGCGATGAGGTCATTGACATACATATATGACACAAAATATAAGAGTTTGATGAAGATAAACATTATTGATTTTAAAAGAATCACAGCTTTAGCTGACTGTCTGACATAAAGATCAATATTAAAGCCTAATTAGAGGACCTTAGAGAAATCAAATAGTATTTGCGAAAACCTTTTTACAACCTAGCGATAAGTCACTAATGAGGATGCATAACTGATTGGACACCAGCGCACAGTTAGAATAACAGAAATTGAGCAACTTGGATGATTTGAAGTACCAATCATACATATATGAAAAACTCTGTGAAAATTATTACACATACCTTTTTCTTTGACAACTTACGACGACGGATCAAATCAACATTTCGATTCTTCACAACACTCAAAGCGATAGCCAATTGCGCCAGGTAGTAGGTTGTCATGACAATCCATCGCTGGTGTGTCACAGGTGAATGGAAACGATTAATGGCAAGACAGCAATCAGATATCAGAAATAATACAGAACCAATACATGCAACAAGATGAGTCCATTTCTTGTGACTGCTGCTTGTAACACCAGCTTTGAGATCACTGAGATTTCTGAAATAATTGTGTTAAAAGATGATAAGAATAAAGCAATAAAAATGATAATCAAGCTGTTTCAAATATCAGAAATTGAAAATTCTAAACACCAGAAGGTAATAAACAAAAGTCACCTAAAATGCTTCTTGTGAAACATAATTAGTAAAACAAGTTTAAATATTTTATCACAAATATTGATTATTAATGCGCAAAATACATATGTAGCGTAATCCTACGAAAACTTGCCTATTAATAATATATGACTTGAGCCAGATTATACCAAATATGGTTACTTAAATATATCTTATAATCTAGTTCCTAAAAACTTGTGCATAATATTTGATAAATGATTCATCGAATAACATGTATAGGTAACTGAGGTACCAGTACAATGAGGTACCATTAGAAACACAAAACTTAAAACTGTTATTAATTAATTAATGTTGTGATTCAGTGAATAACAAAATAAGGTAACCATACAAAGGAGTAAATTAGTTTGGCCAATAACAGACCGCATGCCAATAGTAATATCACACTTTATGACTTCCGAAGCATGACATCCTCTGAAACAGCTGTTCACAACACAATGGGAACAGGATATGCAGCATAAATTGGGACAGCAAATATATATTTTAAATCAACAGTTGACTAACCACGAAAAAATCATTTCAAAATCTTATTGAAGTTATTTTTATAACTGCAATTTACAGTCATTGTAATGATTTTCTATACATACTCAACTTTAACAATAATATAGCATTGCTAGAGCAGATGAGTTTATGGTAATTTAGTTTTTCCACATTGTGGTTTTGTAACGAATATAATATATTCACAATAACAAAGCATTCTGCAATTCATTCTAACCAATGTGTGAGATACTGGAAATGTGCTATACGCCGCAATAGTTTGGCAAAACAATCCATTTTGATTCTGAAGCACATGTATATCAGACTTGTAGTCTATTTTAATAACATCTTCTGTCACTGTTGGTTCAACCAACTGCTAAGTACTTCATCACATTCAAAATAGATTTCTACTATTTCATTATGGTAGCAGGCAGTCTATGAGATCTGTAGGGATTACAGACCAATTATATAAAGGTAACCTTCAATTTATGTAACTAACTGAGCTAGTTACTTTACGCATATCAGAGTTCACATTGAAAAAGAAACCAGAACCTTGACATTTGGAAACATTATACCATACTTATGTGCAAATGAACACATTTTCCTCCTGCCCTTGGGAGTTTTTATTATTTATACTGCCTGTTGGAATATTTCCATAGTGTTTACATAATGGATTTGTACCAAATGTACTATGATTTATGATGAAATCATTCTTGGACGACCCAAAGCCAAGAAGAAATTTGAATATTGCTGAATAATACTGACGGCACTGAACCAATTATCTCTTGAAAATGAAACCGTATGCTATAAGCACAATTTTCAAAACCAGATTAGCATATTTCACTTCAGAAATATAATATTGTACCTTATTTTTGCTACTGCTCTCCAATTCATTCCAACAATAACCAAAATGTATCCTAAAACCGAGAATTTAAGCACAGTGTCTGTCAAGCCAGCATAAATATACCAGTAGATGGCAAATCCAACACAAGACAACAAGAGATATATTTGAGGACGAAGTGGTCGAAATCCAAACGCAAAAATGTACATAAGATGAGCAATGCCAAAACAAGCAACACCTAAAAATTGAAATAAAATTCATTATAAATATTTATTATACACTTACCGCCTAATGTTGATTGCTACGATAACAAGGACCCAAAAAATAGAGCATAATGATATACAATAAAAAAAAGAAAACTTGAAAGAAATCGATGGCATGTGGAAACCAATATTTTTACTTGAATATTTTTTAAAACTTGAATAAAAGTCAACATGGCAGGGAATATTACAACAATTACCTATAAACACTTGATTCCATTATAAAACAAAATTTGAAATGAAAATTTAGGAAACCACCACAAGCTTGAGTTTACGAAAATATGTGGGCGGGAAATCCACAGGTAAATTTTTCATAATCAGCAAACTTTGGTGTAAAACAATGAGCTACAAGAAAAAATGAAAAAAAAAAAAATTTCCTATTACATAGTTTCAAAATTTTCAAACTGATCCATTGTTCATAAAAGTAGGAAGAATTCAACTGAAAGGTGCAGGAGTTTCGCATTTAGAATACTACATCCAAACACACTCAAATCATTCTTACCATGTATAAAATATCCTTCATCAGTATAAACAAGACAGAAGTCTCCAAGCGTTGAAAGTAATAAACCGGCAAGAATTCTTCTTGAATATTGATGACGGGAAGTAAAACCAAAACCATCAAACCTTGAAGATATGAGGAAAAAAATAAAAATTTCAACATCAAGCCTTCAACAATGACAAGGCCAGTACTAAATCTCCGCCCAATAAACAGGTAAAAGCAATGCCCCCAACACATCAAATAAAAGATTAGAAATACTCTCAAGCAAATATACGAAATTAGAACTAAGATTAGATTTATGCATAATATTGCCCACAATGCCCAGCCTTTAAGCTTATATCAGAATATCCAGACTGAATCATGATCGGAGTCAAGATGATGCACTTTGTAAAATTTAGTACTTATTGTATTAGGTTTTTCTGAATAAAATATAACTATGATATGTTTTTATTAAATATGAAACAATATACCATAACTCAATTCATATTTATATGTATTCATAATTATATATAGATTACTTTTTTAAATATGACCTTGATATACTGAATTTAGTAGATATGAATATATGTTTTTGTCAGATGAAAGCTGTTCAATAAATAGTTACTAACAAATAAATAAAATTGATAAAAATACCATTTTTCAGTAACTGACATGTGGGAGAATCACAATTTCTAAATAATTATAAAATTATTTCATGCAATGACTCAAGTTAATACGCAATGATGACTCTATTTTGCACTCATGACATGTATAGGAATGTGCATACCTTTATATAGTAACAATTTATGAATTATTGATTTTGATGAGTAACTAATAAGACTTTTCAAATAATTTTATCGGAAGTTCGAACAAATTAGATAAACTATATTATCAATTCCAAAGTAATGACTCATATTTGAAGAACATTTGAATCAATGAAGTTTTATTAAATATAATATAAAAAATTGAACTAATAACATCAATACTAATTATAAATGTAAATTTCCTTACAAGCTTCAAAATTTTGGATAAATAAAAAACTTACCAAAGTACAAAATACATAAGCTAAGCATTGGCAAGCATTTCAATATAGCAACAACGATGTTGGGTGGATTAATTTCAGGTACAAGAACCATATATACGCAAGCTGTCTTTAAAAAAGGAACAAGACGAGGTCCAAAGTAGGTAAATTTTGTGTGCTGAAAAAAATAAAGCAAAAATCATAAAATGTTTATATATATTCAAAAAAACAGATTTGATATTTATATTTTACATTACTAGTTTCAAAAGTAACATATAACTTGTTATAACAAAGATATAAAATTATAAATCTGAATATTTTTATCAACAATAATTCGATTTTTTTGAATTTTTTTTTTCATTATTTTATTTTACATAGAATCGACCAATAACATATATATTTAATGAAATGTACAACGGATCGATTAATTATATGTTTCAACTATATCGAATTTATTATCATCCTGTCATCAAACCAATTAAAAAGCAGATGTAATTTTTATCTTAACTGTTTTAATGTATAAATATGGAATAGATTCACAGAACAAGAATATTTTACCTTGCTATCAGCACAAGTACCATAGTCTTCATCAGATGATGAGCATGCCATATTGAAGAAAAATCGCAAGCTAAGTTGAGTCTAATTTCTATACTTCACTCAGTATTTTGATATTATATCTTACAGTCTTACCAAGGTTATAACTTCTGGGTGACAAAAAACGAAAGAAATTTATTATTATCACTATTTAGGTGGATATAACTTTGAATTGAGAGATTAGTGGTGCTACGATTACTGGATTAATTTTGTTATCCAGCTATTCTTGAAAATCTTATCTAATACCTGAATATCATTTTACACAGTAGTGAAGTAATGATATCTTTGAAAAGTGCCCAGATTGTGAAATAATACCACCATTTGCTAGACAAGTCATTAGGGGGGTGACATGTATAAAATAGCTTAATAAAAAAAAAAATTTTCCTCAAAGCAATAAACCTCAGACTTCCAGTGGTGAAATGGCCTGAGAGTGAATACTCTATTTAATTCTTGGTGATGTAATGCAAAAGGCAACCTCGCTTTCAGTTCTGCTTTATTTCCTGATTCTGTGATCAGTTAACATTTGTTTGTTTTTAACAATCATTTATCGTCTGAAGTTCAATAATTATTACAGTATTATACAGTTTTAGATATACCTGTATACAGGAAGCTTGGTTCTTGATTTATTAGACCCTCTATCTCTGTATATTGCACCACAAGACCAAGAGAACTAGCCGATACAATACACAAGTCCTTTGCGTTAGGCTACAACTAGGCTATTTATATGCCAGTCTTCAGCGCAATCTTGGACTTTGACCTACAGCCTACAGTAACGCATGCTGAGATTTGTCATGACAGAATGACGTACGTTAGTTAGTATTGACCTGATTTAGCGTGCAGAAATTAAAACTAATATAAAAATGGATTATTTCCACAATAAGAACTTAAAGTACATCGAACCCCCTTGCCTGTGCCGCGACCCTGGTAGCGTCCGACCCAGACAAACAACATCAGAAGACTGAGCTGAGTTCGTATCTCTCCAAGTCACGTGGGTCAACAAAGAACTCATGAATTGTGACGTACTATATTCAAGACATGCGATTGGCTTGTTTCAAAGGCGTGTATTTTATAAGAAAAAAACACCCCCTTTTGTTGTATAAGTTTATTTTTCTAACCGCAAATAAATACTAATACGAAATGTGAATTGATTGTTGTAAGACAGGTTAGCTGCTTACCAAGACATCCAAAAAAACGGGGTAAGCGCAAACCTCCTGATAGGAATTTTCTTTAGGAGTCGGTCGACCTTGCAGTGTTGCCCGCCCCTGGAATATATTTCACGATTACTGATTTTTGATAATAAATCATTATCTATGTCTCTCTAGTCTAGAGCTCATGGACAAAGCGATGTTTTTTTGTCTTCTTTGATCAACCATAACTTGTCCTAAACGAACTTGCTTTGTCAATATTAGTTCTCCAGAATTCACATTCAGTAGATCATATTCAGATCTCAGTAGTCATTCCAATAATAAAATGGCACGAACGGTCCCTAGGACTTACTACTTACATTTCTGCGCAAGCGTTTAAAAAAACTTATGCCACGTATTTATAAGTCTCTCACCCCGAACAGAGTTCTTTCCAGACAGCCACTACCGTGCTAGAAGCTGCTTCATTCTGGAAGATTTAGAAGCATAGATTTCAACCTGGGATGCCACAGTCAAGTCAAACGCTTTACCCTTTATTATTCAAGTCCATCCTTCCAAAAATAAATAACTGGCTCTGGCATTGAGAGATGCCAAGAAAATCCAATTATCTGATAAAGAGGCGCCATATATCTCCACCTTATAGTACATGGACCACCTTATAGTACAATTGGTCAATAGGATTAAATGTAATCTCCTGATAGGACCAAATATGTCCTATTCATGGCTTGCCACTTCTTTATTTGTATTAGATGGAATACAAATGTTTTTATAATATCCAAATCTATAAATCTAAACAAATATTGTGAACTTTTGTACTCAAATTCCTAATAAATTCTGGTTGACAAATAATAAATCTCTCTCCGAATCCCCTATCCATCATGAACTGGAAACCGGACGAGAGGCCGTGGTTCGCCATATGATTAAGCCGTTCTATCGTCTTCTCTCTCCTCCGGAATAAATATGTAAATCCTACCCCACCCACTAGGGCCACCACAATGAATATAACTCTTTTGTTGGACTTAAATGCAACTTCCTCATATGATCAATAATTTTCGATATTTCAACTACACTACTTTTCCTCATCAATGCAAACAATCACTCAAAAGTTCTGTTCCATAAAAACAGCAGACAACTTATAACTGGCAGAAAAAGAGCTAAACTTGTGCCAATTTGGAAAGCCATTTGAACATGTTCCAAAATTAAATTGCATACCTCTGATTATAATGAACCTCTTTTTCGTAATTATTGTATGTAATTATTAGGCCCTATCGAACATATCTTTGTTTGTATCTGGAAATGTCATACTGTATTTTCATAACAATATTTTCCATTAGTTTGTTCTTATATATAATCGCTACATAGCATTATCAACTTTTTGTACAATGATAAATATAGTAAATAAAATCTATAACATTGAAACTAACTGATCATGCAACAAAATTAATAACACAAAATCAGCGACATAACAAAATTACAAACAAGACATTACAATTTCTGAAATGATGGCTCAAATCTGCACATTGGAAATTCAGCACCAGAAGAATCATTCACTAGAATTTTGTTTGTCTATGACTCTGTTGCATCTAGGACTCTCATAATTTGTTGTTTGATGTACTTTGTTGCTTGACCTGCCTCAGGAATCAAGTATCTGAACACGCAATAATACGATAAATAAGATGAAGGGTTTTGATCGCAAGACAATGCGATGCCTTACTATTTTAGGGCGGTTCAATATATATCTACCCTAACTCAGAACAGTGAGACAAGTAGGGAAAGTGTGGGACGAGTAAAACAAAGTGGGGCAAGTGTGGAACAAGTGGGACACTGTATATTTGAGACATCAGAATCATCTTTTCATCCCCTGCAATTCATCGCTCTGTAGTTGAGATTGTTTATGCCCAGTGTATTAAGACAATTTCCAAACCAACCATAACTATCATCCCCAAATTGGGCTTGAACATTTTACATTACAAAAACTCACCTGTCAACCTCTTCAACAGATTTAGCTTCTCCGTCCTCATTCTCACCTTCAGTAGGAACATTAAACTTGAACGTTATTAATTCTGGACATGATCGCTTTGACGTGATTTTTGATACTAATGCAAGAGATCTACGGGTCACAATTTTTGATTTTTTAAAGGCTTTGTATTCTCTAAAACAAACCATGTCATCTTTGTCCACTGCCAAATGTGCAGGAAATCGTCTACCAGTCTGTAAAACCTGCAACAAAAGTCAATTGTTGCTAAAAAAATTTGTGTTTTGTAGGTTATCAATTGTAACCAATAAGCTGGTCAATTCATGACAATACCAATGTGTTGTGATTCACTCAATTTAATACCAGTTAAGATCGCAGTTTTCGCAGAGGTATAGAACGTGTCAGCAAGACATATGGGTGTTGTCTATGAGTCATTCACTGAGCACTAGCTGAAACCATTTAGGAGTAAACCCACAAGATTAATAAATTTGTGGTAAACGAGAAGAAATTTTTATCACAACAAAAACGCAAATAGATTTCCACAAATAGAACAATATCAACCCAATTATTGTCCAATAAAACTTGTGTGAAACAGTTTGATATATTTTTGCTTTTTATAGTATTGTTTTCATTTCGTTTGGTGGAATCAACTATTCAACCATTCGTTTGACAATGTAACTTCATAGTAATGTCATCAGTCACAGGTTAAAAATTCAATTGAAATCACTATCAGAAAAATGAACCATAATAATACAATCTTACCAAGAAGCAAGCTGTCGGATTCTTAACATTGTGTTGTTTGAACCATTCATCTAAGTCGACAAGTTCATCTTCATCAACATCACTATCTTCATAAACAGGCTCTGGTGAACAAAAAGGCAATGCTAATATAAATGGACACAAAAATACCAGAACCAAATGAATTTCCACTATTTGCTGAGCACTACCTCACAAACCCTTACAATGACGATGCTGTTCGGGATAAGACCAGGGATGGATTCAAAATATTAAGATAAGGGTTCTCTTTTGTATCATGTTTACTAACAAAAGGTTTCCTCATCTAGGAAAACCATGCCAAACTTATTATAAGCCCAAAAATGAAAGAATGAAATATTATGGTAGCTTCATCTTCTAAGTTAGCACCAAAAGGCCAGAAAATTCTTGAATTTGCTTAAAAATCCCTTCAATACTGTAAGTAGAAACAAACCTTTCTTCTTTGGAAGATTATGATATGGTTCCTCAGCATTATGTTCGTCTTCATCACCAATTGAAAACACAGGTTGAGTGCCTCGATACGGCTTTCCGTTATAATTTGTATTCATGTGGCTCATGTCATCTTCTGTACAATATAACAAATTCAAGCTGATATTATGATAGTCAACAAAAACGTTTTGTTAGAACAAATAAAAATTGTTACTAAGATATAACAAGAAATTCATTTGGCTCAGTATCATTTTGGTAAGTTACAACACAAAATTCAATTATTGATTTTATAACATGAAAAAATGTCCTGATGAGTGCAATATTTTAAAAATAACTCTTTAAAAATAGAAGTATCTAAATGGAAACAATTGTTTTCCCCGGCGCCTCGCATAAAGCTGACTTGCCTGGAGCCCAATATAAAATAAGACAGCAAAAGTTCAAATATATGGACACAAAGGCCAAAACGATATGATAAGAATATGCAATCTGTCACAGTAGATTACTTGACAACAAGATAGCAACGAACTCGCAACGAAGTGCGCAATTTTTAATTTTGATGATGCCATCACACACAAAAAATAAATACTATAAAGCCCATAAAAATTTGAAATGAATAAAGTAATAGATTTCTAGCAACAAGCCAGCAACTATAATCACTTATAATATAGGAATGACTAACAAAAACAACAACATATCAAAAAACGATCAATATATACACTTTGTGTCCAATACATACACCATGAAATAGTTAAAATTTGGTAATTAAGACATTAATTTTTAAGTCTGTAATATTCAAAAAATAATATAATTTATTGGGCATTCAACAGCTAGTGTAAAATAGTTTAGTTGGTGACACAACCTTGCATATGCAGTTTGAAAAGCACTCAATTTTTAAAATGTAAAATTGGTATACAAACCTTGATGTGTGTTTTCAATGAATTTCGTCACTTTCTCTTTAATGTTATGTGATTTACTCTTCAACGTTATAGATAAATTCTTCATGAAGCTTTCCATTGTTCCAGATTCTGTCCTGTATATAAAATGATAATTTGCAATATAATAAAATCTCCAAGTAACATCTAATTCAATACTGATTTTAAATTTACAATTTCAACTGATATTTATAGATGAACAAAAAAAGTCTGCCCTGTGCTGCAAATAACCTATTTATAAAATAGGTTGAAACCAAAATATTTTTGTTTTTACTTGAAATATTACTTTAAAAAGAAGCAAATAAACAAAAAGTGAATCAGAATATAAATCATAGATTGACAAATTTCGGTAATTTACATGTTTTATGATTTCATCATATTACTTGCATCGCAAATGCTTCACTTCAAGAACAAAGGCATCCTGGTTTTTGTTTTTTACAGAAATATTAATAAAATCCAGTATACAAATAGAAATTTGAATATTTTGCACAGGGATATATGATCTTGAATTTCCCCAAATTGGGCTGCTATACAATAAAACCAATATTGACAATATTCAAATTCTCAACTGATAAATTATTAGGATTGTACAAAACTTGTACGATAAATATAAACCAAATAAGAATATTATTATTGTTATACTAAATTTCATTTAAACGTCATTTGAGCGATATTGGACGATGCCAATTTTTGTTGAATTTTTAGCATGTAGACGCTTCTGAGCAGACATGAATTAAAATAATAAATAGGAATGTTGAATATACTTCAATATTACACCCATAACGAACACATGACAATGTATTACACAACTTACGGTGCTTTGCTGGATGAAGATGCAGCATTTTCTTTTGCAGATTCAAAAGAATGTTCGCTTGATTTGTGTAAATTCAACAATTGCTTTGGGCTGCTGGTACCTTAATTAACAACATACGAAATAAACAAAAAACATAAACAGGATGGTATGACTGATGATGATATTGGTCACAAATAAATCATGAAATACTGTCAATGAAAATAAATTGAAAATTTTACTTGAAACGCTTAAATACAGTTATCATTCTTATTTGACAATAAATTCAGAGAACTCAAAGTTCAGGCTCAGATAATACAATGTTTATTTTGAGGAATAGATTAACAAATGATATGATAAATGCATGATAGAGAGAATACAAATCTCTCAAGTCATAGATTCCCAACTGTTAAATGACTCTCAGGCCTTGTTAGGAGCCAAGGTGTAAAACCTTGTAATAAATAAGATTGACTCCAATTAATTTTTACACAAGTGTCCTAAATAAAGGTAGGCCAAATTTTAACTGTTACCGGTAGATCTATTCAGTTGGAACAACATGCTAATTGCGTTGCAAACTAACATGTCTATGTAAAATTTTCTCATAAGTGATTCCCGGATTTATTTTAAGCTTGATATTAGTACCTAGTGTAGATGGTACGAACAGGAATGGAGAGTGTTTGAAATTACAGTGGCTCTGGCACCAGGTCAAGCTTATTTTTTAAGCTGAGAAATGATTTTTAGTGTGAAAGCAGTGGGACTCGATATCAATATATATATGGATGTCAAGTTTTTTAAGTTGAAATTCATACTTTTAATCTTACAAATTTAACTCAAAATTTAAAATCAAGTTAATAGTAAAAATATTATATCGAAAAACGGTTACGGTAAGTTAATAATATAGATTTCATTATTTGTATAAAGTATTTAAAAATTAATTCATTATTAAGTGAGAGCAATTAAGTCACTATGTTGAAAAATGGTGAATCTATATCAATCGAAATTTCAATGATAAACGAAGAAGGAAGAATCGCATATTAATAATTGATTTCAAATTTCTTGATTGGAATGATATAAAGTTTCATTCAAGTATAAAATATTTATAATCATTCTTTAAAAATCATTTGTTACACCAATTTTAAGTAAAGTCTTATTCAAAAATGAGACTATTTAGCAGCAGAACAATGATAATTTACTTTAACCATGATTCTCATTATTTTTTATGGGGAAGTATTAATTTCCAAATACTGTATGCCTAACTTCGATGCTCAATAGATAACATATGAATATTTAAATCACACCATATGAACATTGAATATATTGAATTTTTTAGATTAGGACATTTTTCAATGAAGATGAATTGAATGAAGATTGAAAAATAAATGAAGAAAGTTTACATGCTCAGTGAGGAAGAAATATAAAGATATAAAAAGAGAAATATATCGAAAAAGGTTGAGAGACAGTATGAAAGAGAGAAGCTGCATTAAAATTAGATTTCCAGGCAAGCAACAATAAATTATTATTTGAACTTGAATTAAATTTGAAATAATCATTACTACAATACCTGTAATCCATTCACTGAGATTAATGTTGACATCGGATAAGTACGTTATTATGGATTTAAATCCACCTCGGACAACACTGATATAAGATCGATGGTTTTTTAACAAATGTGCAATCACCATGTACATGTATTGATCTTCCTCATCTACACCGCTACCTGAATAATTGTATAAAAATAGGTCACGGCTCATTTCGTACCAATTTGCTATTACGGTATGTATAATTGAATATGATTATTCAATCCCTATTTCTATTCGAAAATATAAGGCAATTTAAAATATTCTTAGTTATCTAGTGCAGGGCTCTTTGTGAAACAGCTAAATGGGGGTTGCGATAAAATCTTTTTACACACAAACTTGTGTTAAAACGAAATATTGATCAATTTTGTAACATTTGGAACTAATACCGAGATGCACCATCACCGAAATAGAGCCAAGGTACTGTCAATTTAATTTTTTTTTTCTAAATATTTTCTGTATTATTAAATTTTACTCTGGCCGTGTCAAGTGAGTCTTGATGAAAAAAGATTGAAGAATTATTATCTAGTCTAGTGGATGTGTATAACAGAATCCCACATTGGTAATTTTTCGAATGAAAGTAAACATTTAGTAATAAATGAGTATAAGTCTGTAACAAATAGAATATATACAACTGAATATGGAACATGTCTCAGAAGATAGACAGTAACCAATGTCTAAATGGCTTATTAATTCTCAAAGATTTTCCAGACATTAAAAATAATCTAATATACTCAATGATTAATCCTACCTATCAAACACAAGTGCTCTCCTCCTGCTGCTGAACCTGCTTGTATTGCTTGTTCTTGTGCATTGGACAATGCATCAATTGCCATTTTAAATTCTGCAGGTTCTCGCAACATTAGTGTCGCATCCAAGTGAAACGCTGTACTGAGATGACCAGCATTGTAAAGATCAGGAGATCGACAATCAACAAGAAAAAATCTGACTTGATTTGACTCACTGTAAAGTTAAATTTCACATTGTGCAATAATGATTAATTGTTCGATAACTTGTATTGGATATAGCCATAAAAGCACATTGAGATTTTTGAATCCACAACTTCAAGTTTTCTGTATTCCTCTGAATTGTAGTCTAATAATTGTTCAATACTCCATTAAATTTAACGTGCAAATTTTTGGCAAACTTTTGACAAATGAGTACAAGGAATTTCAAATTTCTATATATGAAAAAAATATTTCCAATGCTTCCAAATTTTTGCACTATATTTTTTATACATCTGTGATCAAATAAAAACGATAATGCTTTAAAATTAAAATACAAACCTCCGTTCGTCGCTTGAAAAGTCAGGCTGTGCAGATAATAAAATATCTGGTACTGCAACTTGAATACACAATGACTGTGCTAATTCTCTTTCCACTCTTGTGCTTTCTTTCGATCCTGACAAAGACATGGGTCCACTGAACAAAGCATCTTGATAACCCTTGCGCACAGATTGTGGAGTTTTGTCACTAAAATACATAGCTAACTGACAGAAGTCTTCCACATCCACAGTTTCAAGAGCAACAGGAAACTCAGTCAGTGCGTCGGCAATTTCATTCTTTTGCTTATCCAACATAGTGTTCATTACTTGTTCTTTGGCATTCACTAAAATGACGAGTGCCAGAAAAAACATGAAGAATGGATCTGCTCTTTGAAGATAAATATCCCATAAGGCGAGAGTGACAGGACGTTTACAATGGCTCGCGAACAGAGTTCGAAGCCAGGGTTTCATAAACATCTGCATTGTTAATTTGCGAGAATCGAGGAACGAGCAGAGCTCCGGATCATGATAAAGAAGAATAAGTCGAAACAGATTATATGGAGCATCAGGAAGAGATTCACGGGGTATGTAACGGGCTAGCATTGCATAAAAGCAGTTGTACAAGTCAGCACGATCCAATTCTGGTAATTCCAACATTGGTTGTAACAAAAAGGTCCATGCATATTCGTTGTCGTATTTAATGGCACGACTTTTGCAGTAAAATGTGATTATCAATTCTAAATTTGCAAGTGCTTGTTCGATATCCTCCGTTTTCGATTGATCAACAATTTTTTCGCATGCTTCATGTATCTGATTTTGTTCCGTTAGATCAAGCTTCCCATCCCAGCAATTCAACGCATTGCCACGACTTGCAATGTTGAGACAGATTTTCCATACCTCCGCCCTATAAAGTAATATACATTTTAAATTGGAGTACAACTTACTCATTTTCTATGTCAGGATTTCTCCAACTGGGCCATGGTACCATGTGCGATGTCTATATTCATTTTAAGTGCAAAAAAATTATTTGTGATTAATTTAAATCTTTGACCATAAAGCATTTATTATTTAACTTTCCTCTGTTGGCTTTTTATTTTTAAACATAAAAAATAAAGTAACTGATGGTGTCTCATTGAAAACGGAACTGGGGTTTTCATCGAAGAACTGATGGATCGTTGAAACTTTTTGGATGTGGGTCATGGATCATAAGAGTTTGAGGACCACTGGTCTATACCGTCTATATGATATATAATGCCTAAAAACTTAAATACTTAATTTAAAAAAATATAAATAAGTTTTGTAAACAAATTATTTAAAAAGTTGGTGATAAAACATACTACATAGGGCAAAAAACTATTCCTAACCATAATTATTATTAAAAATTTACAAAAATTACTCATGTTAATGTTTGATCTAAGAATTATTAGTTTTCAAATAAGCAAAGCTTTGTTACCAACGTTCAAGAAACATCTGATTCAGATTAAGCTGAAAATCAAGGATATTATGACTATAAAGGAAGAACTGATGAGAAAATAACAAAAAAAATTGTCAGACATTTCAAACTATTTATAAGCACAGATTTGAAATCTGTGGTATATCAAAATAGCTTCACTTAATAATCAAGTCTGCAAACTCCCAGCAACTAACACATTCATGGCTTATTTGAAAAATAATCTACTCAATGTCCACTTTCTCAAAACAGAACAATGCAATAAATCTGAAAAAAAAGAATAAAAGAACAACAAAAACTACCTATGAATTGGTGGCAAAATTCTGCACTTGCATATATTTCGTATTATAGTATGATCAACAAATCCCTCCAATAAAGCATCTTCAAGTTCGGCATGCCACGCATCATCAAAATCATCAACAAAGTCCTGAAATTGAACATAACAATAAAATTATTTGAAGATGGATATTTTACCATTTGATCACAAATAAATAAACATTTAAATTTCTTAATTTTAAGCATAACAAGGTTGTCTAATCTAGTCATGTGTTTAGGTCTGTAGGTAGAGCACAGAAAAATGTTTTTGCATAAATAGGAATGAATTTGTAGCATACATCCACAAAAAACAATATTGCATTGTTATTTGATGTCGCTAAATATGATGATATGTTTATTCAATAAAATAATAGTTATACAGAATAGTAAAGCATTTACGGCAACATGACCAGAAAGAAAAACAATTTCCAAAATCCAATCTTTATGTCATAGTTTCTTTGTAGGGACGCTTTATTATAATTTTAGATTTCACTATTGAATCACATATTTGTGCAGTTTTATTTCCATGTCCTTCAACACCGGAACAGGCACACATGTCTGCAAGTGCATGCCATGCCACATTGAACCCCTATAACCTCAAAACTCTGACCAAACTACTGATATCCACAAAGCGAATTTCAACAGTCAGACAGAGGATCGTTTAGGGATTCAAAAGTCTTACTACAGTATTACTACGTTCAGAAGTTATATATATATTAATAAAATTGTTACCTCACTACATGCACTATCAGATACAATGTTCTCTTGTGAACTTTGTCCTACAAAATCAAAATTTTCGTCAGATAAAATCGCATCAATATCGTCCAAGTCATCAGCCATATCGAAGCATCATCACAAAGAAAATTCCGTAACCCAGAATATCGCCCGCAGTTCTAAAGGTGAGCAGACAGCAAATGGTTCGATATTCCGTAATCGGTATCCTGCCGCGTCACTCAGAGAATGATCATGTGTTTTTCATATCCGCGAGATGGTGACATTGAGCCACAAAATATTTTTCAAATTTATTTACAGAACAGCTGTTAGCAATTGACGGGGAAGTCCCAGTTTGCGTTTGGGTGTGGTATTGCATATTATCATAAACTTCCAGTGTTTGTAAACAAAATATCTGTTCATGTGCATGTTTAAAGTCCTTGTACATTAGGAAACCTATACCGTATTACTTGGATCAAGATTCATTCAGAGTGAAATAATTGTGGTTGCCCAAAAGCTCACTCAGGGGATTTCCTGGGGTTCGCTGCGTTTGTAGACAAGTGTTGAAACTCGATGATGTGTCGCATTGTTTTTGTTGCATGAATGGCGTCGTTAGGTTCGTCAAGGAGATTACAACGACAAGGATCTGTCCTGTTTGACAGCATGACCCAACTAGTACCTCCAGGTATATTTTTTTAATTAATATGATGTGAGTGAATCTTAGATGAGATTTGCTGGAAGTGGACAAAAACATAAAAATGCTAGTTTAAATTTTCTATGCCTTTAAATTTTAGTCACATTTTGTAATACTCTTATTGTTAGTAGTACTGAAGCCTCGAAGTGTGTGCCTAATGAAATATTAAATTGAAATAAGTATATTGAATTTTTCACGAAACATTGTATTTCGAAGAATTCAGAGACTATTGGTTCTGATTTTTTATTAATTTTTGTTTCGCAATTAATATCTATTGTTGTTTTTCAGGGCATGAAAAGCCACTGCGACAAGCTTTTTACACGGCAGCTGCCATATTGTTTACAGTTGCCGGTTGTGCTGCTGCAGTTTATGTTTATTTTGTCCTTGAAATTTTTATCACGCCGTTGATATGGGCTGTACTATGTGGTAAGTTCTTGTATGTGACAATTTTTTAACACATAAAATTTTATATACATATGTATCAAAAAATGTTTCAATTCCTCTTCATAACAAAGGTTTGCTCATTCATACATGGCAATGCGCATATCAAGTTTGTATCCCTCTTGCCTGGAGCATTGAAACAGATGCAACATACCATAAAGAAGTTGCTTTTACTAAAACGGCCACATTTTCTTTATGATTGGAAAAGTACTTCTTGCTTAGATTTGTTAGTACTAAATTTATAGAAAGAAAACAAACCACTTCTGAATGTTAATTTCAATTTCAATGATATTCATCCAGCTTAAGTTTGTACCTAATCATCTTTTGGTAAAATTTTATATTGCAAATAGTGCATAAGCTGATGGATGGTTTTGTAACATAAGCTTTTGAGCTAAAGTGTGGCTTTCCCCATCAAGTCCATCGTCCACGTATCAGGGACTAATCTCATACCTGACATGGACTGGTAACCGGACGAGAGGCCATGGTTTGGCATATTAAGCCGTCTTATTAGCTCTCCTTTTCCCCCTGAATTATATAAATCCTATCCATTATTGCCTATCCATTATTAATATATTGTAATATATTTCCAGTTTTTCCAGCACATCAAAAATATACAAGTGTAGTATACGCAATGAAAAACTATCTTGCCATTATTTCAGGTTTCTTCTTATTCCCATTCAAATACTCATTGAATTCTGCATTGGAGTCTTGGTTGAAAGCTCACGAGGAAAGTGGAAGACCATTACTCATAGGAGCTCTTCTCATTCCCATCAGTATATTTGATAATTTTGCAGAGAATCTGGGAAAATTTATTGTCAATCGATGGAAGGTCCTTTAATTATAAATCTCTCAATAGTTTGAAAAAGATTATCAATATTTTGCTAGTCATGCTCGTTTATTTCTGATTAATGTGATAATACAGAAGTTCTCTATTTTAATCTAGAATGTTTCAAATGGTTTTATCATATCAAAAATCAAAATTTGCCAAATTTGCCAAAAGTTTTTACTACAATACAAATTAAACAAACAGTTCAATCAAAAATCAAATAAAAGCAGAGCTTAATAATAGTGACAAAGATGGATTCAAAGCTTATCTTGAGTCATGCCATGCCGGAATTAAGCGCTATTTAGTTATAACCGACTTGAGTTTATGAAGTCCATGGCAAGTCTAGTCATATTTCCTTGACTTGAGTGAGTTTTAATTAACTCAATTTCAAGCCTTTTAGCATATCATTGTGCAATTTGAACAAGTAAATGAGATCAACCCATTTTAATGAAATTGAACCTTATGCTCGACATGTAGCTAATTCATGATTTAAGTCATGCGGGCAGCGTGCAATCTATTAATAGGTTTGTTTATTAAACATAATTTCCTAATTGCCGAACATAAATTTCAAATATGTATATATATATTGTGTTGAGATTTTAATATTATGCCATACTTGATGTTCAAATAAACAATTACTTCAAGAATGACTGGCCTCATTCCATTCTTATGATATATTCATATTGTAAAATTGATTATGAATAATGGAAATAATTTACATCTATGCGATTTATTTTCAGATGCTGGTGGCCCTTGCAACAATTTTATCAGTTCTATATATTCTTCATTTGATTCAATTGCTTTATATATTTCAACTTGCCTTACTTGGTATATGGCATGCTATTGTACTTGTGTGGGACACAACTTCAGATTTTGTGGAATTTATTGCTGAGTATAGACTCATTGTGAGTAACTCTTATTTTTACATTGTCTGTCCGTATGAACAAAATAAGTTGTTAAATTAACACATTTCATATGTTTTTCATCATTAGAATGAATATAAGATATAAGCAGAGATTGCCAAAACCAAGTAATCTACTATTCTGAATACATTCTGAAATAACATTTAAAATTGTCTTTTTGTTCAACCAAGAATATTTCAGAAATCATTGTTAATTAATAGAAATTGAATTTTGTTCAGTTATACTGTGAGGCATTAGTTATTCAGAATGAGAATTCCTCAAATAAATCTATCCTAATTATTTCCAAAATCTAAAATTTTTAAGTATCGAATATAATTAATCTGGATTTGATATGAATATATTTTGGATATCCCTGGTTATAATATAAGAATAATATAGAATTTTTTCATCAATTCAATATTTCGATGAATTGGAGATGATTCGAATTATGGCCTAATAAGAGGTCGAAGATAGCTGTCGTGGATAATACTTCAAAACCTACTTTGATGTTATATATTAAATTTAATAAAATTGTTTGTCATGATATATTAATGTAGGAAGCTGATATCCCTCATCAAATGCAGATTAAAATAGTCAGGTTACTTATCTAATCTATATTTTTTGGGAATAGTTGTGATTGTTATTACAAATTACATTCATTACAAATTTAATAATGTTAATTTATAAATTCAATATTATAGCTCATAACTGTAGTTGGAGGTTATACAGTCTCAGCACTTACACTTGATCCAGCATCTGTGAGATGGCTTGGTTATGCTGCTGTTCCTGCCTGGATCTCTTTTCTGATCTGTTTGGGTAAAATAATATTATTTGATTTAAAAAGTTGCCTCTTTTGTATACAATCTTATTCAACTGCTCAACATGATTCCAATCGCATGAAGACATTCTCATAAAATTGATTTCCTGACCCCAACTAAAATCACTGAGCTCACACAACAGCTGAGATCGCAAAAGTGTTCTTTAGAAAGATTAGTGGAAAGCAAAACTCAGCATTAGGAATACGCTAGGAACTAAGCATTAGGAATACGCTCGCTACCGCACCTCTGATTACTCTGCGTGGGTTTGAATCCCATGCTGGATGGTTATGTGCGAGAGGACTCCTTGGCGCCGTAGGGTGGTTCACGTAACCGCTGGTCAGTCGCAGCTTCCTCCACCATCAAGTCCATGCTTCCGAAAACAAACATCAAACTAATTCCATACCCAACATGAAATGTCACCATATGTTCAGGCCGTCTTATTGACTACCTCTCCCCCGGGATAAATATGTAAATCCTATCCTAATATGGGTAAATAAAGAAATGGGCATACAAACTCTCATACTGTAATGTTACACATAACTTCATCTCAGTAAACTCAAATAAAATAAGGTTATTATATTATTGATATTGTGGTACAGCAATGTTCATATATTTTCTTCCTTCATATTACAGTCAGTGTAGCTGGACGAATGCAAGTTCCATTAGGAATTGCTCTGCTTGTTTTGGTGATAACTGGAGCAATTTCTGCAAGTAAACAAAACTCAGGTGAGAATGGCTCAGTATTGTGTATCGAAGTTAAAATGATTAATATTCAGCTGTACTCTCACTTCCTCTGAAACTCATTTAAGCAAATGAAAAATCAAAATTTCTCAACACTAAATAGAGTCCAAATATAGGCTATTGTATTTTGGAATACACAACACAAAGGCTTGAATACACAAAGGCTTGAATATTTGAGCATGGAACGAATTATTTGACAACGGTATCTTTAAAGTTTATGATATTACAGGCATTTTGGTTATCATTAAAACTTTTCGCTAGTCCAGAGTAGATTTTTGCACCCTAGTAAAAAGATGATTGGAGCAGGGAGCTCCCATATTGTTTCTATCATTTTAATAAAAATCACTATTACTATGCAGATGAGCATGCATGTTTTAATTCGATTTTCAATAATAAAGTGTTTGTTACTGTTTGTTTATTTTTTCATTAGATGATATCCGACGTACAATACTAGCAAGCACAAGTTCGATCACAGCGATACTAAAATCAGTATCTGGTTCAAGTGTTGCACCTGAAGGTTTGTTCAAGATTATTTCATTGGAAAATCAAAAAAAGAAAATGTATGTAGTACTATTGCTCAAATAGTATGTATATTGCTTTTCAAATATCAATTAACAGTAGTTTTTTCATAATATTTTATTGATTAGCGAATAAAACAAATTTGTAACATCGAAGTTACATCATTGGGGAACAAGTTTTATATTCCAAATAGTATCCATTGTTGTCATCCTTGTTAACTTAAGTGCTGTACAATATGATTTACATATTTATTGTGGGGTAAAGGAATGACGATGGGCCAGTGATGATGGAGGAAGCCGTAAGTGACCAGCGGTCACATGAACCATCCTACTATGGCGAGAAGTCCAGCAATCTTTTCACACATAATTATCCCACATGGGATTCGAACCTGCGAACCCATGCAAGGTAATCAGTGGTGCTACGATGACAAGCGTATATTACCGTTTGGTACGATGCACTCCACCACGGAGCCAGTAAATGATATTTCTCATTTGAAGTCGTCAGTGAGTTAGCAAATTTTTATGGAAACTTTGGCATTTGCCAGCATTTCATATAGATTCATTTGAAAATATCAATTTACAACCTCTAGAAATCTGAATTTCTGAATTCAATCTATGCCAGTGACTAACACAGACTCCAGATGGTTGCTACTAGCAACATGATATTTGCGTAATTTTTTCACCTTCATTGATTGCCTGTCATCTTGATAAAAAAAATATTCAGATATGCAACAACACTTTTTAATTTAATAAATTATCAATACATATAATTTTTTTTAGTAATATAATTTGTCATTGGGTTTATATTTGTTCCTACCCAAATTTTTTTAAAAGATCCTGACTCATCTACTGAGGATGTTGTTGATGCTGCAACAGAAAATACACAAGAGGTAGAAATATAGATTGAATTATATTCACACTAAATTATATATGTCATCATACATTGGCGTATATACAAAATCATTATTTTATTTCAGGCATAGTCATAGGGGGGTGTTACTGTTTAAGATTCAACAACAGCACTGTCTACTTCTTTAACTTAATCATTATACCCATGATTAATAACAATAATTCAAACCCAAATATACCAAATGGTATAAAAACCAGAAATAAAAGAGATAAAAAAAAAGATAGAAGATGAAAAAAAATAAGATAAGCAAAATTGGAAGCAAAGAGTCAAAGCTATCCATAATTGTTCCTAAAATTTTTGTCATTTGTATACTTATTTTCTAACTCTTCAAATTTTAGTCTATTGTGTTTCTTTCTACCCTTTTACATCATTAGTTTAAATCAATGTCCGAAAATGACGACAATGAAGCGAGCACATCTGATGCCAGAGTTACAGATATTCAACAAGAAAAGGCAGTTGATGAATTGTAAGTTAAACTTGAACTCAACAATTTAACAGCTAATATAAATCAGATAGAAATTTAAATTTCTTCGTTATACTTTGATGTTATCTTGAAATTTAATTTTTTGAAATTGACATAGTTCAAATTTTTTCTCTTAAATCATAGTTTTTGACACTTTTTGACAGTAAAAATTGTCCTAAATCATAATTTTGTTTTACTCAAATGAAGATGAATCAGAGAACCTGTCTGATAAATAGTTTATCTTATTGTCATGTATCCATAGATTAAATAGTATAATCACTATTATAAATTTGGCAGGGTTCCAGATAGAAGAAATAGTGCTGCAGGGGGCAGTAAACGAAAGCGGAGAAAATCTATTAATCGAGAATCCAGTAGTGCCATATTTTTCAATCTTCTATTCTTTGCATTTGTTTTGATGATGGCATGGATGCATACATGGGTGGTTGTTCTCCTGGTTCTTCCTTTTATATGTGAGCGTCACAATTTTTTTAGCTTACTTGAAACATTGAAGCTTTATAGTTTGGTATAAAAGTATAGTTTGGTTTGGGAAATAGAACTTCTCTTCTGATTCCATAACCAGCAAAAACTTGTTCTCCCATTCCTGAACCCTGGTAACTTATATACTTCATAATTTCGTATTTCTCTACTTTGTAAATTTGTTTTTTGATGAATGAAAATAAAAGACATCCCCAAAAATAATCCCTAGTGTTATTTTCGAAAGAAAAACACGGTATTTCGGGGAAACACGGTGTTATCCAAACGTTTTGCATATGGTATATATTATTGACTATTCTTTATTCTACATTTGAAAATATTATTTCATAAAATATAAATGATATCAAATATATATTCCTTGTATACAAATGTCACTGTTATTAATTTTCACGCGAAATTTTGAAATTGGCATTCCAGATTGGTGTTTGAAACAACTGTTTTATCTGGAATTTGTGACTGGATTTTGTGATAGACAATGTCAAACTGTATTTGGAAGTGACTTGCAAAAAACAAAAGAAAGGATATTTGCACATTATGATGACAGAAAGGGTCTTTTATTACCTCCCTCTGTAAGGAGCGCATTAAATATGATACAAAAAGGAGACAGAAAGGTATGTATTACATAGTTATCACTTTGACAGTGATTTGACAATTAACAAAGAAAAAAAACTGAGGAATATTGACACTTAACAAAGGAGCAAAGCAGTGAAATATTGACACAAAGACCAATTGACTGACATAGTGCCTCCAGAAATTGTACCAATTGATTATAAAGAAAAATATTTTTCATTTGCCCATGAATTATGAAAATGCAGCAAAACTTGGGGTTAACTTTGAGGCCCCATTGAAAAATAGGAAAACAAAAAATAAAATAATAACGATTTATGGCCTTCATGGCAATGAACATTTTAATAACTAAAAATTTTAAATTGTTTGATTGAGGTATAGAGAAAGCAACAAAAAGAACAACAATGTGGCAATTGATCTATAGGTCTATATCCTGTTCAAAAAGATTTGATAATTTTCATATTTGTGAATCTTATGATGTGATGTTATTTAACACGGCCTATACCAGGCCTGCACAACATACGGCCCGCGGGCCGCATGCGGCCCGCTAGATACTTCTGTGCGACCCACAGGTGATTTGGAAACACGCCACTTCTCAGGTCTAACAATCAAAGCCGGCATTGTTATGCAAGCGCGCCGCTACTCAGATCATATTCGAAATCGTGATATTTAGGTTTTGCACTAGTTTCAATAAATATCAAACTTTGTATGAAATTGGTGTGCCCTTCGCGACCACTAAAATTCGTCGCTCGACCCCTCGCCCCCCCCCCCCCCAGTTTGGGAAACCCTGATTTAGATATCTCAGTTTTCAGACTGGATCACGCTTAAAACAATATCGGTATACAATCTCACACCCATTAGTGCATATTAGCAACCTATTAATAATTTCTTATTTTACATTATTTTTTACTAGCAGTTTATGAAACTGAAGTTTATTTTTTGATTCAAATTTAGAACCTAAAAAACAGTTCCTTCATTTATGAATGGTGCAGGAATTCTCGCACAAAAGATTTTGCTATTTACTGTGAAATTTCAAATAAATTGGAGCAGATTTTGTTGAAAAATCTAATTTAACAGACAGAAATATCCAATAATGGTAGATAGGACTAACAAAATTGTCATACATATATTTGGGACGTTTTTACAAAACTGAACCTGAGTAAAATATTTTCCTGCAGTCAGTTTTTTACTGCAACACGCAATACCTAATTCTAATAAAAAAGAAATATTGGAAAATCAAGGGTGGGTTTTCAAGGTAGATGAACCACTAAATACATATTTGCCATTTCATATGCAAAAATACGCTACCTTGTTTTTACCCTAGAAAATAAGATTTTTCATATTTTTAAGCTCCCCAGTAATGAAAATGTTTCATTAAATTCAACTGTTTCACAATATTATTTTGATTTGTAGTTCATCTTGTGAAATATGTATGTGGCAAAGTTTGCGGCCCGCCGGGCCTTCGGAATTATGCTTGCGGCCCTCGTGGTAATTTGAGTTGTGCAGGCCTGGCCTATACAAGCAGTGGGATAGGATTTACATATTTATCTTTGGGGAGAGGAAAGTTGGCAAGACGGCTTAATGATATGGCGAACCAAGGCCCTCTCGTTCGGTTACCGGTCCAGGTGGCGTATGGGATTAGTTAGCCAGTGATTTGTTTTCAGTTGTATGGACTTGGTGGTAGAGGAAGCTGTAACCAACCAGCGGTCACGTGAACCCCCTACAGCGGCAAGGAGTCCAGCAATCCTCTCGCACAAAATTAACTCCATCCTATGGGATTCGAAACTGCTATCCCATTCAGGGTAATCAGAGGTCTGGTGACGAGCGTGTTCGTTAGGCTTAGCACATTGCGCCACACCCCGAGCCAATAACATAGCAAATATGCATATATACTATAGATAGGAAGACTATACATTGAGGGATGTGAGATCATTATAGATTTCTGTTTAATAGTTCAAATTTATTGTCTTATTTTTAGTTCAACTCAGCTGCTTTACAAATACTGCCTACGATTACAAGTACAATCATGATATTGATTCTCATTGTCGGATCAATTTCTATTTCACTGTTTTTTGCTGTGAAGGTGAACAATATGTCATTATTCTGTTTCGAGATTTTCAATCTGTGATGTCAAAACATTGAGTGCAACATTTTTGTCGGTGGGCCATATAACCAACTTCAAACATCTAGCTGGGCCAAAAAAAAAATTTAGTTTTTCCATGTGCACAACGAATTGAAAAATTCTAACAATGCCAAATTTTATTTATTTAGCATTTTAGTGGGATACTTGAAATTTCGCATAATTTGTTAGCATTAGCTTTGACAGAAATTGTAGCAACCCTTAACTGACTGGTCAAATGTTCATCAGTCAGCTGACTTCCACATCTTTCAGAAGTTTATGTGCGTATTGTGTATCTTACCCATATTAGCGACTTTTTAAACATAAACTGTCGAATTAGGGTTCTATGCTTGATGGGGAAAATCTGAGTGTTGACAAAGGTCACATTAAATGGCTTGCCAGGCCGGGTTGTGGCCCCGTGGGCCACCTATGGCACATCCCTGGTCTCATCGTTAAACCTTCATGGCTGTGTGCTATACCAAGTGTGATAAACATCAACTTTTCAAAATTATGCAGCCTGCATTCTTTAGAGTCATTGTATTAATTCAGTATATCTCATATTCTTCCATTCTCAATCCAAATTTTTTATTGGCTGTATTGATTTTACTAGTACACTTCTGAATGCTATTCGGCTTGAGTTTTCGATTTTTCTTCGAGGTTCAAAGTTCATGTTATACTTATTTTTATTTTCATCTTATTCAGATCCAGCAAGAAAGTTTTCTTCTAGTCCAAATGACTTCAGATTTAATTAATGAAACTGTTTCAAAACATCCAGAATATCAGTCGTAAGTACAGATTTGAAATTAAATAAGTACTTTGTTCCATCGATTCTTAAAATACCTTTGTTATTGCAGATGGCTTCCTGACAATGATACAATGCATAAATCAATGGATTCAATTGTTGATAAAGTTTATTCACAAGGTAGAGAATGGATTAAAGATCAGGTGAAATATGAACAATCCAGTTCTTCAAGTTTTTAATCGTTGATTATTTTTGTTTGGCTGAGGATGATCTGCTGAAAACAGGGCCATATAATATGGGAAAATTCACACCAGACTCCAAATCATTTAAAACATTGACTCTGACGTTTGGCTAGTGATCCGACAAGAACTCAACTTCAGCTTCTGACTTCATGCTGAAGTATATTTGAATTCAGACTTCAGCTCAAATCTCAAAAAAGCGAATGAAAAAAAAATTTTGGCTTATCCGAGCCTTCTATGCTAGTTATGACCTGAAAACTTTTTTTTAGCTTCACACGAGTCTGGGGAATGAAGCAAACGTTAGTTTGATTGAGAAACAAGCTCTCAAAATATGGGATCGTGCTTATCATTCATGGTTTAATAAGGTAACTATTGTTCAATTGCGTCAAATAACTATAATATCTATTTTTATTTCGTTTGTTGACACGATTCTTCATTTTTTTTAAATGTTCCAAATTCCAATATTAACTTTTGATGAACGATTTATTATTAACAAGCAAACCAGGCTGAAATATATGAACACGAAGGTCGCGCAAGGTACCGGTAATACCCTTCAAAAGACTTCTTCCTTCTTTCATCAAAAATTTGAAATCACTTTGCTCATTGGTTGCAGATAAAATAATCAACAATAATCACCCCAACAACAACATGAACAACTATTTAGTAAAGAGATCAATAGTACCACTACGATCCCATTAAAAACAAGAGAGCATCGGTCAAATAATCAAATATATAGACACAAGGGCGAAAAAAAAATATTTTACACACAATTTCCCCAAATATCATGTTCTGGAGGGGGAGCCGCAGGTGTGAAGCAACGTAACTTACTAGTACCGATACCAGGACTGTCCTAGCTTTACCAGGTTCTGTGATGATGAATCATATTGTGCCAACATAAAATGGCAATTGATACGACTCACAACTGTAGTATCAAATCTTTTACAGTAACATACCATGGTAGAAGTCTAGTCCACAGTGTGTCACCCGTATTGAATAGCCTTTATCTTTCGTGTCGTACGATTTTGCAAAATGAAACCGCAAGACGGCTGTTACTCTTGCTGGATTAAAAACCATGTTTCTGTGATTAAAAAATAATTCAGCAAAATTATGGATAAAATATTAGATCTATTAGATTACATGAAGTAATAGCCTTTTAGCAATAACAGCTATCTTTAATCACTGAAAATTGTGAGTGTTCATAAAAACATGAACATTTGGATTGTTTACATACATCGCTATTGATATTGTTAGGAGATGAAATATTGTTTTAATAAATATTAGATCAATTGGCTCTAAACTTTCAATAATTTAAATGCAAATGTCTCCTTGACAATCATTACTTCAACTTTGTGTTAAATGGGCTTGCTTGGACCTTCGTCTTTGCACCCAATTACAACGATTTTGAAAAATGTACATTGTCTATAGATGGTTGTTGAGTGCAATATTTTTGAATATACAGACAATTGTAAGTGAGAGAAAAATGTTGAGAAGGCAATCCACTGAAAATGTGTTGGCAACATCGGATAACAGTAGCGGATTATTTTCTGGTGTGATGGATTTACTGAATATGTCTGAAGTTATTGGACTTTTGAAAGAAAATATGTCTGCACTTATGTCTGTAAGTAAATTTATATTTTTAAACACTGTATCACACAAAATAAGATAGTGAGGAAAAGAACACTTGAAATTTCTAGAAAATCATAAATTATTCCCATTAGGTATTTATTAAGTTTTGTAGTTGACAATAAGCTGACGGGGCACCCAATAGCATCATTTCAATTGTTTATATCAGTGGTTCTCAACCGCCGGTGCCGATCCGCGGCAACCTTGCTGCAGGTCCGCCAAATATATTCCAATATTATTGTATTATAAGCAAATTGTAAAATACAAAGTATTGACGGCATGTCTATTACTTTTGTTATTTTTATATCCTATTGATTCGTAGCATCGATATTCGTTTAACAACCAAACTTAGTGAGAGGTCCTATGCCCATTTAAACCCTGAACAACTGGAAGTTCGCCTTTATGACCTCATAACGACGACTAACGTCATAACGGAGGAGTTTGATAGCACATAGTACGGTACCTGATTGAGAACTTCGCACGTTCCGTAATTTGACACTAGGGTTATAATTTATCGAGGTTTGATAATAAAATGGAGACAAACAAACAGCAAATTATTACCCAGTTCTTTCAAAAGAAACCCAGCGGTGAAAACCAAGTAAGTGGTGTTGACAGGACAGAGGAAGAGACTGCTACTTCAACTTTACAACATGCCCCGAAACGACGTTGCAGCAATGTTGATATGGATCACACAGAAACAAGCAAAAAACAAAAGGGAGACTTTATTAGGCAGTGTGATAAGAAGTATTTGGAGCTAGGTTTTCACTATTGCTCTCAGTAGCAAAAAGTACGCTTCCCATGTGCTTTGTCTGCGCCAAAATTCTTTCGAACGAAGCAATGAAACCCGCAAAGCTAACGAAATCGTGTGAAGTCAACGCTCCACTTCGCCTTGCAGAAACTTCATTAGGACCGCGTTTAACACGTATAATATCAAAACAAGAGCAGCAAATTTCTCATTAAATTAGAATGTCTTCTTTTGCACCACGAAATTGCATTCCTTAGATTATATTTCGTGTTCATGACATTTTTGAAGGTCCACTGGTCCGCAAATTTTTCCCGCGAACTGAAAAAGGTTGAGAATTACTGGTTTATATGGTATGGTTGGACAAGACATTGAAACTTAAAAATTTTGACTGAATAATAAATTGTATCAGAAACAAGGATGAAAATATTAGTCATGGTTAAATACAAACAACACCAAAAACCTATTCACTGATTATATTTGTTTTATCAGGTGATGGAATCTTTATGGTCGATAGTTCAAACGAATATCAGTTTGGTATTTTCATCGGTGACAACAGTAGTTACTGTACTTCTCACTGGAGGAACAGCGGTTTTGAACTTTGTACTTTCGATGGCAAGTATAATTATATTTCAAAACGATTCATATTTGTGAAATTTCTAGCAGAAATTAAAACTAGTTAATCTTAGGTATTTTTCATGGCATGAAAATTTAATTCCAATTCCCTTTAACTTTGAAACTTGTATAGCAATTCGGATGGTAACCTCACCAGTGAAAAAATCAGTGCTTTTTGTATTTTACCAGTGCTGAAACATTGATCTAAATAGACATAAGTAAATAAAGCACATTGGATATTCCATGTAGGTTGAATATTTTAAAATACTCGTAGAAAGAAACTAGTAATTATTTGAATAACTTGTTATACTTAAATATGACAGGTTGTTTTCTTTACTGCTTTATTCTACCTACTTGCTGAAAGTGAGAACCAATATCTACCAGTTAAATTAGTTGGTTTCGGATCAAACAGTGAGGATAATCCAAATCCTATTGGTACAGCAATACAAGATGCAATCAGGTATTCATCATTACTTTCTGAGTTTAGTAATAGATTTTTCTGACATTGTGTGGATTATATCAATCTCAAATTTACGAGTATAATAATCAGTGGTGCGATGACAAGAGTGTTCACAGCGCTTAGCATGATGTAGCCTACCAATGTCTAATACGTCCAGTCCTATTTTTATATCTTACGAATACGGTATATCATAATACCCAATTGCAATATTCATGTCCTTTATTCAAATTAATACCATACATGGATTTTCACATGCCTCAATATTTTCAGTGGAGTGTTTGGTGCATCTTTGAAGATGGCAAGCTTTTATGGATTATATACTTGGTTGAACCATACTGCTCTTGGCGCTGCAATGGTTTATATACCATCTTGTAAGTTCAGTTTACATAAATTTTATTTGTATAATATTAGGGGCATAAATGAGATGAACTTAGTTTTATCCTTGAGGTAACATGAGATTTTAATAGCCAAAGCCTCTCATCCATGTTTACCAATCTTAGTCAGGCATGGTAATAGTTAAGTTTTTTCTAATCTACGGTAATTAACGGTACGGTAACATGCAGAAAGCATAACACTGCCTATGTATATTTATCATTTTGTGTTACTGTTTTCCGTGATTCATACAACATCGTTTTTATTATTTCAGTGCTTGCTGCAATATTTAGTGTTGTGCCAGTTTTCACAACATACTGGGCATGTATTCCAGCATTTCTTGAACTGTGGTTGCTTCAAGGTGATTTATTGAGAGGTCTCATACTATTAATTCTTCAGTTTTTACCAACCATGTTCGTAGATGGAGCGATATACAGCGAAATGACTGAATCAGGGTATTTATATATATACATATATATTTTATTCATCGTTAATAAATATGTCCATGTGATGAATAAAAAAAGTACCTTGGTAAATGTTTTTGTTTCATTCCAGTTTAAATCTAAAGTATATTTAAACTGAATCTTAAGTGAAATACAGCACAAGTAAATTCTACTGACTAGATATAAAAAATAATAATCAGCGGATAGCTCGCGCTAGCAGAGGTCAATTTGAATGAAGTAACTACAACACAGCTATTTTTGGATCATATTTTAAACACGCTACAACAATTGATGTGCAAGCTTACACCTAGTAATTTCCTGAAACAAAATCGTGTGCGGAAATTCCATCCACAAGAAGGGATTTTACCAGCATCTGCAAACTGCGATACAGCATTAATGCACAAAATATACATCCATGTCCCAAATACCTATTGTTCAATGTGAGCATTCATAGCAAAACATAGAACAAAAAAAGATGTGATTTTATAGTAAGAGTGTACATACGGATCTATTTATTCTAATTTCTAACACAATATTTCACAGGGGTGGCCACCCATATATTACTGGTCTGGCAGTAGCTGGTGGTTTATACTATTTTGGTTTGGAAGGCGCCATCATAGGACCTATACTTCTCTGCATACTTCTTGTTGCAATAAACACATATATGAGAATCATCAACCTACCAGCCACAGAACAACTGACTGTTGTTCAAGGATTGAATCCGCAATTACTAAGGTTGGTTATTTTGCTTTTATAAATGATTCCAAATATCTTTGCTAATATGATCCATATAACCACATAAAGCGTATTGTTGTTTGTTTACAATGGAATTTTGGCATGCCCACCATTGCTTCACCAGGCATCAAATTTTCTTGCAGTTTATTATTTTAATGAAGTTTTTATTTTCTCCAGACAGAGCAAGAGTGATAAATTACCAGAAGCAAGCAAAGCAATAACATAGCTGCATTTTTATAGAGTTTACAAAGTACATTGAAGAAAGCATGATTTATTCCTTTTATTGCCCTTCATAGAGATTCTCCATTTTAGTGATTTACCGTATATATGTTATAGTTATAAAGAGTATGTTATATATATATAAATATTCTTTATGTGTGTAATTATATCTATAGGTGTATCAGACCACAGTCTGTAAACTGTTTTCTGTGTAATTTTACTAATCACCAATGTCATACAATTTCACATTGCGATAATCAGTTTAATATAAGGCTTATGTGATGGACAGGGACAAATATGTGGTATATTTATAAAAGAAGGTATCACTTTCTGAATATTAAGTATATGTTTTATTATTTTAAAAAGTTGTTTTTCCTAGTATCATTGTTATCATCAAAAATACCCAGAGTGTGAAAATATCCTGTTGGCATTAGATCAGCCATGTCTTGCCATTATCTTGTTTTTATGTTCCACTATCTTTGTAAATGTCTGGGAGTGATGCATGCCGCTTGCGTTAAAATTGGTACATAAATGCGACTGTTTATTCAAATTTTCGCATTGGTTTGCATGCACACAGATTCATGAGGTCTCTTAAACCCTACTTCAACTTTTTTTGTTTACGTGTATGTTGCTTCAAAAAGATATGTGCCATTATAAAGTCTGTTCATTTATTAACATATTTTATGGGCCTAGAACTCGTGCATGGAAAGTCCAGAGTAAGACTTTCGCCTATGAATTTCATAGAGTTGTCAAATCGTACGTCTTGTAATCCTTGTCAACAAACTAATTGGCCTAACTCAAATAATACTACTTGCCATTGCTAGAACAAGACCAAAAATTGAACGGGAAAATCTGTAAATTTCGCAATGTGATAACAAAAGACCTTGCTCATATGAATAGCTTTATTTAAAGGGGACTTGACAACTTTTAAGGAAATCTTATAAAGATCCATAGCGCTGAAAAGGTTGGCCTAAACGGTTTCAAAATCAAATGCAGTAGTTACTTACTGCTGCTCTTTTATGATTCCATTACATTTGAACCCATGACAATTGCACCTGCATACTATTGCACCTATGGAATTTTTTTGTTTTACGGATATATGAACCCATACTCACCCTAACCCATGAGTTTCAGCACCCGCATATAGATTGAACCCGCGGATATACGCATGGGTTCAAATGTACGGTTGCCCTCTTTTATAGTTGGCTCAATATCAAAGGATTAAAAAGTTAATAAGATAACCCTTGTTACACATCACCAGAACCTTCAGTAAATTACATTGAGTTTAAATTGTAATTTCATCACTATCATAAGGTTTGAGTTTCTGATCTGCACGACAACTATGAAAGAACAAACCATCCATTCTATAAGAAAGGAAATTGTTTTATTTGCTTGAAGCGACCAACACTGTTGAAATGGTGGAAAATGGTATGATGCAATAAAGGTCGCAACATTAAAATTACCACAATGCAGGATTGCTAATTATAAAAATAAATAATATTGGTGAGACTCAGTAACAAAATCATAATACATTTGTTTCAATTGCAATTTTTAGATGTGGGATACTAACAAAAATATAATGCCCGATGATCAAAATATTTCTTAAGGTAAGATACAATGACTTTGACCAAATGAAACTTGAAATAGGATCTTTGTTAATTTGGATATCACACAATGAAGAGGATACATTTGAACAAAAAATTCCTCCAGACCAGGTATATAAGACAGCAACAACAGGTTTGCAAATATCATGGAAAACGTAAAATAAAAATTGGTTATAGGGTTAATCTCAGAAGACTAATAGAAAATAAATGCGCAATATGTCCACCAGGAAGCACAAGAGGTAGATGAAGAAAATTTGAAGACAAAGTCTTATTCCAAATCGCTGCTTCATAATTTTATTTGTCAAGTTGACTGTTTGTGGGGATATTCGTTGCAAAACAATTTGAACAATAGATGTTACGTTCATACAGACATAATTTTTATATCTAAGACGGAGTATGTACTCTGCTTTCAGGAACTTATATATACAAGTGTGTTTTTCACTGGATTATTTAATTACACTACAATGCGTGCTAATTGAACGATTAAAATTTATTAGGTAATTAGAATGTGGTGTGTTGAAAACACCTGTGCCGATTACTAAACATTTTTAAATTTATTCAGCTACACCTGTAAACCAGATGTGCCAGATCTGTGAATAGAATCATACTGACATCTATTATTTAAAAATAATCTGTGTAATAATATAAGTATTCATCAATACACAACATTCATCCCCACTGTGAATCTCAATTTACGAAAATAATTCTGTTTTGATAGTTGCATACAGCTTCATTGTGGGATGCCAACAGATAATCTCTGCAACGTTGTTTACTGATAATACAAAATATAATAAAAAATAAATCTATTCAAATTGAAAAAAAAAATGAACAAATTCATACAAGTAATAACACAGGTAAAATCATTAACACAAATAAATGATAGAACATTAAACTAATTTTTCTGGTAGCTATTCATCCTGTAGGTTGTTAAATGCAACCAATTGCATGTGTGGGGAGTTTGTTTTATTTTGAATATCCTAAATTCTTTAGATAAAATCAAACCTTTCCCAAGAGTAAATCGCAAATGTTTCTTCCCATGTTCTAAGTACAGAATTGTGCACGACCCACTGTCAGTAAAACAAAGTCTATATATGTTACCATATCAATGATATTTTATCAAAAATATTTTTTTGAAAAATTGAAATTCCTTATATTCACTGGGACAATGTTGTCAAAACCTGTCAGGTTAGAGGTACAGTAAACAAAAATAATACAAACGTCATCATTATGCTCCACACTAAATAGGTAAAAGAACTACTATTTGCAAAAAGAAATAGAAATTTTGCAGAAAATATATACCTTGTTTTTTTTTGCCTAATAATCTTATTGACTTAGATCTTTGATAATGCATTTTCAACTTAGGATAGCAAAATACTGCTTTTTTTAGCTTCTGTTTTGAGGTCTTCAAAGTATATTTTGTGAAAACAAAAAATGTTGAACCAATGCTATCTATGCAAATTATTGTTCAATCGAAAAAATATCGAATACTTTATTACTCGATAAAGATATTTACATAATTTGGAAGACATCAGTAACAGAATGAGTGTGAATTGGCAAAGACATTTTTTGCATGTAGTCACATTAGCTTATGGCCTACTAATATATATATTGAACAAACCATATGTCGGAAAATGATATAAAAAAATTTACCATAGAAAGCAAATTGTATAAAAATGGGCGGAAATATATGAAGCAGTCTTGCATAACTTAATAATAAGTAACGAGCCTCAGTTGTAAGTACAGCAGTAACCTCTATACCAGGGGTCGGCAACCTTTTGTCGCTCGCGGGCCAAAATTAAGGGTTCCAAGTCATTGGCAGGCCGCGCATATTTTTAGAAAGTTGAAATCGGACAAATGATAGATACTTTCTAAATTAAAAATCAAACAGGGATACATCTCTCAACAAAATTTTAAATTTCCTTTTCTCATTGCATCTCAAAAAATTCCATTTGAATATTTTCGGAGCCATCGAACCCTTTGCATTTAGCATCAACTTTTCTGCCTTTATGCCATTTGTCTAATTATAATTACATTATAGGCACATTGAACGAGTAATTGTGAATTATATACTTGTTAGGTTCCAATACAATAATTTAGTCTATACGTGTCTCACAATAAATTATGTTACATAAAGAATATAATCACCACCGGATCCGGCCTGCCCGCCGTAGGTTGCCAACCCCTGTTCTATACGTTGCAATAAATTCTGCAATATTCTCTTATACGAATGATAATTATTCTACTTTGGCACATACGTGATGACCATTGCTATCAGACTTCGTTTGGTCTTCGTTGAAACTCTGTTGTCTGCCTGGTGATATTTTTTATCTAGTCCAAAACAATCTTTCATTAGAAGTCTGATGAATAACACTGCGTTCATTATTGGTACAGCAGTACCTTCCATACGTTGCAATAAATTCTTCGATATTCTCTTATACGGATGATAATTATTCTATTTTGGCACGTACATGATGACCATTGCTATCGGACTTTATTTGGTCACTTGAAACTTTGTTGTCTCCGTGGTGATATTTTTTATCTTGTCCAAAACAATCTTTAATTAAAAGTCTAATGAATAACACTGCGTTCATTATTGTCATCAACGCCATACCAACAACAGCAATGCCGTGGAATGGTTGTGCGACTTTATTAAACACTAACCACCTTGTCATGTATGTCAGGGTGCAAATTCGAAATAATACAAACCTGTAAAAAGTAGAGGTCAAAATTAAATTGACTATATCTTGACAAAATAAGATTTCGTTTCTTTAAAAAAGAGAAGTGACTGCCTATACAGAGCCTTGTTCAGAGTAGTCATCCCTCTTTTAAATATATAAATATTGTCCGCATGGAGTCTGCAGGATCATCTTGCAACAATAAGCTGATATTCTACACCAGAGTTGGTAATGGATAATAGCTTAACTGATCTTAGATAGTTAACAGTTACAAATAATTTTAACAATTATCAACTGCATCTTTGACAATACTCGCTTTTTTGATGTACATTCAACACAATCATTCATAATTAATTCAAAAAATAGTGATATCTATCTCACTTGATGAACATCAGATAACGAAACCATATAGAAAATGTCAAGAGCCAGATTATTTTGAATCAAAATACGGAAATGTTAAGTGAGTTTCAAATCGGGATATATTACTCGTGATTCAACATTCATTCCATATCAGTAATTTTAAAAATGGCCATTCAAATTCATTCAACAAGAGAGCATTGCGTTAAAGAATAAATTGCAGAAATCGGGCATAATATAGTCATATTGGGCTGACAATTCACAGCAAATCAGCAAGATACAATAAGTATATACTTACGTTCCAAGATTGACAATACAGTTGACTCTGTAAATTTGACTCTTTTTATCAACACCGGACAACCTGAATAACATTCTCATATGAAGAAACACTGAATTTACTTCGACCAGAAGAGCTACAACTGCATATCCAACATACTGATGTCGAAACACGGATATACCAAAGCAAGAAGAAACCTGGAAAACAAAACAATATGAAGTGTTAGAAACAGTAATTCACCCACGCATATTTATAATCAAAACACAGAAGAATGACCAATTTTTAGAGAAAGCCGCAATCAAATATTTTGTTCAATACATCATAATACAAGCAAATTGTTAGGTAAAAGTAATTCTTGTATTCATAAAACATCCCAATAACTCGAAATAAATTTAAATCACTATGTTTATTCACACTTTGCTAGTCCATGTAACTATTATCAGAATGTAGTAGGCGGGATAGTAGCTGAAAATGTGAATAGTGAATAGGCTAGCCGACAGGAGTGAAAGCCTTCAGAAGTTCATTTACAATATCAACAAATATTCCAAAGAATGTGAAATTGACTATGGTAGGCGACAAGATTATTTTAAAAACATTGGCATGTATTTTTATTTCAAGTTGTGCACCCCTGAAAAACACAACTCATTTTAAGTCAAAGTTCAAAAAGGCACAACAATCCAATTTTCCCATCTGATCCACAGCAGTGAAAAATTTCTATTCATTGACAAGTACCGGTAGTTATTCAAATTTTGAAAATAAATATTGGTAACATGCAAATACTGCATCAACCATAGTTTATTCTCAGACTTAGATTCTACATTCTTAAAGTAAATTACTTTGAGGCCAAGATAATAAAATAGGTTTGGATGCATAATAAGCATTGCAATAGTACAGTCATTGTTTTATGCATATACATCTGGATTGATAACAATAAAAATGGAAACAGCAAGTTGAGAATCTGCTCAAAGCAAGAACATGCACACATAGGACCAAAAACAATAGTTGCATGGGAACAATGGAAACCTATATGCAAACTTGTATATTACATGTTATATTTTTGGATAATGAACATGGTATGACCCATCCTGCATCAAGACAGTGCATTGCCAGACATACCTTATTGATATGAAAAGATAAACACATTAATATGCATACAATATTCAATGTTATCTATATTATCTTTGTTGAATTATTCATTGCTATAATACAGGCATATTTAGAGGAAATGACCTTTTACAAACTTTAATCAGTGTGAATTACCAAATTACTGTTTTAGAAGTGTAATGGGTCATTTTATACTTACCGGTACTTCGCAGAAGAATTTTAGAATAAGTAAGGTTGGAATAGACTTCACTACGATTTTTTAATTCAAGACCAGATTGAAGTCAGTTAGTTACAAAGGCATTTGGCATTAATTATGCTCTTGTGATTTTTACTTCGAATTTACATTCCATTGAATACCATTGTCTGATTTTTCCTCAAATAAACCAGAACAAAGCTAATAAAACAGACACGATGTGTTAAAATATTATTGCTCCCTGTGTGCCCAGACACACCTCATTGACCAAACAAGTAAAAATAATATCTAGATTCCGGTGGTTCCCAGTTTTTATTTTAATTCCCTACACAAGAATTCAATAGTCAGTTTAACGGGTTCAGTCCTTGAAAATTTCACTCATCATAGCCTCTGTAAAAATTTGTGACTCATGATAGACAGACAGAGAATAAGAAATACTGACACGTCTGTTATGGAATGCAGCATATTATGATTTTCGCAGATAGAACTTTGAATAAAAAACCATCGGATGGAAACCAACATTTCGTGGAATGGTACATTTCATATTTGCTTATGTGGAATTCTTTATGAAATCAAATCAGTATTACATAAACGATGCTAACAGAAATGACTGCACACAGATCAGATATTATGCAACAAACTCCAGAGCAAATATTGGAACAGCCAGTTACATAATAGAAATTTTTTATTTCATATTCGCTTATGTTGAATTCTTTATATAATCAAATAATCAAATCAGTATTACATAACAGATGCTAACGGAAATGACAACGCAGAGATCAGATATTATGCAACAAACTCCCGAGTAAATATTGGAACAGCCAGTTACATAATAGAAATTTTTAATGTTTGCTCTGATACAATATATTTGATGAAAATGTTTGAACGCATCATTTAGAATCTTGGCTAGATATCTTGTACTAAAATTCACAGTTATGTGCCATGTGTTGACACATCGACATATCAATTTTTCGCACATCTATTCTATCACTACTATTGTCTAACACAAGCATCCCATAAGGAAAATTGAAAATTTCACAGCATAGCATTACAAAAATGCAGAAAAGTGTTTCATTTCAGCTTTGAAATATGAAGTAATGTAGCCTATAATTAATTGTTCATTAAGATAATCACTAACATACAAATATATTGATCGAAGACATTGATCCACTAAAGAAGATATCAATAAATAGGTACATGACTTCTTAAAATTACATAATACCATTTTATCCTTATATAATGATGCATAGCAAGTCACTATCATTTCAGGACTAAATTGATGCAACAGGTAATTAAAAATTGATACTAACCACAGCATGATGTAACAGAATTTCCCAACTTTTGGAAAGAGGAAGCATTATTATGTTATCAATCACATCATAGAGAAAATAACCTGAATACAAAACATTAATAATTTAGATAAAGCAAAAAAACAAATTGCATAATTCTGAAAACAATGAGGCATATGCTAGAATAGCAACCTGTAACCCAAACGTGTTCACTTGTTATGAACTTATGATATTATCATATACGAGACTAATCAGACTCTCAGTTTCAAATGATGTAGAGGAGTGGAAAGCCAAACTCATTAATAAGCACAGGGGCCTAGTATGCCAGAAAGGAAATGATTTATATTCAAATAGATCACATGAGGAAATGAACTAGAAAAGAGACTGCAATGACCTTTTTAATAAATATTCAACACAAAATCGAGAAAAATAAAAATGATATGCAATATTTTTGGGGTAATAAAACTTGAGTGATTGAAATAAAAGAAACACAGAATTCATTTACAATTCTTTTGTTCATCAATTCAATCTCTATAATAATGCTAACTTAGGGGGTAAGGTACTTAAAAGACACAAAAGCAACTTATATAACTATTAAACGAGTTGTCATACATGGTGATGCCAAAACACAGAACCCAAGTTACTTGGAACATATTCTACATAAAACATAATTTTTGTGCCAAGCGCCTAAGATTACTGAGATTTCGGGTACAATCTTACACAGAAATTCAACTTAAATACATTTTCATAGAAGTAATTATTATATTTATGGATTCTGTTATTTTGTGTCACCCTGTAAGAGAATTTAGAACGTTATTAACCGCTTGTTGGCAAACAGATACTGCTGTTAACAATGTTTTAATAATCCATTATTAATCATAAAATATTTAACCACTAAGCACCTGTTGAAATTGTGACCAGGATATGTGCTGATCGACCATGACCATTTATGAGATCAGACGCCATCTCAGGATCATTGTAGAAACTGTAATACAGTTATCGAATTACAATTATAATGCAAAAATTATGAGAATAAAACATAATTCCAAATAGAAAATTAATGACTTCTTTTAAAAGTCTCCTACACTAAATTAACAAAACCTATATAAATAGCCTTGATTTCAAAATAATGAAAAAAGCAAACAAGCCATAAGGAGGCACTCAACATATATATTGTACAAAAATGTAATACAAAAAGCCTTCCACAAGCAGATGTGATAGACAATCACTTGTGGTTTTGTATTACACAACTTATGACAAATGAATTAATGGACATTAATTTATGCAACTAGGACAGAAAATTACATATACTCAAGAGGAAACAACTTACCACAACAGACACCATGTTCCAGTAATAGTTGAATGTATCATTGATACAAGAACATTAAACCAATAAGCACTTTCATTGCATTTTGTTTTCAGTGACTTTGGAATTGCAGAGAAATAATACAATAAAAACCTCAGAATAAGAAATAGAAATGTAGAAGTCAATAAAACGGAAACGTCACAAACAATTTGTGATCCAGAATTGCTGCATATTTCAAGTGGATTGATCTGAAATTCATACAAAAAGCAGGTCATTAAACACTTAAATAATTGCAAAGAAGTAATGTAAGGCAAAGTTTCAGTGATTGATCCGAATTAGTATTTCAATTCTGACAAGTTTTTCATGAATTGTGTCAACTTACCTCAAAAAACATTGCAATATATTTTTGCAATTTTCCACTTTAAAATCCCACTGGAACTTAAGAGACCTAATTTAAAATAGTTAATTATTATAGTCTATCCTTGTATATCACAATGTATATTGCCTGTAAACAAAAAACAATGCATAAATTACAGAAATAAATATGATATCTTTTTGTCTTATGTGGTCTTAAGTATTGGGTATATTTAAATAATGCCTTTCTAAGGACTATTCGTCCAAATACTAAATAGATTGATACAATACAGCAATAACTTGAACAGACTCTTCTGAAAATAGGTCAATCCATTTATAGACCATCCAAATACAGAAATAAGCATTTTCTAAAGACTCAGTGCAGCAGTAGGATGTGTCAAACATCAACATTAAGAGACAGACCTAACGTAAATGGAACATGAAGCTACTTGAAAAATCTATACAGTTTGACACATTTACACACTGACATGGACCTAACATATTCATATAGTGAATGTTAGTATAGTAACTAACAAATTAATATATTTTATCTCATCATTCCTTTGTCAATATTAGCATAGGCGCAGTGCTCTTGATTTGCTATGCATATTTGTTTAAAAAAAAAAGACCTTATATGGGCTATCTGGACTTTGCTTTTTTTTTCTTCACTTATTATTACTTCGAAGATTTGAATGCATCACAATCTTCCAGTTTATAACAAATTAATGAACTAAATTGCAATGCAATTTACTTATTACAGCATTAATCAAAATGTTTTGGTATTTTAATTGCAGAATTGACAAATAATGAACTCTCTCCAAAGTTGTTAAAAAAACATCCAAAGGTATTCATTGGCTCAATTTTATTGACAATATACAGATACTTCGAAAATCCAGCTAGTCAAATATCTTCTGACCTTGGCAGCTTGGACTGACAAAGTGATACTAGCCTACATAGTACTCCATATCTAGGCTACTGTGCTAGAGAACTGGTTATTGGTATACATAAAATTCAAGCTAAGCGCCCTCAAGCTTAAATAAACAACGAAAACGCTCTGTTTACATGGTGGCGTGTCTGTGTGGTGTCCAAATGCTGTAATGTCAGAATGTGATGCCACAATGTTGGCCTAACCTTTCCATGTATTTGTTTTGCTTATTTATTCTAACATTCTCTTTTATTTTTACTTTTATTATATAGCAAATCTTACACAAAACGCCAGATATTAACGCGACCAAATCAAAACTACAAAACTATTGTAACGTATTGATGACACAAGGTCCACTACTTGGACTCCCGACCGTGGTGGTTCGACTTTTGCGTGGCGATGCGTAGAAAATAAACAATTGTCTGAAGCGCGAGCTCGCGAGAATAACAAGTTACGTAAGATACGATGAACTACTCTAGCGAAACGACACCACGCTCGATCGCCCAAGGCGTTTGTATTTATCAGCCACGATCATACGAGGGGATAGGGTAAGGCGTAAACATAAAAAAGGGATGTTTTTTTTAATAACAAATTCAAAATAAAGTCCACATATTGCAGTTAAAATCGGCAATCTAACAACCGGAATACTACGAGGTAAGGTCGGCCTACACATAAATGAAGTCACTATACTCACTCACAAAATACATTTCTCCATATACCACTCTAATCAGATAGTTGAAAACGTCCAACAAAGTCCGTAATCGTCAAATTCATACCTACAATTGTATTGTACAATCGAATACCCAAATCGTGATTTTGCATACTTTCGCCGAAGCATTGGTCGTTGTGGGATTTTGGATGCGAATTTAACATTTCGGAATTGGGATTTCCTGGTGGTTTTTCCTAACAATCCCGGGATTGTGGGAGGATAAAAAAAGATTTGAAAACGTGCACACATAAGCTGATAATTTGCAAAGTACAAATATTTCTTCCGTGTAATAATGACGCGTACTCTCCAGCGCACCAAGTCTGTTATTAAATTATAGGTCCGATGATGCCCGAATAAATGTGGATCAATTATATTATCACTAATGTTGCTCTTCTAATGACTCGGCAATCCTCTGCGCCCGAATGCCGTGAGTATAAACAATTAAGGTATTGCATTCAAACCTCGGAAACAAAATTTATTTAGACAGCATACCAGTGGAAGAAAGGTTTGGTAAAAGCAAAAACTGCCTTCTCACAATCTTCGTAATTTCTTCTAATTAATTTCAGGCTAAGGAAAATTTTTGACTGACTTTATTTACACCATGGTTGGTTCTGCGTGCCGCTCACTACTCTTTTTGCTTCGCCAACTACTACTGAGTTTACGGTTTTCGCTAGCTCTTTTCCCCAAACTGCAGAACCTTTCACTCTTCTTAATTTACGTATAGGTCCTCCTACCTCTTTCACAGACCCGGTCATCTGCGCCGACACAGAACTATTTTTGATGCCTTTTACACCCGTTCCACTTTCACACCTTTTTGTTCGTTCGTGGTCTTTTCTTTATGTCGGTACTCTTCTTTTACTTCTATTGCATGCTGCTAGTCTTGCATGGCAATCTTGACACCTTCCCCTCTTGACTTCTCCAGCTGTGTCTCTACAGAGATACTTCTTTAATGGTGGCGTTTTTTGCTTGGCTCACTTCCATTACCTTCTGCTAGTCTTACTTTTTACAGAGCAATCTGCACACCTTCATATACGGGACTTCTCTATCCATCGCAGTTCTTTTCTTTTTTTTGACAACCTGTCTCGACAGAATTTTCCTATGTACACATGGTGCTTTGCTCCTGATAAATTATATTCACACCATACCTAGCCTGAGGTATTGCCATAGATTGAATGTGTGCTTGCCTCTGAAGTCGTTCGATATTTGTGCAGATAACATGATAGTCCTTTTACAATCGTCGTTCCTTTCACTTATTCGTTACTGCGCAAAAATAAATTTCGCTAAAGGTACGTAATGGACGCTCAAAGGACGAAAAATACAATTGTAAAAGTACATCACAATTCACAAATCAAAGTCGGACATCAATTATCAGCATTTATAGTAGCATATTGTCCATTAAGTCCTCTTACAATTTAATAATTCATTAAATAGATAATATAAAAAGTCAGATGATAAGATGTATATACCTTCCTTTCCCCCTATTAACAAACTACTACGGTTAAACATACCTGAAATATGATTGAATATTTTACATATTGCATTTATTATAAATTTTTTATTGTTTCCTAATTTAAATGCTGTGTATATGAATCAATAAATTCACCAATTCACAATTTTTACCTGTCTATGTCGTTAATTTCCATCACGTAGTGTTTGCCTCCAATGTTACCTCTAATGGAGATAAAAGTACTTGCTGCAATTTCGCGAGCTGCAGTTTACTCATCTGCTGAATTGAATTTAGCGAACATGAGTAATTTTTCAGCATTTCATAGTAAAACCAGGCAGAGACGGAGGAAGAAGAGTTGACCTTTTGCCTTTATTCTTTAGACCTACTTGTTTGCTCATAACAAAACCAAAAGGATTGCTGTAAACTTGGGGTTACCATATTTTTGTGACCTCAAAGCGGGACGCCTCCAAAGGCCATAGCTGTGTTTTTTTCAACTTCAAATTTACCGATTTTACATTAGGCACACATTTAAAACCATCCCGGCTGTCTTCATTGACTATATATATTGTCATCGAGAGTGCATGCGGTGTCCGTCTAAAAATCGGTTTCAATTCAATAAATAGAAAGGACTTTACGTTAAGCGACCTTTTGGCGTCTGGGGCTCACACGTAACAAATTGTAGCAATTAACCGCTAATAATGTTAGCGAAAAACAACGAAACAAACAAAACCACGCATCCACCTTCCGTAAGTATGCTACCACCGGTACGCCACACAGCAACAACAGTATCGAGAACATGCTAATTGGTAATGTTCATATATCATGAACTTAACTTATATCAATATACTTACTACCAAAAGTTTATCCATTCCATTCACATTTTCCACGGGCCTCGCTGATTTCCATTTTCATTCCCAGCCGAAAACTTACCACTTTCAGCTGCTCCAGCCCGTCTCGATAACTTTCAACTTTCTTTCATTCCATTCACAATATTCAATCCCAGCCTTACCACATATTCCATCTTAATTTCTTCCTTACGGCCTTACTGATTTAAAATTTCACTATAGCATTCAATTATTTCATTGAGACGCTGCTTGTGGATTTTTTTCATTCATTTACATTGGAACGCTTGCTATCTTTTTTCACCTTTATTTAGCTGCTTTTTTCATTTAGTTACTTCCCGACGAGTGCTTTTGGCTTCTGGTATTACTGCTAACTCACCCTCACTCGTCTCTTCGCTGATTTCTGGTATTGCTCCATTTTTACTCGGCCCCGATCGGTCTGGCTGCCACTGCTGGTTGCTGCCTTCTCTCCATCTTCGCTCTCCTTGGCTGCTACTCTCGCTTGCTCGCCTACTCCTTTTCCTTCCTCGGCCGTTTTTTTTTATCTGCTAGTCCTTCATACAACTCAGTCTACCCCGTGGAGCTCGAACCGAACACCCTCATACCTGGCCTAATGTTTGACCATGTCGCTACTCGCTACGCTTTCTCTGAGCCACCGGCCCACCGCTACTGATGAGGATCGAATGGATCAGAATCTTACCTAACAAGTCATGCTTGGCAGCCCACGACAAGGTTAATTACCCTGAAAAAATACATTAAACCGTAAATATCATACTGCGTTGATTCGAAGCAGGTGTATTCATGTGAAAGGCGATCATCAGGGACTATCGCATGCGATGCTTTAACTATTTAATGTGTACTGGCTAATTTTGGTTTATTTTTTATAATAAAAATACATTATTATACAAACATCGCGACAAGACGCACGAGATAATTCAAAGGAGTGAATCTGCAAATCGAATATCTGACTGTCAGTAGAGGAATACTAAGACTGGGAGACAGTTGACCATTTGATCCGTTCTGCCTCTTGTGCTAACTGGCCGTCTTATCACTGATTTAATGTTTCTAAATTCATAAAACATCTTAGATTAAAATTGGCGCGGCGTTATGCTTTTTCACAGATTAAAACGACGTCATACACTCTAAATTAAAACGGCCGAAAAACACTGTAAATTTCGCCCCGAAACAGGTTAAACATGCTACACCGGGCACTAAAGATGAACCGTAGTAATGTGCGCGTGCGGTATACATTTAGATTCATTCTGATTCTACCTCGATGCCACACGCCATTTTATTTTTATGATCAATCAGTTTTTCATTCTTCAATAAATGTATTCCTTGGGATTTTATTGCAGGTCGTTTATGGAAACTTATGCGCCCAGCATTCAGTCCTTGGCAAAAGATATTTCTTTCCATCATCGTTTTTCTTGTTCATTTCCGTATGAATGACAACTCAGAAAAAAGCAAACAATGTATAAGCTAAATAAATGAAATGCGACACTATTTTCACGTAGATATATTTGCACCCATAGTTATAAACATTGGCTCACTTTCGAGGTTTCGCGTGATAATTGTGAGTACTGTATTTAGTTGCGTTGCCAAACTTTAGTTACAAGTCATTTTGTCATCCGATTAGTTTGGTTTCAGTATTCAATCTCTAAAAATTTCCGATACACTTTCACTTTTATGAATTAACTATCGTTTGGATACCGGTGCTTTTAAATTGAATTTGGATACTTCAAGTATGGTGGTTATAAACCAAAAATAAGCCATCTTATCAAACTCCAACTCCAAAAAGCACTCTCAAAATACGCAACAAAAATCTGTGCAATTTTGAAGTTTTGGCTGTGCAAACGCGCACACGGTTACCGTGAGCTGGAGCTACAGAGTCAAAAACTACGCTGAATCCAAGTCTGTAAATAAAGCTACTGCAATTCCTGAATTCGTCAATTGGTTAGGAAGAAAGTCTTGTTGTAGCTTGTTTTAAACCAGTTGGATTAGCTAAGTGCCGAGACTGCAAGATGGGGAAGAGGCAACATCAATCAGATAAGATGTAAGTTTGAAAATACACTGCTGGTACTGCCGTAGGTGTTAAGCTAGTTATTTTAATTAATTAAATTTTTGTTCAGTCTTTAATTGAAAAGAGTGCAATGCAATATTTTAAAGGATTAGATAATACAGTAAAACTGATGCTAAAATCCCAGAATCATGGAATGTTCGATGACAATGAAAATTTTAGAATAATATTTGATGATAACAATTAATGTGATATTGTTTTTTTTATTTATTTCATTGTGTATTAAAATGCATGTTTTGCTTAGTATCTAATCGCAGAATTAAGTTTATGGTAATGACAAATTAGAAAAATCTTCCCCGTAAGAGAATGTAGTATTTTCTGTAATTTTATTTTTTCAGGTATATAACAGGCAAGGAATGGTCTGCATTTTATGGTGGTCATCGGAAGAAAATAGAAAATGCAGATTTTCGCAGACTCCCATTCTTTTGCTGCAGTTTGTCTATGCAACCATTCGATACTCCAATGTGTACCAAAGATGGTCATATTTTCGATCTTTTGTAAGTTACAGTTTAAAATTAAATTTTATAACTTTGATCTAATTCATACATCAGCATGATACTTAATTATTTTAAATCCAGGAGCATCATCCCTTGGCTAAAGAAATATGGGACAAATCCAATCACAGGGAAGAAAATGGACGCAAAATCTCTTGTGAAACTTAATTTTCATAAAAATGCGGATGGAAAATATCACTGCCCAGTTTTGTTTAAGGTTCGTTTCCATAGCTTTTGTTTTATATTACATTGCTTCAATAAAAATTCACAAAAGTCATTATTTACCCTTGAACTGCATGAATAATCTGTTTTAACATAGGCCTGTTACTGTCTTAAAGCTTATTTTTCAATAATACAGGTTTTCAACGAAAACACTCACATTGTGGCTGTTTCAAAGACTGGAAACGTTTATTCTTATGATGCAATTGAACAACTGAACATCAAACCTAAAAATTGGAGAGATTTGCTCACAGATGAAATATTTGCGAGAAGTGATTTGATAACAATACAGGTGTTTTATTATTTTGATTGAACGAATTATATCTGATGTTATCAATATTAACCCATGTCCTCTGTTCTGTTAACATGGAACATAATTATTTCAGGATCCAACAAACTTGGACAAATTTAACCTACAATCATTTCATCATCTCAAACACAATTTGAGACTTCCAGAAGCAGGTGTGTTCTATTTATTTTTGACACTTTGCTTACTTACCACCCTGCAATGACTTTTTAAATAGCACAGCTGATTGGATCAAAATTGGCATCCGAACTGCAATTCTTTCCCTTCGAAGAAATTCTTTGCTCTGAATATTTTACAGATATTATAATCGACTGTGTTCTTGTAATCAGCCATCATAATGTCCTTAACCTCTTCCGGAGATCAGTCATTTACATAGGAGCAAGCATGCGATGTTTTGATTTGGGAAACTTTTGAAGCGTTTCACATTTGTCCGTCTGATTGTTTTATTACTTTAATCGTATATAACTCTCTTATAATTTCAGATGCTAATTTTCGATCAAAGCCTGGATATTTTCTAAACAGCACAAATGCAGAACTAGAGCAAACTATGGATGAATTGAATAAATCTTATAAGGGAGACGAAATATTAAAAGAAAAACCTGTTGCGAAAAAATCTAAAGTGGATAAATTTAATGCTGTGAGTTTTTTCTCCTCTATGTTTATATATAATGAATTTAATTTAAGTTTTATCTGATTGTATTGTGATTGATATGATATTCCATTGGTCGCAGCTGTAGGAACATATAATATACTTAGCATATACTTGAAAATCAAAATTTTTTTATGTGAAATTTTGTTTATTTTATCAATTAAAAATAACTTTATTTAATCACTGTGACTGTTGTATTGTTGCCGTTTTGAATATTTGAAATAATAATTTTCAATCATAGTATATTTGCGAATTATTTATATTTATTTTGCTCTTTTATTCTTCATTATTTAAAGGTGAAAAGTTCTGCAAGAGAGATAATATAAATACAATAATTTAAAGTGCTTCCTACAGGGACATATGCAAATAAACCAAATATGCAATTTATTATATACATATTTTTTTTTATTTCCGCTGAAAAGATTGATAATTCAAGTTGCAGGGATGTAATTTACAACTCATTGTTATATGCTTCACAGAAAATGAATGATGTTAACATTAGAGCAATATGATATGATCAGCCATCAGTATTTCTTTAAATAACAACAATGTTTAAATTTGACCTTGTCATTCTTTTCCAGCAAAATGCCTTTTGTTCATTAAATTTCTGGATTACCTGATTTTGTCATGATGTGATGATGTCATGATGTCATTTTGTGATGATCTCATTTGTTGTATTGTATATTTAGGCTCATTATTCAACTGGAACTGTTTCTGCTTCATTTACATCTACAGCTGCAGTTCCACAACTTGAAACTGAAACCGCAGTGTTGGTGAGTTATAAATTAAGGGGATATATAATTTTTCTACTTGTCTGTGAATTAAAAAGAAAAGTAGGAAGTAGATTTACATGTATTATGAAATATAGATTTTTGTTAGCGTCCTTCATCTACCTTTATTAGAAAATTTATCAATATCCAAAGTTTATATTCATAAAAAATTAATTTGTTTTTAAAAATCAACAAAATAGATCATATCTTTACAACTGTACTATTTACTACTCACAGGATGATGATGTGGTTCGTTACGGATTTGTAAAAACAAAAGGATATGTGAGATTACAAACAAACTTCGGTAACCTGAATGTTGAACTACACTGCGATCAGACTCCTAAAACTTGCGAGAATTTCATGAAGCTATGTCAAAAGGATTATTATAACGGAACAATATTTCATCGATCAATAAGGAATTTCATGGTGAGAAATTTTATGAGTTGATTTGCTTTGAAATAGTAGGGGTATTTTGTTTTGTTGTCATTCACATATTAAAATGGTTCTTGTTACCTTAAATGGAGATGGAGATATATATGGTAGGTATGGAAATATGACTACAATAAAACAATGAAAACATATCACAAAATTTATATTACATTATCATTCTGGATAATTCATACTAGGGATGTCCGTATCCGAATACTAAACTATTCTAGAATGCTTCTGAAAAAACATTTCGAATATCGTTTAAACTAAATTACTAGAACCAAAATAATACTTCACAAGTGTTTCAGTAACTTTATTTCCCAACATAAGTGGGTGAAATGAACATGTGACATAGTCTGTCAAACTAAACTGATGCGAATCACTGGAGCATTCTCTGAGAAAGTTATTTCTCTGAATTAAAGAAAACATACTGTTGCCATCGCAAGCTTCTAATCAGGACTGGGAAGCTGATTCTTAATCACAGTGGCTTTGGCTACAGCTCCAGGGACCACAGTTCCTTTTTAGAGCTCCTGATGTATGTGCATGGCTCACAACCTGAACCCTAAACTGGTACACATAATAATGTTCATGTTGTGCGGCACAGTGCCGTATGACTGTACTAGTACCGTAGCCTACTGGCACAGATAAACTCCGATTCCATTAGGCTACCGGTACGGTACTGCTGCACTGCTATTCAACCAAACGACACCGTACCCATCTTTACCTTTAAAACTTCCACCGTGCGTTATGCAGTTATGATAAACTCGCAATAGAAAACTAATCACTTCCATAACAGAGATACCGTACCGGTTGCCTGCACCGTCAACATCAGATTGTCCGCAATAATCACCGCTGTGAAGCTAGTAGAATTTGACCTTTGTGTGCGGCGAGTGTCACTATGGTTCTCGCGACGGACGATTCAGCACTTACTAACGTACTTTAAAAAAAAAAGTACCGAAAAAGATCGTGCGCGACGTCGCAAGTTTTATACATGTTAAATTACGATTAACCGAAATTGGAAAAAACTATTCGAATACAGCTCTAAACGAAAACGAAACGAAAACAGAAACGATAAGGACATCCCTAATTCATACATGTTTTTTTTTCTTAATCTATGGCCGCCCCTGGCTCTTCCTCATAAGAAACTGGTTTTGTTTCAACAGGTTTTCATGAGGGTTTCCATACACCATTTTTAACCCTTTCCATGCGATTTAAATTTTTTATCAAATAATCGTATTTGCTACGCCGATTTTATGCATTTGTACCCCCACAACTAATCGATCGACTAACGGCTCGTTGGAAAGCTTATTTAAAGAGCTTGCAATTGGCGATTAAAAAAAAAAATTTTGAAAGTGGTGGTCCGAGTCACAAACCGGATAGAAAAAAGGCTTTTTTTTTTCTTGGGAGTTGAAACTTCAAACCGTGATAAAAAATAGAAATATTTGCTAAATCCTTTACTGTTACCGCTTCGTGATTGGCAAACAATAGCATAATATTGCTGTAGCAATTTTGTGATCTAACTCAAAATACTTTGGTAGATGGAAGGGATAATATGTCTTCTATTACTACCCAAAAAACACCGAAATTTGCATAAATTTCAAAAACACTCCCTCGTTCCGCCGCAAATAAAATTCCCGTCGTAAACGAAAGCGAGATTTACCGTCGCTTATGTTAATCTCGAAGAAGACTTCTTATCAATAAACTAAAACCCGGAAAAACTAGACCAACAGTTTGCGACCGATTGCTAAAAAAAACAGTGGAGTACATCAACGTACCCGCCGCAATCTAGCGACTTTTGTCATTGGTACGTATACGTGCCCACCGCACGGTGAGGGTTAAAAATAAAAAGCCAACAAACGACAGTAAAAGAATATTTGCATTCAGGTCATAGAATTAAACAGATCACAGTTAATTTACTTTAGATTAATGTAGCCGACGTAAACATACTCAGTGAATGCCTTTGCTGGTGACCCCAAGAGAACTGCTCTGTTGGCCCCCTAGTTTCTGAATCCCGCTTCCATGGAAATGACAAAACAAGTCCAATTGTTGGAATCAAATATTCTAGATTCAAGGGGGCGATCCAACTGGCACTGGAACAGGTGGTGAATCGTTTTGGGGAGGAACGTTTAAGGATGAATTTCGCCAACAACTCACACATACTGGTCGTGGAGTAGTTAGTATGGCAAACTCTGGAAAAGATACTAATAAATCTCAATTGTAAGTATATTATCACAAGGTCAAACAGTTTGAAGGATCTTTTCTTAAAACGCTTTCACAAAGCAAACTTTCTGAGCTCTTTGTCATGTAATAATGGTCAAAAATGTGTTTTCCATTTCTTCTCCAGTGCACATGACCTTGTTTAAAGCAATTTTATTTTAAAACTATCCAGCTTTGACTACAATCCGAGCATTGTATCATTGCTTATTTGTGACTCAACTTCAAGTTTAGAGCCATTCAAAAAAGTTATTTTACTAGGGAATTGGGAGGTACCATCCAGGTTACTTACACTCTTATCAAGTCACTTTTTATAACCAAATCGAAGCATTTGCGACTTGCTATACAAGCCTGTCAATAAAACAGTTTGTATAACAACAACAGTTTTCAATCTTCTTTTTGATGTAGCAATTATCCTATGGAAAAAAGACTATGATTAATATAGGTAAAATATTCATGTATAGTGAAAATATGTAGCACTTTGTTAAACTTTTTTTTTCAGTTTTATCACGTTTCGATCATGCGAACATTTAAATCGAAAGCACACAGTATTTGGTCGAGTTGTTGGTGGACTTGATACACTACAGAAAATGGAGAACGTTGAGACTGAAAAAAAGACGGACAAACCTAAACAAGAAATAAAACTCTTGCAAGCTGTTGTATTTATTGATCCTTACGCAGATGCAGATGAAAAAGTAAGTACCGGTACTCCTCCTTTTCATTGTTGCTCTAGGAATGAGTGCAGTAAATAGTGGTACTATTGAATATAGTTGTTAGAGCATCAGATAAAATCTTGGGTTCAATTGCCGTGTAAATCACCTCACCCAGGATTTGAAAGGTTTGGTAGACAATGTCGAAACGGAAAGTAGCTCATGAAAAATTTTAGTACGCAAAACAAATTTGTCCAGCACAGCACGATACTGAAACATATACCAATAAAGAATTGAGTGTTCAGATTTCAATCAATTTTTTACCAATTTTTCTCGCAGCTCGCAAAGTTGAGAGAAGACGAAGAAAAGAGAGTTCAAGCCGAATTGGAAGAAAAGGTAGCGGAGAAAAAACCCAAACCAATGAAAGTGTACAAAAATGGAGTTGGAAAATATATTAAAAAGTAAGATATTGTAAGCCAGTAGTTTCTTCCAAAGAATTCCAACACTCGTGACTCCTTATTTCTGTTTTTAACATGTTTCTATCAGTTTTTCTATGGCCATGCTTGATAATACTATAGCCAAAAAACAGAAGCAAAACAATAAATGCATTGCAATCAAAGAGCAAATCACAATAGGTTTCTTTCAATTAACGTGGTCATGGCAAACGAGACCTAGAGAAGGAACATTTCCCCTGGTGCGATCGATCGAGGGCCTGGTTTGACACACCCCACTCTAAGCAATATGTGATCATCCTTGAATTGAGAGATATAGGCAAAACCCTGTTTTGATGAAATATTCTGAATAGTTGTTAAAAAACATTGCGTACAAGCTTGTCAGTGGATTGCAATTTATCGATATCAGGATTAGTGGAAAATGATATTTAACGAATCTGTATCTGTTTGAATCTCCTGTTTTTTTTTTTAGGCCTTCCAATCAAGATGACAAATCAAATACCAATGCGAGTGCACAAAAGAAGAAATTATTGCCTGCTTCTGGTGTCCAATTCAAAAATTTCAGCAGTTGGTGAAGATGACGTGTCAGCACTGATCTATTCGCTGTAACATGGCTTCAAGAGAATAGGTTTGGCGATTGTCACAGACCAGGCGGGGACAATTGTATGTCTCGTTAGTGAACTCCATTCCACTGCTGTACAGATGAAACTCCACTTATGTTTTCATAGTCTTGCTTTTTTGTAAATCTTTTATATGCTGTAGCCTTACGTCATCTCGTGTTGTGTAATAAAAGTAGGTTCAATGGACTTCTTTTCATCAGGTGATCTTAAAGTCCCAGTATGGGCGAACCATGTGGTAGATCATCAATGTATTTATCAGCTGGTAATTGCGAGTCTTTCAAGCAAAAGTTCTTTTAAAATGGTTAATGGTAACTAACATATAGAACTGAGCATTGAGAACTATCATATAAGATCGCTGCAACTGTTTGGGTATGATAATAAGCAGAGCTTCCACCTCTTGCAAGAGGCTTAGGAATGTCTGTGCCTTAACGTGAAAATAAACTGGATACAACCTTGGTGGAACGAAGGCAACATTTCCTATACCAAGCTTGTCTTTCTTAAAACCAGGGGTGTATGGTATTATGGACTCTTTTTTATATTGCACATGTCATATTGATAGCAAAACAGTATTTGTGCAAATGGTCGTTAAATTGTATCTGCCAGAAACTTACAGGTGGGATTGCATAAATAATACTAAAAACTTCTTCGAATATTCCGCCACTCTTACTTATCTTTTTAACCCCTTGTAAGCTGATAAAATTCTGTGCAAGCTTCACTAATTTCCTGTAAAAAAAACTTGTCCCATTTATATTTTACCCATACACAATGTACAGCATAATATATTCCTTTATTCAAAAATTATGCATAGTAAGCAAGAACACGCAGGGTGGAAAGATGTGCTCTTAAACAGCTCTGGATAATAAACTAACCTACGATGAGCCACATTTCAGAAACCAGGTGTTTTCCAACTGTGTGAAATCTTACTGTTCAACCAATAGTATAATAAAAAAAATAGAGTGTTTCTCATTTCAATTTAATTAGAATAAGGCCATACTGTGGGCCTGTGCAATATAGTTCAAAATCAAATCCCTTTATGCTCCAGTGATCAGTAGCTATTTGGAATATAACAGAACAGAATATAACTTCCGACTCTTGCATCCAACAACATTTGAAGACAGTCATTTGCCAGAAGTCGAAATGGAATAATAAAAAAACTATTTTTAGTCTATCAATTTTGCTTTCAATCCTTTATTTCAATAGACTAATAGAAAAAAATAGCATAGTAAAAACAGTGAGCAAATTTTGTGTGCGATATAATTAGTAATGCTTCTTAGGTGGATTCATAACACTAAATAAAAAAGTGATTCGGATGAAAAATTTCATATAAGGTTAGTAAAAACATTAAAAAAAAGACAGCCAATCAACCAATGTCGCATAGAAGTAATAAAGCAAAAAGATAGAATCAAGATTTGGCATCAATTGCTATGAAAATTTTCAAGTAAATACTTTACTTGAAGAAATAGGCTAACCCAAAAAATGGTTTAATGGTAATTAAGGTTGTTTTTCAGAATGCCTGTGTTCAAAATTATGTAAAACTGAAAAACAAAATTATCTGGTATTATCTGTAAAAATTAGTTACATTGATTACCTATTTTACTACAGCATCACAAATAAGCCCAAAAAAGGATCAGTCTCACTCAAGTACTTCTAGTGGGCGTAGCATAACGATTTTATTAGTATAATATTCCTAACCCCCACCGGAGTACGTCACCCCAAAATTACATCACTGTGACATCACAATCGCGTCATAGAGCTTGCTAAAGTATAGCTACCATTGTCCGAAATGACATCTGTGCCGTCTATATTGAACTCACTAACATCAGCAATCTCTCTCTTATCGGTATCGTTTCGACGAGAAAAGGCTTAGGCTGTTGATGAGCACTAGATGCTTCCAGTCACTTCTTTCTGCCTGATTTTCAATAAAGCCGTATTACATCACTGCGACTTCGCAGTGATGTAATTTTCGGATGACATAGTCAGGTGGGAGTTAGGAATGACATATGCAAAAATTGTTGAGCCAGGCCAACTAGAAGTACTTGCGGCGTATACTTCAGGGAGACCCGGACCATATACATAAATTAATACTTTCTACTAATGTTTGCTTCTTGTGCATCTATGTATGGCTTTGTTGGAAGGATTGAAAGTAAAAATATGATTTAACAGTGGTGAATAAAAAAAGGCTTCGACAAAATTTTTACTCTTTCGTACTTAATAAAAATTGTGTGAACAACATTATTTCAGCAGGTAGGTTTACATCAGGAGCATAGAGAGTTTATAACTCCAATGTCTTGAAAGCTTAAAATGGGTAAAAAAAATTTGGACATGATACAGAAAAATAGTTATTATGCATGCTTGGTCATACGCAGATCTACTATGAAAAATATTTTATATCTAAACGTCAAAATGTCGTTAATCTCGGCGTAACATTTTAGAATTGATACACGTAGGTGGATGGTCGTGACTTTGATATTTTCTCCAGCTGTTGTGGATTCCTGACTTGAAATTTTTTACAATAGATAAAATGTGCTTTGCATCCTTCGACATGATCTTGAAAAACAATATGATGTTGATTATGTACATCACAGGCAAACTGGTTGCAAGAACTCCATAGTATGGTTGATCAATATCTTCTGCATTATGCCAAAACCATCTCATCATCCATGCAATGGATATGAAGCGACAAGCAATGAATCTAAATTATGAGTTTATAGATAGCATATTCTCATACGATTATGATTTGTGAGTTATGCTAGCAAATTCAGTACTGTGCCAATGATGGAGAGTCTGGTTACTACCTTTGTGTAACACCTCACTTTTGAAAAAATGGATGAAACATCAACCAGGGCTGTTGGTGAAAGATTGGCATGTTTTATCAATATTGGAAATAAGAGTCGGATTCAGTGGTGGGACTCAATTTTTTTGTCAGCCAGTCGCATCACTAAAAGTCATTTCACCCGGTTCTGTTACAAAAATCCATTGACAGTAACCAGTAATGCTAACCGGTTGCTGATCTTATAAAATTATAGAACCCCATCACTGGTCGGATCCCACCACTGGTCGGATTGTAATACTTTCCAGAGACTAGACTTTTAATTCTTTGCTCACGAGTCAGAATATCTGACTTCTAACGGTGGTAATTGAAGAAAAAACAATGCTTGCGCACACATAAGAATTCACGAGGTGAATCCATCAATTTCAAAAAGCAATTCTGACATTTTTATAACTTTTTTCATTTCTAGTTATTGATGAAATAAGGTTCTTATTATGTTTGCACACATAGCGAACTGTTTTAATGTTTTTAGTTAGACATGTGTCTGGACCCATTATAGTGAGAATATCACATACAATTACATATCGTCCCAAGTATTCGAAACTTTATTCAAAAAACATTAGATTCTGAAATCATCAGGTGTATGAAAATGCCTAGCCCCAATCGTAACCGGGAAAAATTGTTTTAAACTTGAATGAAACTACACATCCACCGAACTACACCATCCTGATAAGGCAAAATCAGGGATATCATGTACCAAGAATTGACATAAAGTATATCTTGATATCACTCAAACTTACGTTGCAATGTTTGTCAGCATGTTCAACGAATACCAAACTGTATGTGACAATCCAGCCATTCGCATTAGTTGACGAGCATGAAGAAATATGGAGTTAACTTCAACTAGTAAAGCAACAACAGCGAATGGAATAAACAATCCCGACTTCACAACCAGTACAAAGCAAGTGATCACCTGTCAATTGAATAGGCTATTTCATCAAAAGGAATTTTTTGAAATAAAGGGTTATATACTAACCACAGCATTATAGTTCATATAAGCACTACATGAAATGCTCTTTGGCAACAAAAATTTTTTTTTTTTAATAAGAATGTGAAATGATTTAAATATTCGAATAAATATCTCAATCTTGATTTTAAAAATACAGAATAGTTTCATTCAAAATATGATCATTTTGAGCAATTGAAGTCTGAAAACTGTAAAAATAAATGATCAATGAAACCTCTACCATATTTGTCGGCAACTTCCTTGAAAAACTATTCCATGAATTCTTTGTTAATAATAACACAATTCAGAATAGCAGATTATTCGATTTCGACAACACCCCCGATCGAAATTATTTTTCTAGAAATTTACCCATAATTTGACTACTCAAAATTTTGGAGTTCCAAAATTATTTTCTGAGCTAAGTGTTTCATAACAGAATATTTACAATACATTAGTATACGAAAAAAAAAATCCAGAACAATTAGTTGCTTGAAACATACCACCACATGGTGAGAAAGAACATCCCAGGCATTAGAAATTGGGACACATGCTAGAAAATCCACTGCGTCATAAAGAAAGT